ATTTACTTCTCTTTGTCCACTTCAGAATCCTGATTTCGACAGAGAGCAGTGATGATACTTTGTCCCTCTATATGGCAAAAGAGAAATTGAAAAACAGCAAAAACGTCAACACGTGTCACTTCCAGATATATAAATTGAATATAAAAAAATAATAATGATACTTTCCTTTTGAAAAAATTTCTTAAAATTATAACACTGGTAATAAATTTTTTTTCATTAATAAAATTTAAAGACCACACGCGAACTAATTTTCAAAACTATGGCAAAAATTTAAAATAAAAAATTGCTATTTTTTTAATTATAATACCTCCATGGTTGGATTTTAAAAATTTTTTAATTTCACAACGAAGAAGAATAATTTGCAAGAGAATTATTATCACTTATTTTTAATATTTTCGCAGAATGTGTTAATTTTTTAAAAAATAATTTAGAAAAATTTGTAATGTCTGACTAAAACACAATTTTACTACTGATACTACTAAAAATTCATGTCTTACCACAACTGTCTTTTACTACTGATGGAAAAAATTTGTTGCATGGGAAAAAAATCTTTATCTGAAATAGCGATATGTTTTTCTAGAATAACGAAAATTTTTTCTGTTTCAGTAAAACTTATCGCTGTTCCAGGTAAAAATTTGTTTCACTGTGTCTGACTAATTAACTGTTATTACTGATACAAAAATTACAACAATTTCTGTATATAAGTGAAATTGGCTAACAAAAAAATCACGATTCGAAAAATGTCTGACTAAAACTGTCTTTCACTACTGAAAAAAAACAAATTTCAATCTAATTCTTATTACAGAAATATGAAAAATCCGACCTTCTAAAACTCATTTCTACTGTTTCCAAAATTACAAAAATTCTCCAAAAACCTTTTTTTTTACTAAATTATAAAAATTAATCTAATTTTAGTTTTTTTACCTATAACAATAAAATATTATCGAATAATCCCAGTAATTTTAGCAAAGCATCATATTTATTTTCTAATGATGAAAACTATAGCCCTCGAATGCCCGGATTCAATTGATCGCTCTTTGGCCTCTTCGAAACATATTGACGTTCGTGTTTTGTGCTAAACTGAATTTATACGTGTATTTCAACGATGGCAGAGAATCAGAGATATAGAGTTGGAACAATGCGACGGCTGATTTGAGAAACAGCTCTTCTGACCATTAGGCAGTATGTGTATATGAATTATTGATATTTGCGAAAATTGATACTCTCCCAACTGTATCTCTAAAACCAACAATAATTTACATTTATATTTGTAGCTCATTCTTTATAAATTACACTTTCTATTTTTTTTGCGTGAGGAGGGAAAAAATAAAATTTATAGAACAAAAAAGAAAAACTAAAAACGCCTTTTTCTATATATATATATATGAATTTTACAAATATAAAAATTTACCACAATCTGTTACTGATACATTTGGGAAAAGATTTCGAAGAAAACAAAACTTTTACAATCAAAAATTTTACCCCAAAAATTCTTGCAAAAATCGTGCAAAGTTTAAAAAAGTTGTTGAATTATTCAAAGAGAGAGAGAAATTCAAGGGAAAAACAATACATGGAATATTTTTCCCTTCTTGACGGAAGCTTTTTTAAGTTATTTTAAAATCCAAAGCAAATATAATAATAATTCACAAAACTTGAAGAATTTTTTTTAATTTACCAAACGATTTTTTCAACAACAAAAATTATTTGCTTTAAATAATCAGTTACTTTACTATCAAGTAAATATTTATTTAATTATTTATTTATAAATTTGTTTATAATAAATAATATTTATTTCGAATACATAAATTATTAATTATAAAATAATCACCGATTATTTGAAACAATAATAAATTTTTTTTATCGCTTAAAACTTGATTCAAATGTTTTTGTGTATATAAATTCAAAGCTGTGATGAAATACATATTTTCCTACTTAATATAATTTAATCCTTCATCAAACTTTCTTGCGTAAAATATATATTCATTTCCACGGCAAATAATATACCAAAACCATTGCTTTATTATTGAAACTGTAATCTGATACTAATGTGTAATCCAATTGTAATATAATAAATGTATCGCAATACTAAATCAACAGAATTGCATGCGGAAGTAAGTGTATTTTAATTTAGAACAAATAATTAAATCTTATGTATATAAATTTTATTTACCTAAATTAAATAAATTTGAAAAGAACTTTTTTCCTCCCTTCTAAATGGAAATATCATATTAATTAATAAGAAACTTTTTTTAATTCCATATCGTTAATCATTTTTCTCAAATCTAAAAGTTAGTTGCAAAATTTAATTTTCCAAAATGGGCAGTACATGAATCACGTGTCCTATCGCATGGTGCATATATATTCCGTTTCAGAGAGATAGATCTGCAGATTATACACATATTCGTTCATTCATTCACGAATCAGACTAAAGAGAATTTCGAGCTGAATTCATATGGCAATGCATTTTGGGCAAAAAGGGTTATAGCCATTTTTATTCAGATATATATGACCATTGAGAGCAACATCCTGATTCTACTTTCGAAGAAGAGCAAAAATTTTTTCCGAGTACATAATATAAAAGAGAAAGAGAACGAATGCATATTTTCTAACAATGAATCATTTTAAAAATTAAGTTCCTGATGTTTAAAAAAAAAAAATTCTTTTTCGGTTTTTACATTTTTTAAATAGAAATAATTTTAACTTTCATTTGAAAACAAATGTTTCATTTAAAGATTTTTATAAGTTCGAAAATATTACATAATTTATATATATATATATTATTAGAGAAAAGATATTTTAAAATTTATTCAAAAAAAAGAAGGATTTATTTAGTTTGAAATTTGTTCAACTAGAAATATATATCTATATATTACAACTTCGTACTTTTCAATAAGCAGTAATGGAAAATTTTATGTATAAAAATTCTGAATAGAAAATCCATTCGGAAATTTCTTATATGGAAATCACATGTATATAAGCATTTGAAATTTTTAAATCCATTCACTCAACTAGAACACGAGAAGGGATAAAAGAATATTCAGAATAATTTTATCAAATTATAAAATTAATATGTTATACTCGGTGCTAAATTCATATAGAAAAATTTAAATATAAACGATATTTTCAGAAATTTTTAATAAATTCAAGAATATTTCTTCTTTATTATTTTTATAGTATTATTTTTAAATATTTGATTTTTATTTTAAAATAATATTCTTATATTAAAAAATTTTCTTTAAAAAATAGTTATAACCGTTTTATAAAGAGCTTTTGTTTTCTCTTTGCGACTATAATATAATTAATTTTTTCATCAATGCAACTCCTATTAAAAAACAACTTGACAAATTTTTTCCTCTATTATACAAAAAAAAAAGAAAGAAAGAAAGAAAGAATGCACTCGACTTGCTCCCCCAAATGACTGTCTTTTCAGAAACTCTGTAAAATTTTCTCCTAGAAAAAAAAAATGTCTAGAGTGTGTTACTCTTGAAGTAAAAAACACGAAACTCTCGACAAAAGTGGCGAGGTTCCTACTGAACTAAAAATTGCTTCGAGTTCTCTTCCTGTTTTTCGTATATATAAGCACGAGTGAGAGACCGAAAACAGGAAAGAGAAAAAAGGAGAAAGGAAGATGAAAAGAATTAAAAAAAAGAAAGAAAAGAAAAAATAGAGCAATGGTGAAGAGGCGACTCCAGAACGCGACTAGCGCATGGATCTAATAATAATCCTAGTTTCTTCGCCTCTCATTTGCTTTCAACCTTTCGCGTACATCCCGATTCTACTGTGAAAAACAACTAAATGAGGACGTGAAACTTATGCGGGACATGTATTTATAAAATATACTTAGAAAATTTAGAAAAAAAAATAAAATTTCTAATATTTTTCACACAAAAAAAGGTATCCTTAAAATATTTTTAATTTTCTAAATTTGAACAATTATTTTTACCAATCGGAAATAAATTGCCTTTATCATACTATATATATATAGAGATATCTAAAATTACCCCTTCGTAAAATTAATCAATCCCTGATTCTAGATAATCGACCAAATTGTAATTAGATAGTTAACTCGAATTGAAATTAGTTATATCCTTCTGATGTAAAACAGAGAATTTTTTCTACTTTCACAACTCGAAACTATTTTACAATTTGAAAAAATATATTTTTAAACTTTCAAACAGAAAAACTAAAACAATTCCAACTGTTGCGATTTAGAGTAAAATTTATTGCGCAATATTTCACATATACTTTGACAAAAAAAAAAATCACTGAATAAAATTTGATATATAAATTAAAAACCGTATGTATAAATATTAGCTTAAGGCAAACAAATATTCATCGTTATTTCAATTCCCATGAACAATATTATATCAATACTAAAAAGCCAATAAAAAAAAACAAAAATTGAAATAGTTTTTAAAAAAGAAAATTATTTTTATTCTACATGTAAAAAAAATAAAATGAAAAGAATAATAAATTCTAATCAATAAATAAATGACAATGAAATATTGCGTAAAAAAAAATAACCAGTGTCAAGTGTATAATTTACAGAATAATTTGGAATTTCATTGCAATAATAACGAATGACCCAGAACGGCAATTGAACCCACAACGTTTAGTTAGGTACGAATGCATTCATCTACATGACGAGTGGAATTTAGGTTTTAATAGCAAATATAAATTCATTAACGAAATTTGTTTTACAATATTCCATCGAGAGCTAATTATTTTTCTGATATCTCGCTCTATCTACCAATATAATTATTTTCATTTCAAATAATACAAAATTCATTTCCAAAAAATATTTCAAAAATTACTATAACTTATTTTAAAATCCGATTTTTGATTTTAAGTGAAAAATTAGCCATTTTTTTAATGATAAATAAAATAATTTTTTAGTTGATTAAAATAGAAACAATAATAAATTACTTTATTTATAGCTGAAAAAAAATGTCTAATTTTTGTATGTTATTTTTAAAAATATATATTTTTTTGTGACTTACCAACAAGTTTGCCGAATTGAGCAGGAGGTTTCCAATCCGGATAGTGCCTAGGGAATCGTGCTCTCGACCAGTATGTCTTCAGGGTGACTTTATATAGGGCCAGCTTATTCTGTCTGTCTTGCTTTTCTTGTGCTGAGGGTCCGCATTGAGCTACAACGAACGGAAGATGAATTCCCAAAAGCAAGAGAAGAGACAGCAAAGTCAACGGCATCAAGGCAGAATGACATCGAAGCCATGTATCACTGGACATCTGTTAACATATAAATTTAAATCACTCATTAATTATACAAACATCTTTACTAAAATACTTGATTATTTTGTAAATTAAATTTACTAGTTTATTTATAAATTATATTTTTATATTACAAGATACTAAAGGCAACAATTACCATGACAACAGTTACTGTATGGCAACTGTTACTATGGCAATAGTTACTATATGGCAGCAGTTACTATGGCAATAATTGGTTTCTATGACAACTGTTACTACTAGCAACAGTTACTTTCGCATCTGTTACTATATGGTAACAGTTACTATAGCAGAAGTTACTATGGCATAAGTTACTATGCCAGAAGTTACTATGGAAACAGTTAGTTACTATGGCAGCGGTTGGTTTTTATGACAACCGTTACTATGTCAACAGTTAGTTACTATGGCAACAGTTGGTTCCTATGCCAACAGTTACTATGGCAACCGTTACTATAGCAGCCGTTACTATGGCAACATTTGGTTTCTATGCCAACAGTTACTATGGCAACCGTTACTATAGCAGCCGTTACTATGGTAACAATTGGTTTCTATGGCACCAGTTACTATGGTAACAGTTACTTACTACGGCAATAGTTACTATGGCAAAAGTTACTATGGCAATAGTTACTATGGGAATAGTTACTACTAGCAACAATTACTATGGCATCTGTTACTATATGGTAACAGTTACTATGGCAATAGTTACTTACTATGGCAATAATTACTATGGCATCTGTTACTATATGGTAACAGTTACTATGGCAGAAGTTACTATGGCATAAGTTACTATGGCATCAGTTACTATAGCAGCCGTTACTATGGTAACAATTGGTTTCTATGGCACCAGTTACTATGGCAACAGTTACTATGGTAACAGTTACTTACTACGGCAATAGTTACTATGGCAAAAGTTACTATGGCAACAGTTACTTACTATGGCAATAGTTGGTTTCTATGGCAACTGTTACTACTAGCAACAGTTACTATGGCATCTGTTACTACTAGCAACAATTACTATGGCATCTGTTACTATGGCAAAAGTTACTATGGCAGCATTTACTATTGGCAACAGTTACTATGGCAGCAGTTATTATGGCAACAGTTACTATTGCAGCAGTTACTATATACCAACGGTTACTATGACAACTGTAAATTAAAATTATTACTAGTTTATTTATAATTTATATTTTTATATTAAAACAATACAGATTTCGAAAAAAAATATTCTTTTTCAAAATCAATATACAAAGAAAATCTATTTTGCAGGAATCGCCAAGGACTCTTGAAAAATTCAAATAGAATTCAAATTGACTTCCATCGATCATGTAAACGCGAAATTTCATGGTGATGCAAGCTGTGTTCCGTATACGAAACTCTAACGGATATCAACCGTTTCGTCAGCGAATTTAAAGTTATGAATTCGCATTTTGCAGCTTTTAAATTCTTATATATATATATATATATATATATATATATATATATATATATATATATATATATGAATCGTAAAACAGCTATACCCAAAATCTTACTTTTTTTTCAATGAAAATATTTTCTGAAATATTTTCTATAACATATTTTAGAATTTACAACCATGTATATTCATTAACATGTTAAACTATTTTGAAATTATGAAACTTTCTCCGGAATTCTTAAGCCCCCGCATAACTGCACGAAATAGATTTAACGGAAATTCGTAACAATAGGTGCAACCATTCATTCTAAAAGCCCTGATTTGAAATTTTTCGCTTCACTCCACCTCTTTCCTTTAGATTCTTTTTTTTTTTTTTTTTTATTTTATTTCATGGGAAGACACTTTAGTGATAATGGAATTCTTCGAGCACGCAAAGAATATAATTCTACAATTCGACCCCGCTTTGAGATCGTTCAATTGAGTTTCAAGAACACCCCTCAGCAACTTGGATAGAGCTTCTTATTCCCTCCCCTTCATTATTGTAGAAATAAGAATACATATATAGACCCATATTATAACAATGATAACAGACGTGAAGTAATAAATTATAGACTTCAAGCTCCTGACAATTTTTTTTTCTTTTTTTTTTGCGAATATGTATATAACACGAATGGAAAAAATGAGCTTTTCGTGACTGAAAAAATTTTCATATTCAACACTTTCTGAATCAATATGGAATAAGAAAATCGGATATGAAACTATATTAAACTGGTTAAAAAATTTGAAAATCACGAAAAAAAATAGATACTTTTTTTGTTAAACCTATTCAATTAATAAATATTTTAATTTTAGTATCAAAAATCAGTTCTAGAATTAAAATTTATAACTAGAAATTAGTGGGGCAAACGCAATTATAACAAATATTGTCAACGTGGCTCTTAAACATTAGTCAATTTGAATAATTCAAACAAAACCTATATACGTAAATTTTCCCATTCCACCTAGTTATATGTAAATAATAAATAGAAATTAATTATTGTTATTAAACAAAATGCAGTAAATACATTTTGCACTAAAATCAGAGGAGATATATGTTACCTAGAAATTATAGCTTCCGCAGTGGTATGTTATGGAATTACATTGTCGTTATCGCGATTGTAATAGAGTGAACCAACACATGTATCCATTTTCAATATACACCTGTATATATAACATCAAATTTTCCCACACACTCATTTTTTCAAAAATTTATCAAATTTGAAATTATTCGAAACATCTAAAATTTTAAACCCACTTTTAATATAAAAAAATAAACAAAATCTATTTGGCCAACACCTGTTTTGTTGCGCCAACTAAATTGTTTTGTAATATTCAAAATATTTTTCTTACAAAACGCAAAAATACTACAAATGGCCGAATAAATAATCAACAGAAAGATTTAAGCACGATTTTTAAAACCAATCATAATTTTATGGATAATTTTCAATTATTGGTTGATTTTAAAAATCGCGCCAAAATCGATTGTTCGGTCATTTGCAATTTCGGACAAATGAAAATTCTATCAATTAGAAATTCTGTTAAATAATTTTTCATCTAATAAGTATAAATTCTCTAGTATATGGAAATCGATTAGATGGAAATTCTGACAAATGAAAATTCTGTAAAGTGAATTTTCGCGGTTATATAAAAATTCTATAATATAGAAAATCGGTTTATTGAAAATTCTGCAAAATAATAATTCGAACAAATAAAATTCGGCTCAATGAAAATTATACCTAACGAAATTCTATTAAATGAAAATTCTAATTGATTTTTAAAACCTTTTTTAATTCCAAATATTGTGTCAGGAACTAAATTTTTTTTTTCTATAATTTAAAAATTTTTTTTATAAATATTAAACCGCGAATAGTACCTAAAAAAATATTCTCATCTGTTGTGTAAAACTTTTTAATCGTCAATTCTATTGAAGAAATTGAAGTGCATGAAGCGCAAAGAGGAGGGGGGGGGGAAACTGTATAAAAGGCGCACATTTATTTTCGTTGTTCCGCCAAAAAGTAGTTTGGTTTTCATAGTTCTTAAACTTTACATGTGCAGCTCAAGCAATTTTTCCTGAAGGTAATTTGCTTCGCTTTAGTGTCTTGCTATAAACAAGAACCAACGGAGAGAAAGCTCCCATCAAACCCATTGTTACTGCCATACTGGGCTGCCTCTCAAGTGAGCTGAGCCCAAATGTAAAGGCTTGCAACAAAATATATATATATAAGAACGCTACTCTCTTATAGTTAAATTCTACGAAATTACACTCCATTTCTATACACATATACAACGCAACCTAATTTAAATTCATTATATTTTCTAGCGAAAAATCTCGTCAAAAGATTATGTTAAAATTAACACTAAATTATATTTATAACAAACCCGTGAAGAAATGTTGCCAGGGCCCAAATCGGGGTCGGATTAGGCTGCCCTATTAGGAAATGAAACGCCGCGCCTTATATGGCCCTGATCAGGTGTTCCCTACTAGGGCTCTGGTAGGTCAATTTCTACTTGGGAAATTCATAAGAATTTTTCACTTTTACCCGCGTAGAAATTTCCCTACCAGGGCCCTAGTAAGGAATGAAACGCTGATCAGGGCCAAATTAGGGCGACCAGAAAATGTGGATTACCTAATCAGAGCCACATCAGGTACGGCGTTTCATTCCCTAATAGATCAGCCTAATCAGGCTCCGATCTGGGCCCTGGCAAAATTTCTGCACGGTTAGTTACACATTTTTCACCCATAATAAAAAAAAATAATTTTTTAATATAGAAAAATAATAAAATACTTCTATTCTGCTTTGAGATAATTTCAATAAATCTGTTTTTAATTATATATTTTAAACTTTTTTCTGAAATCAAAGTGCAAATTTCCGCGCTGTAGTGGGGTTTTTTTTTTTTTTTTGCATATTTGTTTCATTCCCTCACCGCGTTAATCCAAAAATAAGTAAGCTGGTTTTTAATCACACAGTGCCTGTGAAAATCCACAGAGTATATATATATATATATATATATATATATATATATATATATATATATATATATATATGCGTTTCACATTTAAGGGACTGTGTTTATAAATAACCCGAAAAAAATTCTATTTTTGATTCAATATTCCGTACTGTAATTTAAAAATAAAAATGAGTTTTTTAAATTAATAATCCAAAAATTGAATATGAAACAGAAATTCTATATCAAGGAACATTAAGAACATAATGAAAGATAATTAGCTACCATATTTATTTTTTTAAACTGAATATTTTAGTAAATAAATTTTTTTGCAAGAGAAAAACTAGAATCAGATTACAACAAATATTATTTGTTTTCCTAAACCCCTGAGGCAATGCTTTTTTATTTGAATAAAAGATCAGGAGAAAGAACCATTGGTGTTTGAACTTGTTATTTGATGCAATTTTTCTCTATATTTATATATATAGATAAATATTTTTCTCTTTTATACAGTGGAATAGGAACTTTTTAAGCTTTTCGTGAGAGAAAGAAAGAACAAGAGCAAATCGTCGTTTCAGTATGCTGGCCGATTTCAGTGAAACTCAATAATACTCCTTTTTGTTTGGTATAGAGAGTATAGTACGGTACCTCTAACCTCTTTCAACTTATTGTTAGTGTAGTCACTTTTTTTTTCTCTCTCTCTCTCTCTCTCTCTTTCTCTTCTCGCGCCTGAGCTTTAAACAACTCTTGAATAAAAAGATGAAAAACTTTTTCAGTTAAGTCGCCAACTTAAGTAAAACTTTTCTCTCTCTCTCTATATAGATACAGTTAGGACACACTGGGAATGAAATTGTGACTGAAATATATATGAACAAATTTTATTCCCTGCAACCAATTTTAAGAGAAAATAATTCAGTTCTTTTATTTACTTTTTTTTTTAAAAAAAAAGTAGTTTAATTAGTAAAATTATTTTCTATTATTTTAAAAATGTAAATTATGTCAAATGTAAATAAAGTGGAGTAGTTTTTTTTTTTTTTAAAAAAAAAAGTGACAATTCTCTGAATTCTATAAAAACATTTCTTTAAAAATATTATTTTCCATGAAAGTATTTTAAAATGGAACGACGAGATGTTTTGTTTGACAAATTGCGTAACGCTACAAAAAAGTGTGCAATTTCTAGAGAAAAAAGCTTTATCTTTGATCGACGTTGTTCGTTGATGACACGCTAAGAGGGCTTTTATATAACGAGAAAATCCACAAAATACAAGAACGATTTCTTATCTTGAAATTCGATTTAGAAAATTTTCTGAAGAAAACTATATACATCCCTTTTTATATATATATATATATATATATATATACAAGTGTGAAAATTGTTTTAAAAATGATTTAAAATTATATTTTATATTGCAAATTTTTTGATAATAAAAAAAAAACATTTTAATTGATAATTATTCGAATGCATTTTTAACTTTTTTTCCATTATTTTTTTTTTTAACACAATCAACTCTGTCATTCAATAATTTATTTATCTAACTAAATTGAAATTCATTTCAACATGTGAAATATGAATTTTAATTTATTTCGATATAAATAAACGAAATAGATTTTTAGAGAATTTTAAATTCATTGTAATTTATATATTCAAAAATAATTAAATATGCATTCTACCTTTTACGTCCATCAAAAATGTTTAACATTTTATTTTCGATCATATTTATCACACAATATTTTTCAATTAAAAGTTATCGTAATTTTAAAAAAAAAAATTCTCGAAAATAATTTGAATCGTGAATTTCGAAAAGGGCCCAACTCCAAAAAAAAACCCCGTAAGAGTTTCATTATGGAAAAATGACACTTTTTTCGAGTAGACCCCTTTACAAAATTCACGATTTAATTCAATTCAAATAGAAATTTTTATTTAAATTATCAATTTAAATAATAAAAATTAAAGAAATATAAAACAAAATTCACACATTTTGATTTTTTTAAAGTATTATTTTACCTTTACTCAAATTGCAGTGGTTACTTTTTTCTTAAGCGATGAATAATACAATATCCAAAAATAAAATCACATTGTCACTATTACAATTTTCACAAATGTAAAATGTAAAAATGAAATGAAAATTTTCTAAATTTTCATCATAGTAATTTGTTAAAATTTAGATTTTCAAAAGAGAAAAAAAAAGAGAAAAAAAAAATTCCCCCGCCGGGGGAATTTAAATTTGGTCACGTTGAGGCTTTCAGCCAATGTGCAAGAACGGATAAACTCGTATACTATATCACGTTTCGTGTTGTTTTCGTGAAAAGCCGGCTTATTTCTATACTATATCACCGTCACAAAATAACACACCCACTATGAGAGTCACCGCTGCACTGAATAACGTGCGCGATTCTCTAACTCCGAAAGCTCCTATAGTTCCCTTTACTTCCCCGTCTTCATCAACCCGAACTAAACCGATCTACACCGAAAGGGAAAGGATTATTTTCAAATAAACAAATTAATTTTTTTTTTTCGATCAAATCAAATTAACTTTGTCCTTCGTTTCTTTGAATATTAATTTTTTTAATCCCAAAAAAAATTATTCCAAACAAATTTTTTTTTTATATAGATATAGAATGCCCTACATTGGAAAAGATGAATATTTTATTCAATCCAATTTTCTATATCGAAGAATTTTTTATTAAACATAATTTATATTAAATAGAAAAAAAATTTATTTAGCCGAATTTTATAAAGTGAAAATTCTATTGGGCCGAATTTAGCCGAATATTCATTCAACATAAATTTTATTAAGCCGAATTTTATAAAGTGGAAATTCTATTGGGTAGAATTTAGCCGAATCTATATTTAACCTAAATTTTATTTAACAGAATTTCTATATGAATACGATAAAATAAAAATTCTATTGCGCCGAATTTTATAAAGTGGAAATTCTATTGTACCGAATTTAACTGAATCTTTATTTAATCTAAATTTCATTTAACTGAATTTCTATTTAACTGAATTTTATAAATTTATTGCACCAAAATTTTTACATCGAAAATTTTTATTTAGCAAAATTTTTGTTTAACACAATTTCTATTTAACCGAATTTTATAAAGTGGAATTTCTATTGGGCAGAATTTAGCCGAATCTATATTTAACCTAAATTTTATTTAACAGAATTTCTATATGAATACGATAAAATAAAAATTCTATTGCGCCGAATTTTATAAAGTGGAAATTCTATTGTACCGAATTTAACTGAATCTTTATTTAATCTAAATTTCATTTAACTGAATTTCTATTTAACTGAATTTTATAAATTTATTGCACCAAAATTTTTACATCGAAAATTTGTATTTAGCCAAATTTTTGTTTAACACAATTTCTATTTAACCGAATTTTATAAAGCGAAAATTCTATTGGGGCCGAATTTAACTGAATTTTGAGAGTAATTTCGTTAAATAAAAATTTGTTTAAATGAAAATTGTGTTTAAAAAAATTTATCTAAATTAAAAATTTTTGTTAAGTAAAAAAATTGATATAAATTCCCTTGAATAAATATTTGTTAAATATATATAAATTCTATAAAAAAAATTCTTATTATCATTTATATATAAATTAAATTTCAAATTTATTACTTATAGGAAAAATTATAAACTGAAACACACTGAGAAAAATATTTTGTTTCGACAATCAACAATAACAGTTGATTGATGATTGTGTAATCAAACTTTTTTTTTTTTTTTTGGTTCGCTAAATAAAGTTGTTTAAATTTTCCGCTTAAATAGATCAAGAAAATAGTTTATATGAATTAATAGCTAATTTCACGTCAAAAATTAAGGTTGTGTTTCAAATTGAAATTCTGTTAAATAACTGTTTATTTCTTTTTCTCTCTCACAGAGAAAAATAAAGAAAGAATTATTTTCAAGTACTATAGGAAAATTTAAAACGTAACCTTCATGAAATTATAAGAAGTGTAAGGTAAGTCAATTTATTATTTTTTTTTTTTTTTAATATTCTAATTATATATGTTTTGACAAAATTATTTAAGTCACTTCAAGGGCACTGATAGAAGGATCGATATATTTTTATTTACAAAAAGAATTTATATAAATAAAAATTTTCGATAATTTTATCCATATTAAAAATTTAGGTTATGTTTGAATAAAATAATTAAAATTTTATATTATATAATAAATTTAATTAAAATTTAATAATTTCTCAATTTTTCAGAATTATTTAATTTTATATTTTATTTTTCGTATTGCATCTCTTTTGATATTGTAATAAAATTATATAGAAAAGAACAACAATTAAAATTTAATTTTATTAACAAATAAGTAATTTTTAAACTTTTATTTATATTAATTTATTATTATTATTATTTTTATTATTATTATATTTATTTATTTATAAAAAATAAAAATGGAATTAAAATTTTTTTTCAGAAAAAATCTGTTGAAATATTTTTTTTTTTTTTTTTTTTTTTGCAATGAAAATAAAAATGTAACTAATTTACAAAAATAAAGATAAAAACGGGTATTTTTCAGAACAAGCTTAATACTGTCACTGTAGACACGCTGGTATGTTCAACCCTTTTGCTTCAAGGGGAAAACGCAGTTATTCTGTTTGCACTTTCAACGGTAGTCATATAATTAACAATTAGATCCCCCGTCGCGCTCCATAGTCGTGACTCGTAAATTGTAATTTTTTTTTTTCTTTTCTTTTTTTTTTATTTTTTTTTTGCCACGTATGTACGCGCAACCAGTTGTCATGGTCCCTCATACATACATTTAATCCCATAACTATATTCTCTACATCTGAGGAATGTCGTGTATAATTCTCAACCTCAAATACCTCATGATTATCATCTTTCTCCAACATGACAAAAACTAAAGTGCCGACAATTTCTCAATATACGATGAAATAAAATAAAAAAAAAAAATAATAATTCTTCATTTTTATTGTTTAAGCGATTTATATGAATCATACATCCGAGATAAATATTTTTTTCAGATAAATAAAATTTATTTGAAACAAGTAAAAATATATTTGTCTCGATAATAATTTTTTGTTTTAAATAATAAAAAAAAAATGTATTTAGCGCAAATAAAATTTTTATTTAGCTCGAATAAAATTTTTATTTATCATATAAAATTTATTTGAAGTAAATAAATATTTATTTAGCTCTGAGATAAATATATAACCGAACCAGAAATTTTTTTTTTTTTTAATAAAGTACTAATATTTTTTTTGTTTCGAGATTAATTTTTTTTTCAATTTCCTTTCGTTTTCAGTCTACAAAAAATAATTATCTATTAATTTAACTTTCGCTGAAGAATAAATTGTCAATTTTTTTTCTTTTTATATTAAAGTTGCTCATTTTTCCCTAATCCATACGCGCACCTAATTTTACTTTCATTTTCGCACCATTACTATGAAAAGGAGAAAATTTGGATTATAAAGTTACTTTTTAGACACGGGGTTGTCATCCCTCTTCACGATGAACTTGAACAAAAGAAATAAGGGGAAAGGCGAATAGAGAATAAATATATATATATATATAAGAGAGAAGTGGAGGAGTTGTCCTCCAAAACTGTTTCTCCAGACTCAGAATAAAGACCCAAGGGATTGTGAATTTCAACTCACCTCTCAACAATGAAACTTTTGTATTTGGATATATGTCACATGTCCTAAAACTGAGGAAATGTTTCCCTTCGAAACCCTTGAGAATAATTTAGACTTTTAGAGGGTAGATCAGTTCTAAAGTTTTCCCTGTTATAGATATAAATTTCTAACCAAGATAAGAGATAAGAAAACTTTGATTTATATATTTTTTTCTCCGAAAAACTGTATTTTTAATTTTATTATTATTAATAATAATAAAAAAAATAAATTCATTATTATTATTATTATTATTAAATATTGATTTATTTTTCGATTTTTCAGAATTGGATATTTTGTGAAGAAACACTTTTACTCAAAATGGGAAGACCAGCAAAAAAACATGACAAAGCATCAGTAAACAAATCAAATAAGATGCTGGATAATATATGGATTCAAGTTAAAGATGGAGTTGAAAGTATTTATAAAGGAGAATCTATGTCAAGTCAAAAATACATGATTATGTATTCATGTGTCTATAATTATTGTACAAAAGTTCAAATGAATGCTCCTCCAGTTAGACCACAAAATAATAAAAAACCAACAATTATTGGAGCACAAGTTTTGGGTTTTGAACTTTATACACGTATAACTAATTTCATTGAAAATTATCTCGACAAATTGCAAAAGGTTTTATTTTCCTTTAAAAATTATTCTTTATTGTTTCCCTCGAAAAATTCCTGTTTTTTTTTTTTTTTTTTTTTTTTTTTTTAAAGGGTGCAGTTAATTTAGTCGACGAGGACATTTTGGTTTTCTATACAAAACAATGGGAGGATTATCGTTTTAGTTCAAAAGTTTTAAACGGAGTGTGTTCGTATTTAAATCGACATTGGGTTCGAAGAGAAACCGAAGAAGGAAGTACAGAAATTTATCAAATCTATGAACTCGCTATGAATTTATGGAAAATTCATGTATTTAAACATCTTGAAAAACAGGTACATTTATTTAAAAAAAAAAAAAAAAAACATAATTAATTATCTAACAATTAAAAAAATCAATTTTTGTCACAAAATTTTCCTTTTCAGGTAACAGCAGCTGTGCTTCAATTAATAGAACGCGAACGTCATGGTGAATTGATAAACACTAGTTTAGTGAGTGGTGTGATAAATTGTTATGTTGAGTTGGGTTTAAATTCAAATTTATCGACAAACAATTTAATTTATGAAAATTCATTTGAAAATCTATTTATCAATGAAACGGAACATTTTTATTTACAAGAAAGTCTCAATTTATTATCAACAAATACAATATCGGAATATATGAAAAAAGTTGAGGAACGATTACAAGAGGAAACAAAACGTGTTCAAATTTATTTACATCCATCGACACATGATCGTCTTCAAAAAGCTTGTGAAAAAATTCTTATTGGAAAATATATTAATGAATTTAATTGTGAATTTATAATATTTTTGGTTTCTTGGCGAACAACCGATTTAACGAGAATGTATCAATTATTATCAAAAATACCCAATGGTTTAATTGATTTGAAAATAATTTTTGAAAATTTTGTCCTACAAGATGGTCTTTCTATTTTAGATAAATGTGCAGATGCGGCAATTAATGTAAGATTTTGGGGATATAATTAAAATAATTATTATTTGAATTAAAATCATAATTGAAAAAAAAAAAATTTTTTTTCTAGGATCCAGAATTGTATACAAAGGAAATATTGGATATTTATGTAAAACACAATAATCTAATCAACAAATCATTTAATAATGATAACGGATTTCAATCAATGCTCGACAGAGCTTGCATTCGTTTTATCAATCATAATGCAATTACTAAATCATCAAAAACGTCAAGCAAGTCCTCGGAATTATTAGCTAAATACTGTGATATACTTTTGAAAACGAGTAGCAAAAATCCAGAAGAAAATGAATTGGAAGATGCTCTTAATCAAGGGGTAAGTTTTTTTTTCAAAACACTTTTTTTTAAAAAAAAAAAATACCCTTTTTTTAATTCCACATTTTACACAGATGATAATTTTCAAATATTTAGAAGATAAAGATGTCTTTGAAAAATATTATTGTAAATTTTTGGCAAAGCGTCTGATAAATCACATGTCAGCAAGTGATGACGCAGAGGCTTCAATGATTTCAAAGCTCAAACAAACATGTGGATTTGAGTACACGTCAAAACTACAACGAATGTTTCACGATATGGGTATATCGAAAGATTTAAATGAAAAATTTCGTAATAACTCAGCGTCATTTGTTAAATCATTAGAAATGGATTTTAATGTACAAATACTTTCATCTGGCTCGTGGCCTTTTAAAAATTCATATACTTTTGCACTACCAAATCAAGTAAGAAAAAATTAAATTTTTATCCCTTTTTTTTGTAAAACAAACTAATTTTTTTTTTCTCTTTTAAGTTGGAGAAATGCCTGCAAAAGTTTACCTGTTTTTATAGCTCTCAATTTTGTGGAAGAAAATTAACTTGGATGTATAATTTGTCAAAGGGTGAATTACATACAAATTGCTTCAAGAACAAATACATAATGCAAGTCTCGACAATGCAAATGACTATCTTTCTTTTGTACAATTCATCATTGTCCTATACAATACAACAATTGCAAGAAGAGACGCAAATTGATTTCAATTTATTAATTCAGGTAATTATGAACAAAAATTAGAATAATTTAGAAAAAAATAATAATAATAAATTATATTATAGGTACTACAAATTATTCTAAAATCCAAAGTATTAACTACCAATGATGAGAAAAATCTGACACCATCTTCAGTTATTAAACTTTTTAAAGGCTACAACAAGTAAGTTTCAATAAATAAAATTCTAATCCAACAAAAATAATTCTGATTTTCTTATTTCAGTAAGAAACTCAAGGTAAATTTAAATGTACCATTAAAAACGGAACAAAAAATTGAAGTTGACAATACGGAAAAACATATTGAGGAGGATAGAAAAATATTGATACAAGCGGCAATTGTCAGAGTCATGAAAACAAGAAAAATTTTGAAACATCAACAACTATTAATCGAAGTTTTAAATCAATTGAATACAAAATTCAATCCAAAAGTATCAATCATAAAGGTAAAAAAAACTAAACTTTAAACGTAATTAATTAATTAATTAATTGCAAATAATTAATTGTAATTATATTTTTCAGAAATGCATCGATATTTTAATTGAAAAAGAATATCTCGAACGTGAGGAAGGATCAAAAGATACCTACAAATATCTCGCCTAATTATAAATGATGACCGAAAAAAGTCATTTTGACATTGTATTTTTAAACACAAATTTTTTAAAATATATTTTATTTTCAAAAAGTTTCTATTTTATCAACCAAAAAAAAAAAAATCTAAGATCCTCTAAAAAATATTTTATATAATAATTTCAAAAACTTTCAATTTTATCAAAAAAATTCTCAAGTAACAGAAAATTACCTCATTAATAATTATTAAACGTGAAATGTTGAAATTTGTTTTTGGTTAAGTATTATTTTTTAAATCATCCCCTTGAAAATATATATATATTAAAAAAAAATCTTAAGCAAAGATAAAATAGTTGAAGTGTTAAATTTAATTTAACCAAAGTGCAATTAGATTTGCCGAGCCTACATAATTAGCAACGTGAGAACGAGCAAAAGGCTGGGGTTTATAATGAAGGCTCAAAATCAGTCACCCGAGACCCCCCCCTCTCTCTCTCTCTCTCTGCCTCTCTCTTTACCATCTCTTCGATCTTCGTACGCGTTCAATTTCAATTGAATCACTTTTAATCAACAAAATTAAACATTATATTCAATTTCAAATTAAAACGATACTTATTAATAAATGATTTTATAAAACGCAATTAAAATACACGCGGGAGAATTTCAAGATTTTCGATTTACTGAATTTATACTGTGTATAATTAACTCATCTAGATTTTATACTCCGCTGTTCTTTAGCTTCTTGCAAAGAGACTTGATTAGTTAAGTTCAAGAGAGAAGAGAAACTTAATTATCATCTTTGAAACAAATAATTAGACCCTTTCCAACGACACGCTTCCACTTATTAAATGGGATAAATTTTTGACAGGTAATTATATTTGCGATATTATATACTTGAAACATCAGAAAATTTTACATATTATCGCGTAAATTGAAACTAAATTATGATACATTTATTATTTTATTTATATAATATTAAATATAATAATTATGAGCAAAATAATTAAATCACTTCAATTTTGTCATTAAATAATAATTTATTATCATATTTTGAAAAAAAATAAATATTCCTACCACGAAATTTTGAAAATAGAAAGAAAAAGAGCGATAGAAAAATAGAGAGAGAGAGAGAGAGAAGAGTTGCAACGCGCGTGCTTCGTCGAGTAACTAACCGCGAGGGTTTGCATATTTTACAATGTCATCAGACTTTCTCCAAAGAACAGGAGACCCGAAGAATGAAGAAAAAGGTACACAAAAACGACAAGAAAAAAAAGGGAATATAAAACAACCATGCTCTCGATTTACCATGCTATTTTCAAAAGATTATTTTTTAAATTGACAAAATAAAATTTTTTTTTTTTGCAAAAAATGTGTTAGAAAATTTAATAGTTTGGTTATATTAACCAAATAATTTAATATTAAAACAAAAATTAAGCTAAAAACCTTACCTTATAATGACGAATTCTCAGCTTCAAGGAGATTTTTCTTTCAAAACTAAATAGTCCCCAGAGATCCCTACTTTCAAGTTAAATTTCCATTTAGAAAATGTGAAAAATAACCGTAAAAATAGACCGAGTTCTAAATAGTCTGAAATTGGAGAATCCTGTGTCCTTCCTGATAAGATGTCCCTTTTTCCTTTTGTCCTTATCCTTGAAGTACGTGACACCACAATCCATCGAGGATAGAATCTGCAAAAAAAAATTAAAAGACTGTCAGCGCTGTACTAACATGTAGTTAAAACCTTTAACCGCTCGGTAATATAGAAAACTATAAAAAATTTCATTTCCAAATTTGATAAAAATAAATGTGGCATCGAGACTAAACCTAAACTAATCAAATAACACAAAAATCATAAAAAGTTTTCGAGTCACGTCAAAAATATTTAACTTTAAAATCTCAAAATTTTAATATCGGATTTACGGATTAAAAATATAATTAATTTATCTAATATTGAATAAAAATGTTAACAAAAAATATATTTATCTTTTCAGAGTGATAAAGAAAAAAATTTTTATCTTTCCAAACTTTTTCTATATATATTTAAATATTTAAAATATGTATCCCTGTGGACCAATTTTCTTTTCCCCCCCCCTTTTTTCACGCGAAATATAATTAAAAGTCAAGAAAAAAAATATGTGATTTTTTATCCATATAGAGATGATTCTAAAACCGGATAGAGAGAGACTACTTCACGATTAAATATTGACTTGTGAGATCCATTGTAGAGTTTTGGAAAACTTTACTTCGTATAAAGTGGGGAAAGAGAAATGAATGAGACATATAGATAAGGGGGAAAGCCTTCAGGCAGACTCATCGATCGAGAGACTCTGTCTTGTCTTTTTTGAAATTCCTGTTTACGGATACTCTAGACTTCATCCTCGAGCAAAAGTTACATTAAACATCGATAACCTCAATTTTTTTTGTATGTAATATTTTATAGTTTATGATATCTAAATTTTCGATTAAAAACTAAATTAGTAACACAACTATTAATATAGTAATATAGTATAGAGTAACATAGTAATTAGTAACTAGTAACTATTTTTTCCGGACTTTTTTTCGTTATTGTAAAATAGTTTCTTTTCTAATTATACGGTTTTATAATAAAGAGATTTATGAACTTTTTATAATTCATCATTCTTTTATTTTGACAATTCTATTTCTTTTTTTTTTCATTTCACACATAGAAACAGGTATGTCATGTCGTCGTTACATATTCGGAAAATTTATTACACACCGGTCTGACCACACTCGCAGTTATACTACTATTCCTGATGAACGAACAGTAATATAAGTCAGACATTAACAAACATAAAAATTGAATTGTGACTTTTTTTCAAGAACTAATAAAAAAAAAATTAATTATTACAGAAATTCCCTTATAAAATATAAAAGAATCATTTAATCTCTTCATATTAAGTTAAAAATTTGGGAAAAAAAAGACTCACCTATCGGTGAATCCTTTGTGAGAAATATGATCTCTTTCTTTTTTTTTGCACTTCTTCGCAGATCGAGAACAATGTCCATCGTCTTCTTCATTTGGACATTGACTGAAAAATAAAAAAAAATTTTTAATTAAAATTCATTTTTATAATATGTTTTTTCTAAAATTCAATTTCCGGGTATAATATGGCGAGAATGAAGAAAAGTGACATTAGGTAAAATATTGTCTCATGGCTAACTCGAAATAATTTAGTTACGATGGCTCGTTCCCGACGCTCTGGCTTGTTATACAGCAACCGCAAAACCCTCCCTATATATCCAATCCGCGTGTCTTGTTTACGATGGCCAACGCCATTTACAACAATAACGCCTATATTGCTCGCCAAAATGCTTTGCTCTGATAATTCAGAGAATTATCAACGACTTTAATAATCCCTTATAATTCAACACTCAAGTTTACAAATTATTAAATTTTTCAAATTTTTATAATAAAATTATCCCCTCTCGTTATTAAATAAAAAAAAGAATCTCTTTTTTTCATGATCAAAAATTTATAATTTTATCTGTTTTTTTTTTTTTTTTTCATAAGAGTGGTTATGACAATAATCTTTCGTATTTCTGGATTCGAGATGCAATTTCGCCACGAAACAGTAGTTATTGTTTCTTGCCGTTTCCCGGTGATAAATCAAATCGACGATTTTCAGTTCTACAAATGGTCACGTAGTGCAATTCCCCCCTGTAATATCGCAAACGTATAATCTTAATTTTTTTTTTCTCTTCCCTTTTTTTGTTACCTTATGCAATCTTGAATGAGAGGCAGGATATTGCTGTCTCTCACACAGTTGTTTGCTTACTTATCTAAATTCCAATTATTTTATTTTAATTGTTATATATAAAAATTTGATTTTAAATATTCTTTGAATTTTTATAAAAACTTTGGTTTATAAAAAAAAGTAAAAAAAATGCAGAATTGGACGCATAAAAATATAGTTTTAAAAGTAAGAAAATTAAATTTTTAGAGCAAATTTCATATACTAACGGCGCATCAAGAAGAATAGCTTAATTTCATTTTAAAATGAGGACAAAGTTTGTAAAGTCGAAAATTGAATTATAAATTTATCTTTATTTGTTTCACTTTCTGAAATAAGCCAGTTTATATGTATATTTTGTTATCGCGTGTTTTTTTTGCAAAATATTATTTTTTTAAATTCTAATACTTTTTTTAAAAATAAATTTTCAATGAAATAATGTACTTTAATTATTTTTGGCTGAATAAAGAATAAAAAAAAATTATAAAAACAGACTTTAAAGATGCATATATTGAACATTATTTTCTCACATTCTATATACACATAAAGTGCATTATATATACATATAATACATATTCGTGCATAAATTTTATAGTTATACGGTACTATTAACCCTCAACGGCCCTCTAAAGGTGAAACTTAGGACATGATCGCAACGAGACCATTTATAAAACCGAGCACGCACCGCCTGTTTATTCGAAATTCAGCACATCCAGGCTACCACGTTCCAATTTCTGAAAAGCTGTAATTTATGCGGATCTTCTTTTTTTTGTAACAGAACTTTCATTCAGATTTTAAAATATATATAGCAAAATAGTCTATTCGCAAAATAAAATGGAACATAAAGTCATAAATTGATCTATATTTTGTATTAATTATATTAAAATAATATTGTGGAACTTGTAATAAAAATTATTTTTATAAAAATCATTCAACCCCGATTCAAAAAAGTTAAAGCTACTTTTTAAAAGTTTTAATCTCTTTATATATAATATTAATTTTCCTGTTTTATATTATAAAGTTTTTAATAAAATTAAAAAGTTTATAAAATATATAATTAGAACTATAACTCATTTCAAAAACTTTAATAACAAAAAAAAATTGAATCAATTAATTGTCTTTCGCTGTTATAGATAAATTTTTAAATCTAAATTTTTAGAAATATATAAACAATTTTTTTTTATTTAAATAATCAGTTACTTGACTATTATCAAATAAATATTTACTTGAACCAAATAATTTTTTTATTTGAATTAAATAAACTATATTTGAACCAATGATTTCTGTATTTGAAAAAATACCATCTCAAAATAATAATTATTTGATACAAATCAATATTTACTTTATAATAGTCATGTAACCGATTTATTTGAATCAGATAAATTTTTTTATCAACTTAATTTTGAAAAAAAATTATTACTAATTTCACTAATTAATAAAGAAAACTTCAAAAAAAAATTATAAATTGTTTTAAATTAAAAAGTGGAAATAGTAGAAAACTATTTAAAACGAATATATTAAGTATTAATATCAATCAAATTATGATCACATTAAATCAGCATAATTGATTACCGAAAAATAATTTTCCCACTACTAAAAAATTATATTTTTACAACTATCATCTTTAAAATACTTTTAAACAATTTTAATAATTAATTTTAAAAAATGCAATATTTGAGGTTATAAAGTATAGCGTCAGTAACCTCATAATTATAAAATTTAATTATAATTATTCAATAAAAAAAATTTTCCATATACAAAAGTTATCAAACATTTAACGACTTAACCTATAATATTTTAGTAATCATGGTAATCATTTTGGTTTTACTTGTCTATAAAGATACCATAAATGAGCAAATTTCTCTTATTTCTTTAAATTTACACAAAAAAAAATCGTAAAACAAATGTCGAAAATAAATTTTTAAACATTTTTATAACAGGCAAACATATTTCGTTATAGACGAAAATAACCAGTAAGATATCAATTTGCCATTACAGCAAACAATAGAAAATATGTTACAATTTATAAAATTTTATAAATTTTAAAAAAACTATTAAATATTTTGTACTCACCGATTAACAATGTTGAAACACGAAAAATATGTTGAGAAAATTTTGTGGCAGTGTTTCCCTCCAAAAGTTTCAAAGACATGACGCCATCTTGAAAATTTTTTGCGAATTCTTTTGTTGGTTAGAAATCAACATATTTACACTTTTATGAACTTGCAGACTTGTCATTCACTGAAATATTATTTAATAAATGATAATAATCACTTTCTTACAAAAAATATACGTTTATATCTGTAAATAAAAGGAAAAACTTACTTTCAATGTGAAAAATGAGGAGCGCGATGTGATCACAGGCAAGTCCGGGAGAAGAGTGAACTGCTTGCCAAAATGGCTGCCAACAATCGCATCACACAATCTCAAAAACTTCATTATTATTTTAAAATGTTCTTCTTATTTCGATTGTTAATAAATAATTAATCATAATTTTAAAATCAAATTTCATTTTCATTAATTAATTACTTAGAAAACAATCATAGGAAATAATATAGAAGAAACGAGAATTGAGTATTTTTGTTAGGTTGGTACTTGAAAAAAGAGCGCGAAAAATTTGAATTCTCTTTTAAAAAATTCATTCTGAAAAGAATAAAATAAATTGCCTTTGTCAATTTAAATATGGAATTAAAAATTGTCATTATAATAAAAAATATTAACAATATAATAATAATTAAAAATAAATAAGAAAAAATAAAATTAAAAAGAAATAAGAAAAAATTAAATTAAAAATAAATAAAAAGAAATAAAATTAAAAATAAAGGGTTTAGAATTTGATTTAAATTTATAATTAAAAATTATTTTCTTGCAAAAGCATAATTTAAGTCACTATTATTTAATAAATAACTCTTAATTAAAACAATTGTTTAATATAAAAGTTATTCTACTTTTTTATTATTGATATTGGAAACCATCTTTCGAAAATAACAAGAAGCTGCACTATTTCTATTTTTCACAATATAAATTAGCTGTATCATAAATAATGTTTCATCGATATTTACATTATAAGAAAATGTCAAGTATCACATTGACACTGATCACAGTCATTACAACCTTGAATATTTAAAAGTAGTAATTAAATAATTAAAAAGTAAAACATAAAAATAAAAATAATTATTGTTTAAAAGGAACGTTAGTTTTCGCAATTCTTAGATTCTTTTTGCAATTTTTTTTTCTTTTTAAGTATGTCGCAATAAATCTACTCCAAAAGATTTTTCTCATCTCTGAATAAAAGAAATGAAAATAAAAAAAAGTATTTGAAAAAAATGCAAATTAACAAATTATTATAGTATTTTTTTTTTTTTAACTTTTTGAAAAAGTTTCTTTTTTGTTGCACGTTGCAATAAATTCTTTTCCGGATAAGTTATCTTTCTTTTAAAGTAAAAAATAATAAAGTAATTAAAAGTCGTACTTGAAAAAATAGAAAATAATATATACCCAAACATTTAAAAAATTCTTCGATTGTTTGCAAAGTTTTTTTTGCCGTAGCGTTGCAGTATTTTTTCCTTATACTAAATCTGAAATTATTTCTTCGATTTTTTGTAAAGTTTTTGATATATGTTTTAATAAATCAATGCCAGAATACTGTTCTTGCCTCAAAGCCAAACTGTAGCACTGCTTATACAAATCCACACGATTTTCGGACCTAAACAAAAAAAAAAAAAATAAGTTTCATTAACAAAAATTGTAGTTTATTTTTAATATAAAAGTACATTTAATATTTTTTTAAATTGAAAATTAAAAAAAATCCTTTTTTACGTAATTAATATTTTACTCACTCTTTTTTAAGGCATGAAACGTTTTTATTATTCAAATTAAGTTTTGTTAATGATCGTAATATGAACTGTAATCTCTTTTCAAGTAAATTTATCAAACTTTCTTCATTTTCAATTTCTTTTTTCTCCTCCATTTTTTGTTCATTTTCCGTATTATCATCAATATTATTTTCATTATTGACAATTTTCATTTTTTCATTCTCCTTAATTTGCAAATCATTTTTATTCTTCTCATATAAAATATCTATAGCTGCTCGACACTGTAAAATTATTTTAAGTCCATTCTTATACGCTTTAAGCTTACTATTAATCGCCGTGGTTACTGTAAAAAGAAGATAAAATATAAAATATTTATATAAATATTAAACTGTTTTTTTTTAGTTTAAAAAAATATATTTTTGTTTTTGTAAATGGAAAAAAACTTACTTTCCGCCTGATATTCAGTTAATGCCACTCTTTTTAATTGTACACTCAAGAACTCATTAGTTTGCTCTAAAGTGAGAAATAGTTTAGCTGCCTTTTCATAATTTAATTCACACAATTGTAAACTTTTTTTTCGCTTAGCACTGTCAATTTGTGCATCTACTTTTGTGTATACTCTATGATAAAGTGATGCCAATCTTTCTTGAATTGTAGCCATTCGAAATTGATAAATTGGCAGACGAGTGCCGGAAAATTTTGTATCACAAAATTTTAATGCTTTATTTAAAATTTCTACAACTTCTCGTTCCAATTCTTCTTCGCTCTATAAAAAAAAACAAATATTTTATATTGTAATTTATTAAATAATTATATCATACTAATTATAATAATAAAATACCTTATTTTCAATCTCGGGGGAATCTTGTAAAAGTGTTGCCATGAAATACAGTGTCGTTGATAATTCCCAAGTCACATTGTCCCAAATTTCACGATTACATTTTCTAAATCCAAGAACTTGAAGTGCTTTTTGATAGCATACAACAGCTTTTTCATAATAATGACGTTCCGCCGATCGTTCTTTAACTTGAACATGAGCTTTCGATCGCATTAAACGTCCAATATTTGCATGCAAAAGAGCTTGATTCGCCTCATCGTGAACTGCTTCGAAAGTTTTTAAACCAGCCTCTAAATGAGTTTTTGAGAGTTCAAAAAAAGCTGCTACTTCCGTGTTAGAAGAATTTGAATCTTCAATTTCTGACTCACAAGATAGTTCTAAAAATAAATTATTATTTATAGAATTTTAATTAAATTTTTAATTATCGTAAAAAGCAAATAAAACTTACCAGTCGCTTTATTTAAATATAAAACGCCAAGTTCATTATGAATATTTCCCACTCTTTTTAAAAGATTATTTCGATCCACATTAGGTTGCTGTAAAGCCAATGCTTTTTCGTAACATTTATAAGAATCAACAAATGTACTTTCTTTACTCTCAAATTTTTTAGGCAGTAATTCTACTTCACCTGGAAAAAAAGACAAATATATTATTCTCACCATTTTAAAAATAAAGACACATTTTTTTTTGGTAATATAAAAAAAAATCTTACAATTTTCCAATTCTTCTTGAGAGAAAATATCGTCAATAATTCGAGTTGTTTCATTTTTCATTTTATAATCATTTCTATGTTTCTCGACATTTTTCCAATCATGAACGGTCATTGAACCACAATCGCCAGCTCTTCCCAAAAAATAACTCATCATATTCTCATTATTAATCCAACAGAATGATGCCAATATTTTTTGACAACGCAAAACTGCTGCAATGTAACACAAAGCGGCACCATAATTTTTACTTGAATATTCATATTCTGCCAATACACCAATTGTTAATGAAGCCTTTTCATAGAGTAGAGTTTTTAAATGAGCATTCCAACTTAAATTATCACTTTTTTTTGGTGCTTGCCATGTTGGAAGAGTTTCTGGCTTACAAAGCAATGTTCTCGATGTTTCTTCTAATTCATCAGTTTTAAGAACATTTTTTTCCGCTTTTTTCTTCTTTTGTTTAGCCTTCTTTTTATTATGACTTGGACTATTATTTTGAACATTTGATGTTTCATTTTTTGTCGTAATATAAGGCAATGGAATTGCTTGAAAAGGATTAGCCATTTGTTGAACATCCTCTGACTCTCTTTGTTTCTCCTTTTGATTTTTTTCCTCACTTTGTTGATCCTCATCAAATGCATCTTGAATTGGAAAATATTTAAGACACTCGAGACCACTTGCAATATGTTCCAAGGCTATTTTACATCTTTCTTCAACTGTTCCAATAATTGGAGGTGGTTTATATTTGAATTCCTCATATTCCGGTTGTTCTTTAACTGTAAAAAAAAAATAGAATTAAAAAAATATTCAAAAGGGTTTTTGAATTTTTAAAAAACTTACTTCTCGTTAATGTTAGAGATTTAATAGCCGCGCTGACATCCTCTTCCATTTTATCAGACTCTTTATCACTCTCGTGAGATGAATATGTATCACTTTGAGTATCATCGTCGTCATTTTGTTCTGTTAAATCAGGATTAACAGGATTAGTTCCAGCTGGAACGTATAAATCAGATAACATATAATGCGCTGATGTTACAATTTGAGGATATTTCTCTTTATCAAGTAACTGAATGCAATTTTTCAATAGCATTCTTATTGTCCCACGATTTTTAATATAGTCCGAAGAATATTTCATATTTCGTGCAACACGATAGAGTAACATTGCAACGGGAACAGTGAATGGACTTTGACCCTTGTCATCATTCATTTCACTGCAAAGAGATGTCAAATCATACAATTTCACAACATCGTCATCTTTACCTGAAAAAAAAAATAAACAAAGTATGTTTTTGCAAAGTAAAAAAATTTCCTTGTAAATAATTTAATTACCCTTAAATAACCAATAAGTATGACCGGCCTTTGTAACATTATTCTTTAAGAAACTTAAAATATTTTGTGCAACATCTCTAACGACTTTGGGACTAAATTTAGCATCCTCTAAATTTGGCAAATCCTCAGTTTTAATTAATTCATATTTCTGTACAATCCCATCAAGATGATAACACATAATAACTTCAGGCACATTACTCATAAGATTATCCAGCCAATAATCTATTCCTGTCAGAACACTAATTGGTTTTGTCATATCTCTAAGTCTTAGACTAATACAAGGATGAGTTGGACCACCAAATATTGGCATATCAGTGCCAATTAACATTTGAATATTTTCAAATGTCCAAAGAACATTACGTGCAAAATTATGATTACAATTTGGATCTGGCAATTCTTGTTCACGTGGTGGTTCAGGTAATGATTGTTCAACATTTCTATCTGGCAATTCTGGCTTTTCATCTTGTTCCTTTTTATCAGCAAGAACAAGTGAATGATAGAGAAATTTTGAAACTAAATTTTTCTGTTGCAATGTATTTCTACTTGATTTATGAAAAAGACGTTTCTCCTTGTGACCAAGATTTTGAAAAACTTGTTCGCATACAAATTTCTTTAGCCATTCCCAATCGCTTTCGGCTTGTCTTAATAAATATCGATGAACATCAAAATCATCTAAAAGAAGTGTATTTTCAATACGATGTACAACCATTGAAATAACACCATGACTATAAGGCATTTTTAAAAGTTTTTTTATATTTTCCGCCTCTGATACAACGTCGACTTCGCCAACACAATCGGGAAACATGTGCGCCATACGAAAACTCGAGAAACTTCTGCTTTGCGATGACCAGTCGCTTTGAAGGCCATAACTTTCGGCTGAACTGCTTAACCAATTGCTGGGTGGTAAATTTAAATTTGTATTGCATTGTAATTCAGCAAAAGTCGCTGGATTTTGTACTGCTGAATATTTAACAACTGCCGTTGATTTTACTGGTTTTTTCGGTGAATCTGGAGCATTCTCCGACACTTTTGACTGAAAAAAAACAATTCAATTGAAAAGGCTATATGCAATGAAGTATGAAATAAAAAATACACCAAAAAAAGAACAGAATAAAAATGAGGTGTAAAAAGAAATAAATTTTACAAAAAAAGAAACAACTATCAATGCAATAAATAAAAATATAAACTCACAGCGTCAACGTGTAAATCTGATTCTTCAGACATTTCTACAAACTACATAATTCGTTGTGACAATAATAAATCTTAAAAGTAGTTATTTTAATAACTTAATAAAAAAAACCACTAGAACCTTGAAAGGTTCTTTAATAATTGATATTTTAATTCTCTTGTAAATTTTATAGTTTTACCATATATAGGCAGAAATAATCACAATCGTCAAAAATAAATATAACCTCAAATATTTTCGTTTACAAAAATACACCAATTTTAAACATATAATACAAAAAATTTATTAAGTCACTATGCAGAAATTAAATAAATATTCACTTTGTGAATCGAACAATATATAAATATTCGTAATCGTCAAAAGAAAATTAAATTATGTTTAAATATTTATGAGAATATGTATATGTCCATAAGCCCTGAGCACAACTAATTTGCAAACGTGTTACATGAGATAAAAAAGGACACTAATACATTCTCGAAGTTATTGTGCATAGGGCTTAATATCCGAGCGGTAAAATTTAAATTTAAAAAAAATTAAAAACCCTAATACAATATTTTTACAAATATTTTATAAATAATATAAATAAAATTAATAAGTATTTACATTAATATTTAAGTATAAATAAAAAAATATAAATCATTCTATAATATTTGTATTACTTCAGTATTATAACAATTTAATTATAAATAAATAATAAAATCAAATAAGGAAAGAAATGAAAAAATAGCAAATTTTCCAGAATGTTAAGTCAGCTGATTTTTTTTTATTATATATAATAATTATAATATAGTAATTATAATAATAATCAATCGTCATTTAGAATTATTTTACATCGATATATTATTCAATATATTTCATTTCATATATCTCTATGTTATTAATATATATATATATATTTTTTTTTTATTTATTTATATATAGACTTCTATTTGTTTCAATCTTTTTTTTTCATTTTTTTTTAATTCTTTTGAATTCTTTTACTGTATCACCTGTCAAGCAACATACACTAAATTGGACAGAAAAACTTCTAGATTTTTTTTTTAATTTCGCTGTTTCAATTTTTTTTTTTTTCTTACAATATTGTAAACTTTAAAAAATTAAATAACAAATATATGGATGGACCACCCAAGGAGACACGATTTAATTTAATTTATTAATTATCTAGATTATCATTTAAATTGTATCAGAAAGAATTTTTCTTTGATTTGCATATTTTTTTTTGCAGATCCAAGACAGTAAAAGATTATAATTATATATTTCTTTATCTAATTATAATTGAAAAAATTGAAAGTGCTAAAAGGACTAGACGCTATATTGTAGAAATAGTATAGAGAATATGGAGACTAATGTACACGGCAAATAAAAAAAAATTATATAAATAATAAAAATAACAACAAATTTGCAAAACAAATGTCCCCTTATCTCTTTTTGTACTTTTTTTCTGATTCGGCAATTACAGCATCTAGACGTTTCGATTTTTTCATACATCTCAATTTTAAAATAAAAATCATTTTTATTTTATTTTAATTTTGATAATTAAATGCTGAACATTTTTTTTTTAAATTATATCATATATAACAATAGGACATGAGATTAATTCAATTTCTTTTAACAGTAAAATTTAAGACACACTCTTTAAATTTTATTTATAAATTTTTGTCCTACCGTCGAATTCTACTCCAACGAATTTTTTTTTTTTTCATTAACAATAACTACTTTAAAAAGCTTTGTTACCTAAACATTTTTAAATTATAAATATTTATCTTCAACAAAAACGTACATTATAATCGAAAAAACAATTTTTTTTTTGTTTTCACTCTTTCTTTAAACGAAAAGACTGTAATTGACAACATTTTCTCTACAAGTTTTGTTTTTAAAACGTATTGTTTTCTTTTTACACATAACTTTCGATTTCTCTCAAACATTTATAATAAACAAATTTAAAAAAAAATTTTCTTCTCGAAAACTCGTCGATACTATATAAGAGAAATAATTTCCTAAATCATGAGAGAGCTGAACTAGGAAAAAATGTCTCCTTAAAGCTAAAAAATATAAATTACAATTCAAGCATATTTTAAATGCTACAAAATTTTCTAGGAAAAAAAATATTATGCGACTTTTTAAAGTATTTTTCAATTATCCTGAAAAATTTGTTTTCAAATACTATTTAATTTTTTAAGGAAAAACATTTGAATTTAATTTAAAAATAAAAAATTTTTTATCGATTATTTCGACATTTTACAAAACAAAAAAAAACATAAAAGCCCGAATCAATAGGAATTCGTGCTTTATTCATTTATGTTTCAGAGTTTTTTGAAAAAACCCTGTGTGCTTTACTGCGTGATAAACAAAAAAAATTTATCATCAGTGACGAGTCATATGATCATTGATCAAATATTGCTGCCTTAAATCTCTTTTTTTTTTTTCAAGTTGATTAAAATGATTGACAGAAAATAAAGAAATTTTCTTTATTACACTTTGGCTAAAATCTTGTCTCAAGAAGAAGCTTTTTGTTACTCATCTTCCGTATCACCATCGCTGCTATAATCCTGAAGTGTTGCTGCTCTTGAAAATGGTGCGTTATTCGTCTGACTAAACAAACAAAACAAAGAACACATCCTTTTATCGCTCCTGATTTTTATTTTTTTTTAAATTATTGTTTTTATAATCTTAATTTTTATTAAATTCACATTATTTTTTTTTAAATATTCTTTCTCTAAAAAGAAAGGAAACAAAAAAAACAAATAATAGAGAATAAAACGGAAAAGTAAAGTTTTTCAAAAATGAGCAAAATAAATTTAAAAGTACAAATCTCTTTTCTGGGACCCCACATCATTACGAAATAAATTCGCAAATTATTTCATTTTAATTTATTCTCGAAAATATTTATTTAAACAACGACCAAACCAATAATTAATAATAAAAATCAACAATACACTTCTGTTAAATTAGACATTATTTTTATGTCGATATAATACAATTTTTTTCCTCGATACAATCTTGCAATAAAGCGCAATAATTTTTTTTTTGTTCTTTTAAATTTTTTAAAGTGTATGCGGGAATAGCAAATGATAAAATAAAATTAAATTGTTCATATAAAAAAAAACAAAATTTGAAAATGACTTTTATCATCTCTTCTAGCAAATTAAAATGTCAAAATGGCATAAAAATCTCCAACTTTTCCCGCTTACTCTTCATAACGATAAATTAATAAAATAAAAAAAAAGAAAATTACAATATTTCGCGCGTGACAATAATTTAAATTCAAAATAAAAATTTCAATAGTAACATAAAATATCGAAATTAAAGATATTCTTCATGTTTATTTTTAAAACTTCTCTCATTTTCACTCATTCTCTCTCTCTATTCTTTACATACATGTATAATATATTAAGACCAAAATATTTTGTTACAATTCTATCCTAGAATTTAATAGAATTTGGTGCTAGGCATTTTTTTCTTTTTTTAAAATATTTTACAACATTTTTATATATTTTCCTTTTTCTTTTAGATTTGTAAAAACTTTTTAAGTTTCAAATCTTGTCTATATATGGTTTTAATACACAAAATATTCCGTCTTAAAAATTGTTTTTCAAGCAGACTAGATTTCTACAATTTTGAATTAAAAAAAAAATATATATATATATCTCACACTCGCCGTTAATTCAAATTCGCTGCTTATAAACTAAAAAAAAAAAGCTTTCTACTAAACATATTGAAAAAAATACGACGATATGTTAAAGCTATATTCTTAAATTAACTATAAAGATTAACGCAATGCTCAACTTATACCTTTAAAAAGATTTACAAAGAGCAATCACCAAAAGAAAAATATTCACTTAAAATAGAAATAATAATAATAAAATAATAATAAAATAATATAATAATAATAATAATAATATAATAAAAATATTTTTAAAAAACAAAACAAAAATAGTAATCTTTAAGATTACTTTCAACAATTTTTGTTCAATTGCGAAAAAAATAGATGTTAATTACTCACGCTAATCTCCGATAATGATTGAGCCATTCCTCAAGCATCTGAGCGACAAGAAGTGGCCTTTTGTGAAGTTTTTGTTGCGCAACCAAAATACCGCCTTCAGTGGTACAAACATCAAGCCATTGTTTTAAAATATTTTCCTCGCGCCCCATTTCCTCGGGACTAAGAAAATGTATTGGAAGTAATTTTCTCTCTCTATCCATGAGTGGCATAAAGGTCGTTTGTATTTGTATTTGTAGCTGTTGAATTGGACTATTTCCACCACCAATACCAGTTGCGTGTGATGCTAAAGGCGGTATTCTTGATGATGAATATGGTTCAATAGGCACCAATGCTGAAAAGTGACCTCGCGTATAGCCCAAAGCAATAGGTGATCTTATGCAAAATGAAGGCTCCCATAATAATGGTAAATAAACACCTTCGAATCTTGCATATCCTAGAAAAAGAGAAAAATATTAATTATTCGCCCAAAAAATAAATAAAATAAAATAAACTCACCTATATCTTCACCACGAAAACTCTTGACGTATTTGACACCGTAAACAATTATCGGCCGCCTTAAAATATGGGCCAATGTAAACACATGTAATTGCTCTAAAGCACTTCCCGGTTGAGCTGCAGTTGCCAATAAATTTTCCCAATCTTCCTGCCATTGAGTTTCTTCTAATGTAAAGTCTAACATTCTTGACGCTTGTGATGCCTCATATTCTCGCCAACGTGGATAAAAGCTGAAATTTTGTTTTTAAATTAAATTTCAAGGATTTTTATAATTATATAAATAAATAAATAAATTTCTTTTTAAAAACTCACAATTGTCCAGCTTGTTGTAATGTATCAGCGAGAGCTCTTCGAAGAGCATTATCTCTATCGAAAACACCCCAAGTTGCTTGCATTACAGAATCCAATAGACAATCACCCGCTGATCTATTCCATAAAGCATGCAAACGACTTCCCAATCTTTCAGTTATTTCTAAAGACCAATTTAAAGCTGGCGGTTCACCTCCACCACCTTCAAGTTGTTGTTGTGCTTCTCTATCCAAAAGTTCCTCCAACATTTGCTCCTGAACAATACTCGGCAAATCTTCCACCTTAATTTAAAAACATTTTTCTATTTTATTTTATTCTTTTTGATTGAAAGTTGAAATTAAATCTATTAATTTTTAAACTTTAGTAGATTTCAAAGAAAAATAAATTAACGAACCTCGGCAGGCAGAGAAAATGTGGCCATATCTGTGACAAAATAGCATGGAATTGAACCCTTTCGTAATCGAATACTATTCATCACGTGTCTACGTATTTGAGCAGCCAAATCTGGTGCAACATAACTTGGTACTCTCTTGATTCCTGAACCAGATCCTTCGATTTGTGACAATAATGTTGCTAGAATATCTTCTCGTTGAAATCTAAACGGAAATTTTAATTTTAATTTCGAGAATGAGACATTAAAATTTTAATTATATTATAAATGTAGAAAAAAAAGTGTGCTGAAAGGCAATAGAATAAATAAAATAGTAACCTGATTGCCAAATGAACTAGAGTGTGTCCCACATCAAAAGCGCTGCTTCTATTTAACAATAAAACCTCGGAATGCGTTAATTGACGAGCAGGATCACCGCCACTGGCCAAATAAGCCTCAACAGGTGTATTATCGCCCTCAACGATGCCGAGACATGCATTCAACCAGCACCAATCAGCACGTCTAAATTGCTTGAGTCTACGTTCGTAATCGCAATTATTTGGTGACTGAGGCGTTGGAAGACTGTCGTTTCTGCTCTCGAATCTATGAGAACTCCGGCTGTAATATTTAAAAAGAAAAAAAACATTAATTATCTATTTTTATTTATTTTTTCGTTAAATACGAACCTTCTGGCAATTGCCAAATTTTCATCACGTTGATGAACATAAGGCGTATGTGGAGGTGATGGTAAACCCCTCTGGCTGTGTTCTCTTTCTGGACTTGGTAAAATAAGACCTAAATTAGTTGACGATTTATCCCTACGATCTTTTTCAATTTTTTGATGACCACACATAACGCATTTTGTTGATTTTGGCCAATTTTCATAAGTACAAATAAAACATGACCATTTCTCAGCAACTGCATTCGATGGATTACTATAACGTTCGGGATGTAAATTTATTGCTGGTGGATTAAGTTGTGAATTTGATCCAGTTTTTGATGATGGAGGTGGTGGTGGTGGTGGATCACCGAGTCTTAATGGCGCTAATTGCTCATGAAGATTTGATGCTATTGAATGTACTGATTGTGTATTACAATTTGGTTTACGATTACCACATTGAACGCAACGTGGTGTATTTTGATAATTAAGATAGGTACACATATCGCAGGACCACTTACCACCAGAGGGTACATTTTGACTACAATTTTGTGTGTCTACATTATATGAATCGGTTGAATGTGGTACTGGACCTGATGCAACACTCGAACACGATCTTTGTGGACTTGGATTTCTCAAACGATAAATATCTTCACCGAGAAGTGGTTTTGCACCACGGCACATTGTACATTTTAATGATGATGGCCAATTTTCATATGTACAATATTCACAGGTCCATTTTGACTCTGTCTCTTTAAGCCGGCTATTCATTTTCATTGATTTCAAAATTTATTATTTTCTTTTATATAAATTTTTATTCTCTTTATTATTTTTACTTTTAAGCGAATAAAATATTTACTTTTTTTCTCTCACACTGTGGAAGTGGCCTGGATTTATTATTATGTATTAGGCAATTTTTTTAATTTTAGCAACAAAGAATTTTCTTTTTTCTCATAAAGAAGGAAATCTTTGAAGCTTTCTTCAGTGAGTGTACTTGAATTCTGCATTTGTTATATAATAAAATTTACATTATGTGGCAGACATTTTGTTCGGAATTTCAAATATTTCAATGTAGTTGTCACTTTCAATTGAAACTGAAACCAATAATTGTAAGATTTTTTAATGTAAACAAAAGATCGGAAATTAATAGATACATTAGTAAATCTAAAATCAATTTTTTTTTCTCACTATTATCTACTGATCACGTTGCGATAATTATAATTGAGCTTTGACACTATATAGATTATAGAATTTTTCATTAAAATCCACATTTCGTCAAAAAAAAAAAAAATAAATAAATCGAAATTTTGTAATTAATAAACAAATGTAAATAATTAAAATAATAATAATTCTATTTATATTATTTATTTTTTGAATTCTCACATCAATTACACCAAATAATTATCTATTATTTCTCACTAACTACAAAATTATATTTATATAAAACAAAATTAACGTTAATAATTAATCACTTCTACAACGTAAAATTTATAAATAATCAATTAATATATAATCAAAATCTTTATTTTTAAATGTAAAACTTTCATAATCGATTACAGAACGAATTTATGAAATTAAAATCAAACGCACCTAACCTCAAATATTAAAGATACACATATATAGATATAGACAGTTATTGTTTCTTCCCTCCAACTCTTTTTTTTTTGATTAAAAATACAATATTGACAATCAATTTCAATACACTATGAAATAATATTAAAATTCTAGATTTTTTTACAATTTTAAAAAATTAACTAGGCGTAAAAAATTATTATAAATTAGTTTATGAATATATTATACACAAATAACTGAATTATATGGGATATGAATTTCGTAAATTAAAGATACGACGAATCAACAATAACAGCTCCTGACAAATATGACCCATTTTAATATTTCTTGCGCATCACATAAACGAAATTTATTAATGGAATTTATAATGATTTTCCATACTATATTCAATATAGTGTCAAAAAACAATTCGAAATTGACCCTGAATTCTATTCTAATTAGAGAGAAACTTTTTTTTAACACTAACCTTGAATGCAATAGGCAGGTATCCGAATGATTGTAAATGTCGAAGTTAAAAAAATCGACAAGGTAATGAAGTTAATAAAAAGAAGAAGATGAAGCTGATGAAATCAGGAAGAGTTTGCTGTGGGCTGGGCAAAAACTAGAGTTGTTTGTATTTATCCAAAAAGAAATTTGTCACATTTGCAGAATTACTCTCCTGTAATAAAGGTGAAATTGACGTATAAAGCAAAATAAGACGACGTAACGCAGTGATCAATTGCAGAAACAGGAACATCAACAATGACTTTAAAAACGCGTAATTCTTTTCATAGATGGAAACTTGTACCTTTTGTATACAGAGAAACGATAGAAACTAACGGGCCACCACCAACGTACCGCGAGCTCGTCAATCGAGCGGTACGAACTCGAACAACAGAGGCAATAAACATCGATACACAAACTCACAGCTCTCAAAAAAAAAAAGAGACACACTTTTCCTCTCGTCTACACGCCGCACCACTCCTCTGATCTTTCTCACTCGATCTTTGTCTTCTCTACGAAATGGCCATTATCGTCTTTCCTTTCGCGTCAAAGTAGGTTTGCTTTCGATATAGTCATCCACAAACAAGCACTGCTACCAACACTTATCACTCTTGACATTTTTATTTATTTTCTCCACCTTGTTAAAATAATTTTAAAATACAATTACATTTAATTAACTCCTATTAAATAAGAACAATTTTTTATATCTCTTACTTTTTCAAAAATTGATAAAACGTCAATAATTTAATAACAAAAAAATTATTTCTTCTCTTAGAAGTTAAGTTGGCAAAAGTGAATGATACGTGACATCCGTTTCCTGTTTTTAAAATTATTTCCCAATTTCATGTTTAAAATCTTTTTTTCTAATTTACTAAAATCAATAATCAAATAAATATATTATCTTATTGATAAGAAAAAAAAATTAATCAAAAATTTCTTTAAAAAGTATTTTAAGACAATCGGAACAAAAAAAGCGCGCGTTTTTTTTTGAATTTCTAATCATGTTAGGGCGCACTCACACCTCTGGCTGCCTGCACAGGCAGCCTCCCACCACGCAGAAAACGTACAAGAGTAAGAGAGACAGAAAATTCAAATTTAAATCTACTGACTCTTTGATTGGCTCTCACTGGCTGCCTGTGCAGGCAGCCAGAGGTGTGAGTGCGCCCTTACGCGCACGGGAAAAATTGGTTTTTTTTTCTCTTTTTATGTAAAAATACAACACAGGTTGCGAGCCAAACGGGATTCGACCTTAAACATTTATCCTTGACATTTTGATTGAGCAAAGATGTATTATGGATCAATTGAGGGAAAAATCGTGAAAAGAGATTTTTTATTTTCTTTTTTAATAACAAAACTAGTCACACGAGGGAGATGTGTACTGTGTGTCGTCTGCTACAAAATCAGCTGTTCGTTGACAATTTTAGTGTTTTGCAAATACAAATATTTCATTAAAATTGTTATTTAATAGAAATTTAATTTTAATCAAATAAAATGAATGTGACTATACTTTATGGAAGTGAAACCGGAACTGCTCAAGATACAGCAGAACAAATTTGGAAAATTGCCAAGAGGTTAGTTTTTTTTTTGACAATTGCGTTTTTTTAAATTATATCAATATTTTTATAGAAAATGAGTTTGAGAATTAAAAGATTTTTTTCTATATACTATAAATTTAAGGTTAGATTATAATAATATTTATAAATGGAAATCGATCGTAATTTAAACAAATTTTCAGAAACAATTTAAAATGTTACATCTCCTCTATGGACGAATACGATATTCAAAATTTATTAATCGATCAACTTATTATCTTTGTTGTGGCAACAACAGGACAAGGAGAAGTTACAACAAATATGAAACGATTTTGGAGATTTTTGTTACGTAAAAATTTACCAACTGATTCGCTAAAACATTTACGATTTGCAGTATTGGCTCTTGGTGATAGCTCTTATCAAAAATATAATTATGCAGGCAAAATGCTTAATAAACGTCTCACACAATTAGGAGCCGTTGAATTAATTTCTATTGGATTAGCAGATGATCAACATGATTTGGGAATCGATGCTGTTGTTAGTTTATGGATTCAAGATTTATGGAATAAGATTTCAGAAATATTTCACATTTCCATTAGTCAAATGACAAATTACGAAAGTCCTGTAATTGAAAAATTCACTATTAACATTATTGAAAAAGAAGATTCGAAAATTTCTCTAAATGATAATATTTATTTGAAAGAGGTTCAAGTAAATGAATCCTTAAAAATTGGAACTGTTATTGAAAATACAAGAACTACTGCAAAAGATCATTTTCAAGATGTAAGACTAATTAAATTTAAAACCCCAAATGTTGAATATCAACCAGGTGATGTTTTGCAAATAAGACCAAAAAATTCGGAAAAACAGGTACAAAAATTCTTTCAAGTTTTACACGAGAATAATGTTAATATCGATCCAAATATGATTATACGTATTAAAGAGAAAGAAATTAAAGTTCCTGTTGTTTTACAACAAGATTTAAGACTCAAAGATATTGTAGAACAATATTGGGATCTGAATTATAAACCACGAAGATCAACAATTCAAACATTGGCATTTATCAGTGAAAATCAATTGGAAAAGGAAAAATTAATAGAATTTACAATGCCAAATGGTCAAGAGGATCTTTTTAATTATATTAATCGACCACGGAGAAATATTGTTGAAATGTTGGCCGATTTTCCCCATACAACAAGTAAATTAACATTGCAATTACTTTTTGAAATTATGTCAACAATAAAATCAAGAGCATTTAGTATTGCATCGAGTTTACGACAAACACGTGATGAAACACATATTTTAGTTGCTATTGTTAAATATAAAACAAAATTAATTGAATCAAGACTTGGCCTATGTTCGAATTGGTTGGCAAATTTAAATGTTGGCGATTCTATTATTTATTGGATACAAAAAGGGACATTTAAATTTAATAATACGAAACCAATGATTTTAATTGGACCCGGAACGGGAATTGCACCGTTTCGTTCATTATTATTAGAGAAAGCCATTAATGAAAGAAATTTAAAAAATTGTCTTCTTTTCTTTGGATGTAGAAATCAAGATAAAGATTATCATTGTCGGCAAGATTTTGCAAAAATGTGTAAAAATAATAATTTAAAAATGTTTTGCGCTTTTTCACGTGATCAAGAGGCGAAAATGTAAGTTTAATAATTTTTTGTGTAATTATCTTAAAGTAATAAAATAAATTAATTATTTTCTATTTCTAATTACAGATATGTTCAACACATAATACGATTACAAGGACAATTATGTTGGGAATTTTTGTGTAACGATGCCAATATTTACTTGGCCGGCAATTCTAAAAATATGCCTAATGGTGTGCGCGAAGAATTTGTTAATTTAGCGATGAAATTTGGAAACATGAATAATGAGGATGCTGAAATTTTTATTAGTCAATTGGAAAAGAATAATCGATATCAATTAGAAACTTGGGCATAACTTTTTTTATTCTATTTTCTAACAACAAAATAACTGTGATATAATATTGTTTAAACATGGTATGTAGCATTTTAATAATCATAAACTTTTTAAAATTTAAATTGATTTTATTTTTCTGTTTTCAAAATTACAATTTTTTATAAAATAATAAAAAGTAACAGTTCTTTTTTTTTTAATTATATTTTATTAACAGTTTAATAATTAATTTGAAAAAAAACCCGTTTTGTAGAAAAAAGGAAGTTAATTTCTAAAATTGTTTTCTGCTTCAATGTGATCAATTTTCTTGTTAATTACCCTTTGAACATGATTAATAAATAATAATCGGAATGTTAATGTCAATAAATGTTTTTTTTTTATCTAGAGAATTCCACTAAATTGTTGAAGGTTGTTTATATAAATATGCAAAAATTGTATATATGATATTGTAATGTGAATCTACAAGTGGGGAATTATGAATAAGAAATTAAGAATATCAACCTTATACACGCAGTAACTTGATAAAAAAAAGAACCTGTTTTTACTGAAGTTAAGCAATAATTTACGCCTGAAGAATCAGTCTTTGTTGTACGCACAATAAAACAAGCAAAATAGAACAATACAAAGTTGAATTATAATTTCCAAAACTTTTTAAATTTAAAAAAAATTCTTGATTCAAATTTTGATAAATTCCGATTGGAGGGGACATCGGATATTTTCGGATAATTTCGTCTCTTATCGCTGAGCTTTGCAATTCGCTTTCAGAGGGGTTGTAACATAACCTCAAAGTTCAGAATAGCAAACGAACTGGAGGAAAATGGTTCGTCTTGTGTGTTGTCGTGAAAATAGATTGAACAATTCATTTTTATGAATTTTACAAATAGTTCTTCAAATATTTAATAAATTCGTTTCATCATAAAATTCAATATTAGGTCAATCGATCCATTTCATTGTGAATATACAAAATAAACAAAGAAACAAAAATAAAATACGCCGGAGTGATCCGCCCATTAGTTTTGAAGTTATCACAACAATATATATATATGTATACATAACCGGATATTTGACATCAATAATAATTGAAACAAAATAATTGTCAACAATTACTCAATTGATTTGCTTTCTGTTTTAATTTTTTCATTGGAAATAAATAAAAGGCCTGAGTGAAAAATGGCGGGTACATATACAAAAAAAGAATTTGGAGCAGGTCCTGAGGAACAGACGCTTCTAAAAGATTCAAATGGAGCAGCAAGAATTTTACCACCAAAAGGTATTTTAAATATAAAACATGAATGAAACTCTCGGCAATTTGTATCCAAAAATGTATCCTTTCTCTCAACATTTTCACTGTACAATCACTATTGCTTTTCTATATAAACATACCAATTTAATAGTCCCCCTCACCATGTGCTTCTTTTACTCGTGTGTATAGTCTTTGCTTTTTTTTTTTCTTTCTTTTATTTTTATGTTTCTTTTTCTTTTTTTCGCCTCCTTGGCAAATTGCCCAAGCCATTTTCTGATCGCGTCTTGAAACTCAGGATTCTCTTTTATAAAAAAATTTTCCTTACGCAAGTATTTTTCTTTTGATTACAAATTTATATATATGTGTGAGAGAATAAAAAAAAGAAATATGACCATGTGAAAAAAAGTGTCAAATTATTATAATTTTCATAGTGTGTGTGTGTGTGTGAAATAATTTTATTTCAATTGAACTTGCATGACTATTGGCTAATATATCTAGAGAGACTAGTGTAGTGTAATCTGCTGAGTTCATTATCCTCTTGCCATAATAAGCATAATTTTTACATTGAAGATATATTGTCCACGGTGCTGACTACATTGTTCCCTTCGACTATTTATAATGATGCTTTCAACTCGACTACACAAAAACTAATTAACTTAATAGCTTTTAAACTGAAATTAAACTCATTCGAGGAATTAGAAGAAAAGTCTATGAAAATGAGAAAGTCTTATATTGATAAAAACTAAAGAAATTTAAAATTTTATTGAATGAGAATTTTAATTTCTTTTAAACGAAATTAAAAAAGATTATTTTTTACTTGTAATTTTAATTTAGCATATCTTTTGGACATTGAGTTTCAAATGGAGAATTTTTATCGAGTTTATAATATATAATATAAGAGGTATCGAATTCAAAACACTCTCTTGTGTTGCAATATATTCTCTGACAGCTGATAAGAAACTGTTTAGAAAGCTTTTTTCAATGACAATCTCATTTATTAATTTATCAATCGTTCGGGAATTTAAGCTCTTGTGATCTGTAAACTAACGAGAATTATCTCGTAAACATATTCTATATATATACAATGAAGATAAAGATTTAATTTTATTATGAGAAAATTTAACAAAAAAAAATATATATATTATTTTTATTTAAAAATATATTTAAAAAAAAACAAAATGCATGGCTAATTTTAGTTTATTAATTATTTACTGCACTAATTATTTTTGTTAAAGTCTCCTTCTCTCTGTACAGGTCACAACTTTACTTACTATACTTTTAATTCTTCTCTTTCTCATGGTAATTTTCTTTAATTTAATTATGCCTAATATTAATTATTATTTATCCTTTATACTGCTTCATATGTGGATAAAAATGAATTTACTTTCAATTTCATGAAAAAAAAGAAATTTTTCTCACTTGAAAAAATTCATTATAAAATAATTATAAAATCTTTTTTTTCCCCCAAATAAAAATTTTCAAAAACTAATTAAACATTAATTGTATTTAAATTATGTTTATAAATTTTTATACTTTTATTTTAGAACATTAAGAAAATGAGTAATTAAGTCCCTCTCAAAAAGTACCTATTGATAATGTTAAATTTTTAAAGTAAATTCTAACTTGGATAATCTTTTTTATAGATCCATAAAGATTTATTTTTTTTTTTGATGATTTGAACGTTTAGTGAAAATTTACTCGTTAAACGAAGTGTTTGAAAATTATCCAAAGAGAAAAATTTTTTTTTTTCCGTATAAAAATTAAACATAGAAAATAATATGTACAAAAAATCTTGTAAGTTTTATGTAAAAAAATCTTTTCATTTTAAAACAATTTTCAAAAAATTGAAGAAAATTCATTTTTCAAAAATTAATTTTGGTGTTAGTAATTATGTACTAATTTTTGATTAACATTTTTTGTAAATTCAAGATCGTAAAAATTTTATTTCTTGAACCGCTTATGATCTTTTTTTGCTTAAATCGCATTCGCTCGTAAATAAAATTTTATTAAATCAATTACACTTATAAATTGATTCAAATGATGATCAGGGCATGATAATTGATTGCCAGGCGGTTACAGTGTCGTTAGATCAATGCTCTTTATACCTATTTTTAAACAACTTAAATGGTATGCACTTCATTTGACCTTAGCCGAGAATTTTTTTTTTTTTTCTCTTCTTTGTGAAGAGAAGATTTTATAAATCATGAATATTATTCAAAAATAAAACTATATAACAGGTTCAGAACCAGTTCGATTGTCACCTGGTTGGGAAGGAACTGGTAGGCCAGACGACGAATTAAATTTTAAGGACATGACAATGGACCAATTAGATCTGGAATTAAATCCTCCCAAGGATCGGTGAGTAAAAATATAATTTTTGTCATATTTTTAATTTTTATCTAAAGCAAATTATTTATTTACTAATTAGAAAAAATCAAAAAAAAATTGATAAGGAGTAAAAAATAATGGAAAATTAAAATTTTCATTCTCATACTGGATATTTTATTTTAAACAATAATTTTTTTTTATATTTTAAATACATATTTAATTATGTATCTATGCATTATGTAAAATTATTTTATTTATTTATTTTATAAAAATATTTTTCGGAAGTGTTAAACGATAATGCAGCGTCATATGTATAAATTTTTGCTTACAGTAAGCAGAATTATTTTAAAAGACACTGAGAAATAGTTGAGAATTTATTTCAATGAATTTAGTGGACATGATAAAAAAAAATAATAAAAATTTACAAAATCAGTTATCATACTTGGAAATTGATATTTTCATTTATTAATTTAATTAATATATATATACATCGCTGAATTAAAATGAATTCATTATATTTTCAGATTAAATATAGTATATTTTATTATGCTTCTACATGGAATTGGAACTTTGATATCGTGGAATATGTTTATAACAGCATTTGATGTAAGTAATAATTTCAAAAGATTAAAATTTTGCAATTTTATACCAAAATGATGGTTATTTTTACTTAACATTTATTAATATTTTATAATTTTTTTATTTTTAATCTAATAATAAATTTAAAACAATAGTTCCAATTAAAAAATTATTATCATGCTTAAAAATAATTTTTCTCTTTATTTTTTTTTTAGTATTTCACGGATTTTAAATTGAGCAGCGAGTCTCAGCCAAGATATAAAAAATCTTTTCAAGAGGAATCCGCATTGGCAGCACAAATACCTAATCTTATTTTCAGTTGGATAAATATTTTTGTCCAATTAGGGTTCGTATAGATAATTTTCTTTTTTTTTATAAATATTTGTCCTGAAAAATATTGACAGGCAAATTTATATTTTTTTACAAAATTATAATTTTCTTTTGAAATAATTTACAGAGGAAATTTAACAACACGAATAGTTTGGGGAATATTTGTACAAGTATTAATATTTGTATTTACAATTGTCCTGGCAATGACTGATACAAGCGCTTGGATTCCAGAATTTTATTGGACCACTATGATTACTATTATATTATTAAACAGTAAGTTCTTATAATAATAAGTTTATATATAAAATAAATAACGAAATAACGAAATAAATTCTTTGCAGCTGCAAATGGTATTTATCAAAATTCCGTTTATGGAATGGCAGCTAAATTACCTGGTAAATATACAGGTGCTGTTGTATTAGGCTCGGTAAGTATTTTTTCTTCACTTAATGATCGTTTTTTTTTTCTTTTAAATTAAATCGTATAAAGTTTCTAAAAATACTTTTTTCTATTACAGAATATAAGTGGTACATTTGTGTCGATTATCGATTTAGTTTCCAAAATATTATCTCCAAATCAACGTACAGCCGCTATTTATTATTTTATAACTGCTCTTTTCGTACTTCTCGCTTGCTTCGATACTTACTTCGCTCTTCCAATAAACGTACGTTTTTTATTTTAATTAATTAGGATTTAATTGAATGCAAATATTTTGTTTATTAAAATATATTGAATTTTATTTTTTTTTTAAACAGAGGTTTTATCGATATCATGAACTTCTTGCCCAAAAAGAAGTGAATAAAAAGAGAATAGGTGGCAAGGCAAGAGGAAAACCAGAGAGACCACCTTATTTTACAGTTTTTAAACAATGTTGGGTACAATGTTTTAATGTATTTTTCATTTTTTTTGTTACGCTTGCAATTTTCCCGAACGTTGCCAGTAACGTTCATCATTCAGATTCAAATTTCATAATTTCTGATAAATATTATGCAAGCGTTATGTGCTTCCTTACATTTAACGTCACAGCCATGATTGGCAGTTTCTTTGGATCAAGATTCCAATGGGTAATTATTATTATTTTCTTATTTAAAATTACAAAAATTATTTTCCTCTAAAATTACAATTTTTTATAATTAATATTAATTTTCAGCCGAGTAAAAAGTATGTGATCATTCCCATTGTCTTGAGAGTTTTATATATTCCACTTTTCTTGGTTTGTAATTATCAAGTGAAAGACATGACGAGAACGATTCCCGTTTTAATTAACAATGATTGGATATATTTAGCCATTGGCATTACAATGGGATTCACAAGTGGCTATTTTTCTTCCATGACCATGATGTTCTGTTCTAGGTAAAATAGAATTTTTCATATTAAAATTGTTTTAAAATTGGAAAAAAAAGAGTTATATAATATCTAAATATATTTTATTTACAGTACGGTAGAGCCACAATATGCCTCGACAGCCGGTATGTTAGGAGCAGGTTTTTTAATAACTGGAATTGTTTCGGGATTGACTTTCACTCGCCTAATGCCCTATTTGGTTACTTGGACAATTTATCAAAATATTTGAGTTTTACTAATGGATAATTTAGGGAAATTTTTCAACCCAAATTTTATCGATTTAAAAGGATAACGCGATAAATAAAAAGAACCATAAATTCAATTTGTAAAGAATTTCATCGACAATTGTTTAAAACCTTCGCATCCGTGACTGTATAATATTATATCAAGTCACAAAGTCCAGTAGTCACAAGGACTGAAAAATATTAAATCGTATTAAGTTACAATCTCGTCAGCAAAAAAAAAAAAAAGGAAGCGACAAAATCACTTTTTATGGAATAGCATTTACTCGATTGACAATTTGTCAAACCAAAATGCCTTAATTGATGAAGAAAAAAAAGGAATGTTAAGTCTCTTTTTTGGAGATTTTTGAAGCCGCTTTAAATGCACATTTGATTAAAAAAATATATAATATTTTAATTTTTATACGTCGTTTATAAAAAAAAAAAAATGATTCTTTTACATGTTAAATTGATACTCAATTTTGCCATTATTTCCAAATACATATACATAAAAATGTTAAATTGACTGTTGAAAGAGAGTAAAAAAAAGTGCGAAATATGTACTATTATAGATTTAAAATGTTTTGTTGCAGTTTATCTTAGAAATAATTTTTTTTTTTTGCATCGTTACTGGACTTTTTATACCGTCATTTTTTATCTTTATATATAAAAAAAAAACTGTTATCATTTAAGGTATCTGCGAACTTGTACTTGTTGAGACACAAAGTTGTGGAAAATAATCCGTTACGCTTCGTATAAATAATATACGGAAGAGGAATTTTTAATATCTTACAATTAGATAAATTTATATTTTCTTTTGTTTTTTAGAAAAATAGATATAACTATTTTCAAACTATTTTTATCTACGATTTATGTCTCTTTTTTTTCTATACTTGAGGTAATTTGCCTTTCGATTCGCTTTGAAAAATGTTTAATGAGCGAAAATTTTCAAGAAACAAATATAATTCTACTTTTTTAAATTAACTGTCTTTTATTTTATTGTTGAAAAAAAAAATATTTTATTTATTTTACTCTTCTATTGAATTAATAAAGTTAAATAAAAAAACTTCTATTTAATTTATCAGTATAAATCATAAAAAGTTTTAAAAATTATTATTCTTTGTAAATGAATATCGTCACAGGTAAATTACCTTAAATAAAATAGAATTAACAAGCCCTCCGACGCCTAGCAATTAATATTTATAATCATTAATTTTATTTAAAAATTTTAATACCAAAGAATTTGTTTTTTTTTTCAAAAAGTAGGAATTGAATTTTTTTACATTGTAAAATATTTATATGCTGAAAAAGATTTAAATAGTAGTATCTTCTTAAAAATTGGTATAATAATTAATATTAAATATTAATTATTAATAATTAATATTTTTTAAAGAAAATTACTATGACCAATTCTTGAAAATCGCTCATTTACTCTTTGTAATTTTTCATAAATCACACATTAAGAAAAAAAATTCCAATTTAATATACCTCGATTTATAAATATGCTAGGCTCAAAGTAGTGTAAGATTTAAAAGGATTGAAGAAGATAGAAATAAAAAATATTTAACATAAAAAGAAAGAACAAATTCCTGTCATCCCATTACGAGTAATTTAAAAATCGCAATTCTAAAGCGTAAGTTTATAAACTACGAATTTTAAAAGCTTATTAATGTTCAACTTCCTATATATATATATAGGGACAATCCACAAGAATGCAGACAATAAAACTTAAATGAATTTTCAATCCAGGGAAAGGCATGAGCGTGAAAAAAAAACTATAGCTTAGAAGCGATATTTTTGTATAATTAAAAATAAAAAAAAAATAAAAAAAAAACCTCCATTCTCACATTAAGTTACACACATAAACATATCACCTCACTTTTAGATTTTAGAAATTTTCAAGACATTTAAAAAAAAAATACACTGTACGCTCAACATATTTGAAATTAGAACATAATTCTTTCGTCCGATTAATTTTCCGTTCTGTTTCTATAATAATATATAATATAAAAATATAAATATTATAAGGAATGAAAAATGTTATACTCATAAATAAAAAATACTGTTAAATAATTTACCGATTTAAAAAGACTTGTGTCCTATTATAAAAATTGTTTTCATGCTGCAACAAATAATAATACAATGTTAAATAAATGAATTATAAATTAAAAAAGAGATTTTTCCTTTAATTCCGATTTTTTTAAAAATTAAATGTTTATTTTTTAAGTTACTGGAAAAAATTAAATCAATTTTGATTGAAAATATATTTTTATTTTTACGATTTAGATAAACATACTATTTAAATTAAAGGATATTATTTATATATATATATAATATGTAGAGAGAGAGAAGAGAAACAATATAATACACTTTGTGCTCAGATGTTAATTTTGTTACATGACATAAACTTTTTCTATTTTTTTATAAGCAAACGCTTCTTTGGTTTTTGGACAGATTACCGTTCCATTATTCTCGTGAGCCATTTTTTCCAAAGCCTGAAAAATTGAAATTAGAAAACATTTGGAATAATTTTTATAAAATTGAAATTAATTTCATTTATTATACTTACTTGTTCACCATAAACATAACCATTGGGCATCATCATGGGTTGATTGTATTCATTAAGAGGTGTACCACTTATACTGCAAACTAATCTTGATTGAGAGCAATGGGCAAATGGCAATGGATTTGCCAATTCATTAAGAGATTCATTGCAAACCGGACAACTTGGATTTCGTCCTTCTTTATTGCCTCCATAGCATTGTGGTGTTTTTAATGCAGATAAACCAGCTTGAAGGGCAACTGTAAATACACTTTGACTCGCGAGTTGAAACAGTCGATAGTTCTCATGACGAAATTGTTCAATGAGTCTGTCCCAACTGTAAAGGAAAAAATAATAATTCCTAGGATCATATTTAAATTTGAAAAAAAAATATTTACCGTTTCTCATCGAGTAAATCTTTATAGGGACTCAAATAAGGATTGGCAGGAAAAGCCAATTGTCCCATACAACATTGAATCTCTTGCAATTGATAATCATCATAATTTGAGAAACATTTTCTCGCGTGTTTCACAGCATCCAATCGTCGATCTGCACGAACTAATTCAATAAATTCTTGAACTCGTAAATTAAATTCCATTGTACTTCCCAATTTTCGTAATTTCGAACGATTATCATGACACCAACCCAAACAACGAGCTGTCTCGTGATTTGCCAGTGAATTTTCCACTTCTTTTGACACCATGAATACATCTGAAAAAAATTTTCCCCCATTAATAAAATATTCATTTTGTAAAAAAAATTGTTTTTTTTACCAATGTTAGTCAAATCACGAAGTTCACTGGTGTCAGCCAATTTCATTGCAGTTTGATAATATCCTTTTCGAAGAAAATATTCGACCAACATTCGATCAAGTCTTTGTCGTCGCCATTGATTAACGGCGCTTGGTGATGTATTTGAATGATCTTTTAAATGATCTAAACGTCGTTTACACACCATTCCAGCTTGAAGTTCCTCGGCTATTGATTCCTCGGCTTTGCGTTTTAAAACTTGAAGACGAGCAACAACACCACCCAAAAGACTCGTTATATCTCCAGTAGGAACTTGTGCCCCATCTTCGGATAATCCTTTTTCTAATTCATTTGCCGCTGACTGTACATGAGATACTTCACGATCCAATGTCTTTTGTGCTGAACGAAATTTTTTATTCAACAATTCATATGGCACCTGTTAAAAAAAAATCGTATAGAATAAATTAATACTACGTATTAGCTTCATATTTTACAATAAAACTAGAAAAAAATCCATTTAACATTGAAAATATTTTTAAAATAATTTTGAAAATCAATTAACATCTGGTGACTCAATAATAATCGCGAGTAAAAAAAGAAAAAAAACAATTTCCCTTAAAATGACACATTATTGATTAAAAATAAATATATATATATATATATCAATGAAACCTTGAACTTTAAAAAAAATTACTAAAATTTTGAATAATACGTAAAAAAAAATCTCACCTTTAATGTCGGATGTTCTAGACTCTTAACATCCATTTTTGTAGTATCACTTTTCAAGATGTATCACACTTGTAAAAATATACACACAAAATTTCGTCTTAATATTTTTCAAGATCACAAAAGTTCAAATCACACTAGCAGTTATTAGACGAATAAAAACTTGACAATATTTAAATGCACAAATTATTAAACACTATGGTAAAAGTAAACATTTTCACGTTTTTATCAATGCCAGCTGATTTTTCGTAAACAAAAGAATTGTAACTGTCAGTAGGGTAAATGGAAGTTTATGTCAGAAAATATGAATACAACGCAATTTCCTGGACAGAGAGAGAGATCTCCATTCCAAAAAGGTTGATTTTGACCAGCTTCAATTGAAGAGAGGGGGGAGTTATTTCAATATAATCTTCTTCGCGTGAGGGGAAATTTACACATACATTTCCGACATTTTAGAAGTTTTAGAATATGTGACATATGTGGCATAACCTAACCTTATTATCTTCGCCACATGGTGGGGAAAGTAGAATAGGGGAAATGTCACACTTCAGAGGTGTCACATTTCGAAGTTTCTATTTAGTTATTATTTAACTTCTGCTATTAAGGCAAGTTTGTTATATTTTTATTGATTTGTCCAATTTGTTGTCCCAGTGTTTATGAACCGTATGAACTAATCGTATAATCAAACCAACCTATAGTATATAGTTAATCGTGTATAAATGTGATTTTTTTTTATCGCAGTTTTTGTGTTAAAAAAAATTTGTGAAAAAAAAAGTCAAATTTTTCAAGTGTAAAACTTTTAAAAGTGAAAAACAAAGTTTTTCTTAATATTAGTGAGGGCCAGCGGCCGAAGGATGCTTGCATATGTCTAAATTCCAAAGAACACAGCTTTTGGGCACTGCACAGGTGAAGAGGTCGTCCACAGAGCACACGACGGCCACGGGCTTCGGCTCCACGAAGCGCACCAAATATTCTACTTCAATTACGGAGATAGACGAAATTGAGAATATGACGGACACAGCGGCTGCCACGACTAATTCGCAAAAAAGGGCAAATTTTTCAGCATTGACTGTCACCAATCCTAACGGAGTAACGAATAAAATATCACCAAGTTTAGCTAATGCAAAGCCAGGTTCAGCTAAAAAATTGGTCATCAAGAATTTCAAAAGTAAGTAAAAAATTTATATTCTCACATATACATAACCTTCAAAAATCAGTTGGCATTGATCAATTTTACCATATATTCATTTTTCTTTTTTTGGCACTCTGCCTTCCTTGTCTTGCGAAACTTCTTTTATCGTATTTTTGACGTATTTACGTTTTTTTTTTTTGTTCTTTTGCTTAGAGCATTTTTATTTTAAAAACGCCCTTGAATAAGTTTATCTGTTTTAATTTAATAAGAGACAATTTGAATGTCTTTACTATGCATCGATTATTTTTTATGATTTCAATTTTTTAATTATTGTTCATTTAAGAGAAAGGCATTCTTGCCTCATTTTAAATGCCGTTATCATTGTCTAAAAAAATACGCAAATCATTCATTTTGGAATGCATTACAAACTTGTTGAAATTATTTTTTATTTTCAATTTGTGTTTACATTTTAAAAACGCCATGTTTAATTATTTTAATTTGATTTTTTGATTAACTTCTTTTTTGAAGTAACTTCAATTCTCTTTTTCTTTTTGATGATAAATTTATACACACATATATATATAAAAAAAGTAGTCTAATTAAATTAAATGACGATCAAGTTTAGTGATAGTGCATTTTCTAATTTATCTCATTATCTTGCAATTACATAATTCTGAAAACAATCTGCGCAATTTTGTGTTTACAAAAATATTTAATTACCATTTTAAAGATAAATATTAAAATTAGTATAATTAAATATTAAATTTGGAGAAATTAGGTTTAAAAATATTGATGCATTTGAATTTTTTTTTTTTTTTTTCTAAAGATAAACCAAGATTACCGGATAATTATCAAGAGGAGACATGGGAAAAATTAAGAGAAGCTGTGGTTGCAATTCAAACTAGCAAAAGCATACGATATTCATTGGAAGAACTTTATCAAGCCGTAGAAAATATGTGTAATCATAAAATGGCATCGACGCTTTATAATAATTTAACAAATTTGACGGAATCGCATGTTAAAGCAAATATAGAGCAATTTGTCGCTGAATCAATGGACAGGCATATTTTTTTGAAAAAAATGAATGAATGCTGGCAATCGCACTGTCGGCAAATGATTATGATTAGGAGTATCTTTTTATATCTTGACAGAACTTATGTTTTACAAAATTCCGGAATTTCGTCAATTTGGTATGTGTTATTTTAAATTATTTAAAAAATTAATGTATTATTTATTAATTTGATTTTTTTTCAAAACAGGGAAATGGGACTTTATTTATTTAGACTTAATATTGTTCTAAATAATCTTGTGCAAACGCGAACAGTAGAAGGACTTCTCATGCTCATTGAAAAAGAACGACAAGGTGACACAGTGGATCGAACTCTACTTAAGTCATTACTGAGAATGTTGTCTGATTTGCAAATTTATCAGGACGCCTTCGAAACAAAGTACGTTTTTTTTTTCATTTAAAAATTACAATCCAATTGTAAAGAAAAGAATTGTAAAATTAAGAATTTAATTTTTTTTTTTAATTTAAATAAATTCAAAATGATTTTAAATAATAATTTTTTTTTTTCTTAAGGTTCCTTCAAGCTACTGAAAGATTGTACGCGGCAGAAGGCCAACGACTCATGACAGAGCATGACGTCCCGGAATATTTAGCTCACGTTGACAAACGTTTACAAGAGGAAAACGAGCGTTTACTTCATTATCTTGACACATCAACAAAGTAAGAGCAAAAAAAAATTTTATTTCCCAAAAAAAAGATGTTTTTCCAAAAGAAAAATTAATTATTATCGAAAATTTTCTTTTTCAAGATGGTCCCTTATTCACACAGTGGAAAAGCAATTGTTATCCGAACATATTTCCAGCATTCTTCAAAAAGGTTTAAGTGGCTTATTAGATGAAAATCGAATTCACGATTTATCGCTACTTTATAATTTGTACAGTCGAATTAAAAATGGACTCGTTGAACTATGTTTGAATTTCAATAGTTATATTAAGGTAAAAATTTTTTATGTAAAATTATTTTGCGTACATTTTTTCAAAAATTAAATAATTAAAATAATTTTTATAATTTTTTGTTTTTTTATCAACAGAAAAAAGGCAAAACGATAGTGATAGATCCTGAGAAAGATAAGACAATGGTACAGGAATTATTAGATTTCAAAGACAAAATGGATAATATAGTTAATACTTGTTTTCACAAGAATGAGAAATTTGCAAATAGTTTGAAGGAAGCTTTCGAAGCGTTTATTAATCAAAGGGCAAATAAACCAGCCGAATTGATAGGTAATTTTTTTTTTTTTTTTACATTAAAATTTATATTTATTATTAAATTATGTGTTTAATTTTCTTTTACTTTGTTTTAGCAAAATTCGTTGACTGTAAATTGAGAGCAGGAAATAAGGAGGCAACTGAGGAGGAATTGGAGCGTTTATTGGATAAAATTATGGTATTGTTTCGATTTATTCATGGCAAAGATGTTTTCGAAGCGTTCTATAAAAAAGATTTGGCCAAACGTTTATTGGTGGGAAAATCGGCATCGGTTGACGCTGAAAAATCAATGTTATCAAAATTAAAGCAGGAATGCGGTGGTGGTTTCACCAGTAAACTTGAGGGAATGTTTAAGGATATGGAACTTAGTAAAGATATTAATATTGCATTTAAACAAGTACGTTTAATTTATTTCAAAATTGTTTGTATTCCTTTTGTTTTATTAATATTTTAATTTGAAAAATTTAAATTTCAGTATTCCAGCAACCTGCAAAATGAATTATCGGCCAGTAATTTAGATTTAACAGTGTCAATTCTCACAATGGGATATTGGCCAACTTATCCCGTCATGGAAGTGACTTTACCGTTAGAAATGGTCCAATATCAAGACGTGTTCAATAAATTTTATCTAGGCAAACATAGCGGAAGAAAATTACAATGGCAACCAACTTTAGGTCATTGTGTATTAAAAGCATGGTTTCAACAGGTAATTTTCTTTTTTTCATTTTAATAAAACAAAATGTTTTATTTATAATTATTTTTCTTTTTATTTGAAAATAATTTCTTTTTTCAATAGGGAAATAAAGAATTGCAAGTCTCATTGTTTCAAGCTTTGGTTTTAATACTTTTTAATGACGCTGATGATTTATCGCTTGAGGAGATTAAAGCGGCGACAAATATTGAAGATGGCGAATTAAGAAGAACGTTACAATCGTTAGCGTGCGGTAAAGCTAGAGTTCTCCAAAAAAATCCACGTGGTCGTGACGTTGCTGATAATGATAGATTTGTCTTTAATGCCGATTTTACTAATAAACTTTTTAGAATAAAGATTAATCAAATTCAAATGAAGGAAACGGTAAGGACAATAGAGAAAATTTTCGATTATAAAAATTTATTTTATAAAATAATAATTAATATTTTTTTTTTTTAGAACGAAGAACAGAAAGCAACTGAGGAGAGAGTTTATCAGGATCGTCAATATCAAATAGACGCAGCTATTGTGAGAATAATGAAAATGAGAAAAACCCTTACGCACAATCTTCTTATCAGTGAACTTTACAATCAACTTAAATTTCCCGTCAAGGTAATTTTTAAATTAATTTTTAATTCACAAAAATGTTTTTATTAGTTTTAATTAATTTGCAAATAAAAAAAAAATTTCAGCCGGCGGACTTGAAGAAACGAATAGAATCATTAATTGACAGAGATTATATGGAGCGAGATAAGGACAATGCAAATCAGTACAATTATGTCGCATAACCGCGACCACCTGCCAAAATTATGACATCCAAGTGTAAAGTGTTTACGTTTGCTATAAAAAACGATTTTTTCATTGATGCTTGCAAATTGCCAAGACACACATACAAAAAATTCCCTCAATCTCGTGATTCCATGTTCCTCGAATTTTGAGCGTGGGATAAAAAAAAAAATAATAATAATTGAAAAGTTCGTCGACTTACAAAACGAAAAAAATTTCACATTTTTCAAAAATTCATTCCCTTTTCGCGCCCCTAATTATTGTTTTTTTTTTAAAAATGTGTTGAAGTGTTAAAAAAAAAGTCAACGTACTTTTTTGTTGTTGTGTTATTTGGTTTTTAAAAAAAATTAATTGAAAAAAAAGCATCACAGAGAAATATTAACTATAATAATAATAATACGTCTGTTTTGCATAACAAGTTTTTACGCAATGCAGTGTTTTTTCTTAGCGAACTAAGACGTAGAATTTGAGTGAATAGAGGAAAAAGGAAAGAAAGAAAGAGAGTGTGTGTGTGAGTGAAAAAAATCCTATTAGGAAACGTATAAAAAAAAATGGAAATTCTGCACAATGATTTGCTTTAACACGAAAAATATGGAAAACAAATTCTTTAATTTAACAATTATGTGCTTTCTAACTTTTTCCATGAGAGACTGAAGATATTACAAAACAAAAATAACTGTTTATTAGAAATCAACTTGGTCAAACCAAAATTAAAACACAAGGCACCCTTGTATAATTTACTATGATGATAATGATGATAATGATGATGATGATGATGATGATGATGATTCGAACTCGGAAGAAATTCTCGAGATATTTCACGTGCCTATTTCTTAAGATATTCCTAAGTGTATTTATTATTAATTGAAGCAATACAAATGGACAGTCTTTAAATTCGCATACTGCCTTTGTAACTTTTCTTTTATTATTATTATTACTATATATTTTTTTTTCTTTCGTTTTGGAAACGAAATTTTAAAACAATAGTTTTATTTATCACATTATTTGTGAGAGAAAAGTAGAATTTGTGCGCCCTCATTATTTATAAATGTATCAATTTTGCAAGTGTGCAATTTTTTTTCAAAAAATTTTCCTCACTTAGCTTCAAATTCAATTTGTTAATATTTAATTGATTTAATGTGATTAAAAAAAAAATTTTCCCTTTCTAATATAATAAATAAATTATTTACAATAGTTTCTGCCAATATTTAATTTGCTAATTTAAATCGAAACTCTGTAGATATTTCATTTATTTAATTTATTTTATTCATTTATTTAATTACATATTATTTCTTCAATTAATTATTCTTAATGTAGAATTAATTTAAAATTACTAAGTAAAGTTCTAAATTTTTTAAAATTATTTATAGTAAAATATTTTACAAAAAGAATTTTAGTGGAAAATTAAAATATGTAACGTAAAATTTACAATATTTTTGTATAAACAGAAAATTAAAAGAAACAAAATAACAATTTTACCAGTAAGTCTTTTCCACTTTAATTAGTGTATTCTTTTTTTTTTGGCAGAGACTAGCATAAGAACAATTTTAAAATACTTAAATCAATTTACAAACTGAATTTTTATAATTAATTAATAATATTAAGAGAGATGATAGTAATTAATTTACAAGGGTGCATTAAAAACAAAATAAGTTTTCTGTAGCATTTGGAATATAGAATGTTTAAAAATATTGTTTTATAATAATTTTAAAAAAATAAATAATTTTTGAAATGCAATTAATTTTATGCGACTTACAAAAAAAGGTCATAAAAAATTGTATAATTAATTTTGTAGTTTCAGAATTATCAAAATAGTAGTTTTAAAAAAAAACGCGTGAATTATGAGAAAATTATAGCTAACATCAATAATTGAAATTCAGTATAATTTATCGAAAGCGACTGAAAAAAAAATTAAGGGTATACTTGTGAGCAATATTATTTTCTGTCTCAGTGTTATTTATATATAGACTGGCTTCTATTTACTGAGACTTTTATAATGAAAAAATAAAAAATAAAATCACGAAGAGAAAGTAAATGAGAGAAATAGCTAATTTAGTGGGAGCAAATTCATTGAAGAATTTTATTACAAATGCAATTTTTGCGAAGAAATGCAGTAGACCGTAACGTTTATTTACAAAAAGAAAACTTTCTTCTCAAGAAAATATTTCTCAAAAAAAAGTATTCTTTATTCAAAAAAATTTTTTTCAATTACTTCATAAGTTACTTTATACTGCATTTACTTTGAATAAATAGGTTTATGCTACAAAACTTATTTTTGTGTAATATTTCGTAGAATTCGTCAACACTGTAAATAGCTTAAGGTTCTGTATTTGTAATAAAACCATGAAAAAAAAACAACGAAAAATACTTTAAAAAAGTCCTAGATTTTTATTTGCTTTTAAACTATTTTATGTACACAACTTTTTTTTTTCTGTAAATATTCCAATGACTTTAACAACAAATTTCTAATTTGTTTGTTTTCATGTCAATTTTTATTTATCCGTTTCATTTTTTTTTTACTTTGTCGTGCAGGCCATTGGATTATTTATAATGGATGTTACGTTTTTTTTCTAGTTTTCTTTTTTTTTTTTAAGAAAAGAATACGTTTTTTTAAACGTGGAATTTTTTTTTACCTTATCGACAAATATAATATTAAATGACGCTATTTACAATTGGCGAGAATATTTACGAGTTTAATTGTCTCCTCATTATGTGAACTTTTTCATTTCTCATATCAATTTCATTTAATAGTGATTTTGCAAAATTCGATGGACTAGCTTCTTTATTTAGAAAATCAGAGACTAATTTCGATGGTGGTTTACCACCGCCATGTGCCAAACATTCACGACGATATTTCTCACCTGACGATCTGCTCAGGGGATCATTTTGAAAATAGGTTTGCCAAATCCATGATGCAATTGCTCTTGAAGTTAAATAAGAATAATATTTCGCTCCATATCCAACTAAATGGGAAAATCTTAATTGCCAAGCCTGTGAATTAATTATTTAATAATTATTATTTGAAATAAAAAATGATTTATTTTGAAATTTTTTTTTTTTAATTTACCGTATTTTGAATATAAGAAAGTGAATAATAATCCTTTTGTATTTCAGCTAAAATACTCGTTGTATCACACTTTAATTCCTCGCTATGATAAACTTGATCGAGCATACTGTAAAAAACTTGATTTTGCATTTCCGACGCTGGAAAAACACTTTTTGAGGCAAACAATTTTTCCACTAATTGCTCGGGAATTGGTTCTTGTGTTTGAAAATGTTTAGCAAAAAGTTTTACAATCTAAAAACAATTACATTGTTATAAAAAAAGGCAATTAAAAATGATTTTTTTTAATATTATTACCCGAGGATCACTAGCAAAATATTCCATGAGTATACTTGGAACTTCGGCAAAATCTGTACTACATCTAGTTCCAGTTACATGTTGATATTTCGTTCTACCAAGCATTGAATGTAAAGCGTGTCCCATTTCGTGAAATAAATTTTCCATCGACGATGGCGATAATAAACATGGATTTAACCATCTTGACACTGGCAATGATATCATTATCACCACTATTGGATTCTAAAATTAATTTTGTTAATTTCTTTTTGAAAATTCAAAAATTCTTTTGACTATCTACCTGATAAGAACCATCGGGTAATTCTCGTCCTCCTCTAATTGTAAAATGACAATCCTGATTTGGTTTACCCTCACGTTCAAATAAATCACAATAAATATGTCCCAATAATCCTTCTGTTTCATCAATAACAGCTAATTTATAAACATCATCATGCCAAACTTCGCCTTGTTGTGTTGATTCCGCTTCTAAACGAACTCCAAATAAAGCTTGAGTTATTAAATTAATACCTTCCATGCACGCTCCTAATGAAAAATATGGTGAATAATCAGTCGTTGACATTTGTAACCAAGAATTTCTCGCTTGCGATGTAAAGAATGTTGTATCCCACGGCATAATAGTCTGTAATTGAAAAAAAAAAAAACATTTTAAATTTCTGAAAAAAAAATAATTCTAATAATTCTTACAGTTATTAAACTCTGGCTCTTCATTGATTGCATAAATTCAAAATCCTTCGCTGCTCTTGCTTTTAATTCTCCATTTAAAATATTTAAAAAGTCCTTTACATTTTCCGGTGTTTCCATTGTGCTTCCTTTAACGGCTCTGTGGAAGAATTTTGTGAAAAAAAAATAATTCAATTTATTTCACTATTTAAATATTGAAAAATTACCTGTGAGCGTAAGAGGGAAAACCACAAATTACACCAAGTTTATGTCTTGAATTTAAAAGATCTCTTAAAAATCGTTCTTGAATACGATCAGGTTGTAAATATATTTTATAAGTTACTTCACGTATTAATGGACTTGGCGACTCGGCAAAATGACCATTAATCACAACATGACCTTTTTCGGCAATAAAACTGTATTTAAAATTAAATGAAAAATTATGATCTACTTTTATTATTAATTATTAATGCAGAAAATAAAGATTTCTTACTATTTTCTCGCTATCGTTGGTACTTGATCTATTCGTATTGATCTTGGAGTAAGGGCTCTCGATGTAAATTTTTGACCAATCTGAAATAATTTTAAGTAGTTAAATCTGTTTCCTTTTTAAAAAAACCAATTTTAAAACATATAAAATCAAATTACTTGTAATATAAAATCGTTAAGATTAACAACTTCTTGTCTTTGTTCTTCTGGAAGATGAATACCACTTTGTTCAAAATCAATTGAAAATAATTGTGATACATGATTATCAATGTCTGTGGTTTTATGTATATCGCCATTTTTAATAACACGTTGCAATGAATCGTATAAATTTCTATCAGTGTTTAATCTGAAAATAATTGTAGTATTTAAAAGCAAAAAAAAAATTACCAATTATAATTTAATAATCAGTGAAAGAAATATTTTTTTTACCTTTCAACTATACTACTAATTGCCAAACATGCATCTTCTGCATAATTTGAAAACTCTTGATCCGGATGAGCCAATCTTATAAATTCTGCCATATCTGCAACTTGACACAAAGTATTTGATAGTTCATCAAAAATTTCAACCATTTTTCTTGTACGATCAGGACTTGTTGCTTCCTCAACAAGTTTATTTGAATGTGATATCGCATAATTTTTGAGTATCTCAAAACCTGATGCATTCTCTAATTCAGGAATATTAAACAATCCCTAAAAAGAAAAAATTGTAACAATAATTTAATCAAATATAATAAATTTTTCACTAATTAATAATAAAAATTTTCATTTAGTTTAAGAAAAAATATTTTCAAGTTACATTTTAAGGTTATGTTATAATAACAATAATCAAACTTGACAATTTCATCGTAAATATTTCAACAACAAAAAAAAACAAAATGTACTTACAGTTGCTTTAGTTTTATTATTTAAATCTAAATCCGGTGTTGCTTTTGAATTAAAAGCAGTAGCGAGTGGAGACCAAGTACTGACATATTTGACACCTTTGATTTGTCTCACAAATTTTCTAAGTAAAATTCGTGACATTTTTATTAAACACTTAATTTAACAAATTTATAAACTTTTATAATTATTAAATGATAATAAATTATAACTATTAACAATATAGTACAGCATTACTTTTAAAAATTTTCTTTTTTTTTCATATCAAAATAATTACAAAGAAGGAAAAGTTAGGTTCAGTTAGGTTAGTCACATTTTCCCAAACAAATTTGATTGGTTGTTCTGGATAATTTTTCAATAGAGATGTGAATGATTCTTTATAGTTTAGGTGAAACCTCCGAAATGTTACACAAAAAAAAGGAAAATTTAAAATTAAATTTGTGTAATAAATAATTTAATATATTTATTTGTCATTACAAATACATTTATGTATTATTAATATTGAAGTATAACAAAAAATACCAAAGTATTTTCTATACAAAATAGAATTTAAAACTAAATTATAAAAACTAGGCTAAATAGAAATATCACATTTTTTCGAGTGGATCGTGCCCTGATTTTAATTCAAAATCCATTTCTAATTTCGGTATTTTTATAGGAACATCTTCGTAATCATCCTCATCATCGTCTGACTCCTGATAGGGAAATAAAATTTCCTGAAATTTAATTGAAGACAAATCAACATTCTTTTCTTGATTTGTAATTTTTCTTTTTTGCGATTCTTCAATTACAATATCGTCATTGTTATCTAATAAATCGAGAATATTACTACCAACATCTTTTTGCAAAGAGGCGGCAGTTAATCGAAATACATGTCCCGTATATAAATTTGGTTCTTGTAATTTTAAAAAAGATGCAATTTGTTTTGGCATTGAGCAAAATCTTCTTCTTCCAATTACTTGAACGGTACATTTACCACCATGAAAATTAACAAAAAATCTATCGGTCTCAGTCTTTTTTAAACGTAAATCACGATATTTTTTTACTATCTCAGAATATTTTGGTGTAATTGTGAATGTGCGACTTTTTTTAAATTTTGTTGCAGCAATTTTTATCAATAACATTTGTCCATGCTCTTCAATATCTTTTGTTTTTAAATTAACTAATTCTTCAGCAACACACGCACCCGCTATTCCAACTATTAAAACAACCTGAAATTTTGTAGAATTAAAAAAATTTGTTTATGAATATATTTAAAAGACAAAAATTTTTATACCTTTATTGCTAAACAAAATTCATCAGGAGCTTTTGTAATAAAATCACATACTTCTTCTGGTTTAAAAGCTTTCCAACGTTTACTTTGAAATCCTTGGGATTTAATTTTCAAAAACGGTGTCAATCCTTTAAATTTGGTAATATCAATTTTTTCATGAAAATTAATAGTTTTTTTTAACATTGAATAACGTGACCACAATGATGATGGTTTATATTTTTCGCTCATTAATTCAAAATATTTTAATAATGTTTCTTCCGTGGTTAACAACATTTTTGAATCACGCCAATTTTTAAAAGCCTGATAACTTGCTTCATAATTCTCTTTATGTTTTAATTGTACAAAATTTTTATCAATATTTTCACTTGACACAATTGTTTTTAAATTCTCCGGTGGTATAAATTTCTCCTCGTCTTCGGAACTATCCATTTTTGTTTTTTTTATTGAGTACAAAATATAATTTTTTTTTTGTTAAACACTATCGTTGTTTATTAAAAACACGATTAAAAACAAATATTCAATCAAGAAAAACACGGGAAAAATATTATTTTTTATAGTAAAGGTGCTCACACACCAATAATAATTTCCCAATTGTCGGAAGTCTATTATGATTTTAGGCGGAAAATTTAAAAATAGATTTTAAATATTTCTGTGATACGAAGTATAAATGATAAATAAATTATAATTGTATTATAAAATTAACTTAAAATCTAATTTCACATAATTTAGTTGAGATAATTTTGTATAGAAATATGTAAAATGAAAAATAATTATATGGTAAAAATATTTCAATTTTATTAATATTAATACGGCCCTGATATGCAACACATACATACGCAAATAAATTTATATACAATGAAATATTTAGTTGTGTGTACGCCGTTCACTTGCACGAGGTGAACTTTCTGATTTGTTTTGCTTATAATATTTAATCATCCATGAATTTCTCTTGATACATATTGTATAATTAAAACTACAAAAGTAAGTGACAAATTGCATTAAAATGAATCCAATGTTAAAGAATTATAAAAAGTATATCAAATCTATGAAATTTTGTTTACGTGCCTTCATATTTCACAAGTGTGGCGCAGTGGGGAAAAAAAATTTTTTTTTTTTTCTCTTAAAATTCTCATCTTTTATATGTTTTCAAGCCATTTTCTTTTTTTTAAACTCTGCTCTAATATAAAATTTCCCTTTAGACAATTCTTATTTCTTCTTGCAAATATCAACATTTGTAATAATATAGAAAATCATTCCCTTCTCCCAAGCGTAAAGTGAAAAGAAATCCTCTTGTCTTAAATGTATAATGGAGCTCTCTTAATTTTCAAGAATATCGGGATTTTGTCAAAATGTAATGGATTTAAAATTTTGTAAATATTTCAATATGGGAATAAAATGAAAAAGAATTAATTCGTATGCTATGTATATCTATATATTATTATGTTTGTTCAATTTTCTTTTTTTATCGATTTAAAATTAATGTATTTAAGAAAAATTATTGTTAAATTTAAGAATTTTCGTAAAAAATGATCTGTAATTAATTATTTGAGGTTATTTTGATGAAATGGTGAATTAATGATATTTTTCCTTGTGACAGATGTCGGGGGAGGAATATGATAGTGAAATGGATTGTTCAGATTCGGATTGTGGTGATACAGGTTATGAGGATTATTATAATGTACAACCTTGGGGTGGTGAAGTAGACAATGACGTTGATCCGGATCAAGGACGAAAAGATCCTGAATACGCTATTCATGATTGTCTTCGTGTTGAGGAAGTTGAAAGGTTATTAAATGAAAATGTTGAAGTTTTAAGTAATAATCTTCACATTACACCGTCCTTAGCAAAAGTTTTGCTTCATACACATGATTGGGCATTACAAGATGTTTTGGCAAAATATCGCACTAATGCTTCAAATTTTCTCGTTACTTCAAAAGTAAAACCTCTACATCCACCAGATCCTTCATGTGCTCTAAAAATACAAAGAGGTGGATTTTGCACTGTTTGCGTTACAGTTTTTCCACCGGAAAAATTTGCACTACTCACATGTGGCCATTCATTTTGCAAAGACTGTTGGTGCATGCATTTTGAAGTTCAAATAACTCAAGGAATTTCAACTGGTAAATATAATGTTTATATATTTATTTATAAATGATAATTAAATAATTAAATAATTTGTTTTATTTTACAGGTATCAGTTGTATGGCACAAGAATGTGAAGTTTTAGTACCGGAAGATTTTGTACTTTCTCTTTTAACTAAACCAAGTATGCGAGAAAGATATCAACAATTTGCATTTCGTGATTATGTTAAATCACATCCACAATTGAGATTTTGTCCTGGACCTAATTGTCAAATTGTTATGCGTTCTAAGGAACATCGAGCTAAACGAGTCATGTGCTCTTCATGTAAAAGTATATTTTGGTAAGTTGGTTTTTTTTTTCTATTTTTTTGAACAATTTTTAATTTTGATAAAATTTTAGTTTTCGATGTGGTATGGACTATCATGCACCGACTGATTGTAATACAATTAAAAAATGGTTAACAAAATGTGCAGACGATTCAGAAACAGCAAATTATATCAGTGCCCATACCAAAGACGTAAGTGTCAAAAGTATTTAGTTTTTTAAAATTAAAAACTTATTTGAATTTTAAATAAAATTTTAATTTTATTCCAGTGTCCAAAATGTCACATTTGTATAGAGAAAAATGGTGGATGTAATCACATGCAATGTTACACTTGTAAACATGAATTTTGTTGGATGTGCCTTGGTGATTGGAAAGCACACGGAAGTGAATATTACGAATGTTCGCGTTACAAGGAAAATCCAAATATTGCTCATGAAAGTGTTCACGCTCAAGCGAGAGAAGCTCTCAAAAAATATCTTCATTATTACGAAAGGGTAAGAAATAAAAATTATTTAAAACATTTAAATTAAATAAAATTTTCTATTTAAAAAAAAAAAAAAATTTTTGTTTCAGTGGGAGAATCATAGTAAATCTTTAAAGTTAGAACAACAGACTTTGGAGGTCATAAAAATGAGAATTAATAAAAAAGTAATGAATGCAAGTGGAACTTGGATCGATTGGCAACATTTATACGCAGCTGCTTCGCTTTTGGCTCGTTGTCGCTATACTTTACAATATACATATCCTTATGCTTACTATATGGAGGCAGGACCACGAAAAGAATTGGTAAGGATTTTGAAAAAATACAAATCAAACAATTTTAAAAATTAATTTTTTAATATAAATTAAATAAAATTAAGTTTTAAGTAATTTTTTTTTTTAAATTCTAAACGAATTTAGAAAAATTATTATTCCGCGTGTTTAAAAAATAATTATTTACAGTTTGAATATCAACAAGCTCAATTAGAGGCGGAAATAGAAAATCTTTCTTGGAAAATTGAAAGAGCTGAAACAACAGATCGTGGAGATTTAGAGAATCAGATGGATATTGCCGAAAAACGTCGTGTCACATTGCTAAAAGATTTTTTAGATGTGTAAAAGAAATCAAGTAGGTGTTTCTTTTTTTTTTTTTTTTTAAATTAAAACGTCGAAGTTTATAAGAGGAAAAAAAGTGCTAGATTCTCTTTAAAAGAGCGGAAAAAAAGCTCAGTGAATTTTTTACTGAGTATTGTAAATAGTAAACAATTCAGTGTCAAAGGAAAAAAAAAAAATTGCAATGAAAATTTGAAAAATAACATTTATTTATTAATTAATTAATCCATTTTACTGCTACTATATATTCATATACATAAATATAAATATTTAGCCATTCTTGTAAAGTTCTTTGACTTCTAGATTAATGAGCTAGACTGAAATTTTCTCGTTATTTAAGAAACTCGTGCAAGTGTAGTACATACTCAATGAATACTTTATTATTATTCAAGTTTTATTTTTCTTTAGCAATTTGAAATGTACTTTCGGTACTACTTTTTTTCTAGTTTTTGTTTTATTTGATATTTTATTTAAAAATTTGTTCGAAAAAGATCTGTCAAATTTTTAATAATTTTTTTTTCTATTATGAAAAAGAGAAGAATAGGTTTTTAATTTTAAAAAAAGGAATATTATTTTAAATTGTTTACTAATATTTATGATGTAAAAAAAGTTTACTTTTCGTTGATAAAAAAAAAATGATTTTTTTTTTAAAGAAAACAAAATCTCGACTTATGTAATTAAACAATTAGAATCTAAGAGAATCTAATTCTTTGAATCGAATATTATGAATTTTAAACTCTAAATTCAAATTTCTAGATGAGGGAGCAATTTTATCTGTTATAATCTCTATAGTAATTACAAGTTTGTCTTTACTTACCTCTAAGTATTGTTAATATTAAGGCAAAAAAAAAAAATAAATAAATAAATAAAATTAATGGGAAAATAAGTAATAAAAGCTGATGTCTTTGATAATAATGTTTCTTGTAAATAATTGCACAAGTATACTATATATAGTATATATATATATATGATTGAGTGTTGTTTTTTAATGAATATATGTACTGTTTATGCAACGATTAAAGTCACATGTGGATTTTAGACTTAGGCCATCACTGTTTTCCAAGTATTTAATTAAACATCGTTACAATTAATTAATTAGTCTATAGATTCCCCGATGATACAATTTCAAGTAATTATTTCTTGAAAAATGCATCGCTTGGTAAATGTAATAATTAATCTCAAATAAAAGTAAACAATGAATTTCAGATTTAAATTTGCTGTTTTTATACCAAAATTTTATTTTCAAATTCTATTTCTTTTGTTTAGATTTTAAATAAATAATTGTCTTTTGTTCAAAACAAATAAATAATAAATTTCTAAAAGATTAAAAGTGCAGGAGAAATAAAAGAATGTTTATACACGATATTCATTCATTTTATAATTACTACAAAATAAATACAATATCTGATTAGAGAATGCCTTGTTTGTCTCTTTTTTTTTAAGTTAATTGAATAACATTCATAAAATTTTTTTTTTTTTTGTAACATTTTCTCAACTCATACGCACCATCCATAGAGACTAAAGACACAAAAATATGTGCAACCATTGGTCAACAATTGCTTATACATTATTATGAATACAATTATGCACGTGGAATGTATACCGAGTATAGGGCAAATTTTTTTTTTTTTTTCAAATACTGGCAGGGTATTCAGCATCCCTTAATTTATTCATTGTTCTCGGTAAGAAATTCGAACATTTTTCTGTAATTTTTGTTATTCTTTTTTTTAAATCGAAATACACCTAAGTAGGCAGAAAATATTAAATTCATGCAAAAATAATATTTACATTATTCTTTTTTTTTAATTTTGCAAAAATTATCATCAATTTCAGAAATTAAATCGAAAAGAACTTTTTTCATAAATTTTTTATATATAGGTATATATTTTTTCAAATAGAAATTTATAATATATATTTTCTAGTCTTTCAAAAACAAACAATTTTAAAAATATTTCCGAAACTTATTTCTTCAATGTAAAAACGTATATATTTTGAAACTTTATATTTATATAGTTTATATATTATATACACAAGGCTTAATAGTTCTTTTCGACATTATTTTTGCAGTGTTTAATCTCTAAAACTTTTAATCGTGCAATTTACAAAAAGCATTTGTTTGAAAATTCCCGGAAAATTTGAAATCAATGTTCCTGTGATATAAAATTATTAATTTAAAAGTCTTACATTAATTTACTATTAATATAAATTGAGAGTAAGGAAAAAAAGTTAAGTGAAATTATTTAAGTACAAAAAATTAAAAATAAATTCCATTAATACTTTATTAGAACTAGAATTTATGTTTTTCTTAATTAAAAAATTTCTTTGGGGAAATTTAATTAAAATATTTTGACTGAAAAATTATTTTTTAAAAATTAAAATTAAAAATTAATAAAAGAATATACTCCGGTGTTTTCAAACTTTTGTAATGGCTTCGCATGCTAGCTTTTCACAGAAATGCGAGCAGTATATTTTTATAGGTAAAACATTATCTATTTTTTTCCCCCAATACTCAATGATATCGTTTGTTCTTTGATAAATTGTTTTGTTTTTGAATAATTTGGGTGCTTAATTAATTTGTACAATAAATGACAATTTTTTTTTTTTAAACACATTATTTCAAATTGAACATTCTTCCTACTGAGAGCTAAGCTTTTCAATTAACAATTGAATGTTTTTTCCGTCCGTCTTAATATTTGAATATTTTCACAAAAAATAAATTGTTTTCAACTAATATAAAGAAGAATTTCAACAAGAAAAACACCTTTAATTACGATTTAAAAAAAAAATCTCAATTTTTTGATTCACAGCCTTATTAATAAAGAAATTTGTGATTCCTTGTAAATTTTTTTTTGAAAAATATTTCTCTTTTACTTCAAGTAGTTGAGTCTTTGTTATTTAATCTATAAATCTACTTTTCAATTCTTCAAATATTTATGTACAATAATAAAAATTATTTTCATCTTTTTTCTATGATTAAGCACCCTTTAATTTAAATATACTAAAAAACAAAGGAACCTTGGAAGTAAAATACCTTTCTAGAAGATTATTATAAATCGAAAATTAATAAATGAAGAAAAATTGATGAAACAAGAAAACGAAGCAATTTGATCAGCAATTGAATAATCAATTTATAGAGATAAAATTGATTTAGAAAAAAAAGTTAATGTGACTTAAAAAAAATAATTACTGTAAATTAGAGACGGACAGAAAAATTGTTCGTGACGCTCAATAATTTTCTAAATTAATTATTTATGTTTTAAATTAAATTCTTGATAAGTTACTTAAAAAATATGGTTTTTCACCTAAGACTGGCTAGATTTTCTTATAATCTAATGAGGATTTCTGGCTGGAATTGGAGGACCACCTGTTGTTCTTGCCGGAATTGGAGGTGGATTATTAGGTGGCAAACTTGGCGGTGGATGTTGTGGCGGTGGTAAAGGTGCTTGTCGTTGTGGCAAAGGTGGTGGAATCGAGCTTGGAGGTCGACTTGAGGAATCTTGATAATTGTCTAAACGAGGTAGTGGTGGTGGAGGTCTATTTGGTATAGGGTAACTTGGACCTTCATCCAAAATCTCCTCATAAATTGCCGATTCAGGTGACAATCTCTCCACCTCGCTTGGCTTCGGCTCAACATTATTTCTCGTCAATGGAATTGGAGATTGATTTGGCATTACACTAAATACTCCCGCACGTGGTCCAGTTCGACGTTCTTGCATTGGACTTCTAAGAAAATATTTCAAATTAATTAAATTAAAATAATAACAACTCATTATCTTAAATTGTAGAACATATTTCAATTACCTTGGAGGCTGAGGACGACCAGGAGGCGCTGGCCTCGGAGGTGGACCACTTGGACTTGTTTTTCCAGAATTATTTCTTTCGGAAATTTTCAATTGCTCAATACCTTCAATAGGACTTGACGGTGTATTGCCATCGAATGGCGAAATATTTGTATTACTACAAATTTCAATTTCCTTTTCAATAAGTTTCACCCAATCGGGAGATTTTAAACTCAATTTCAATGGCAAATCACAAACTGTCATTCGTCCTTCACGAGCAGCGGCAAGTGCACATTGTCCATCTCTAAATGTCACCCATATTGTCTCACCGACAAACCTCAATAGAATTACATCACCAATTGGCGATAATTCACGAACAAGTGCATCAATAAATGTTTCATCAAAAACATTATCAGCATCATCGCCTTCGTCTTCAACTTTGACAATAATTGTCCCATCCGGTGGACCCAAATCAAGGATAACTTGTTTAAAAACTTCCTCACGCTTATCAGGATCCACACAATGAACATCAATATCAATTACCGATATTACTGGCCTATGATCACTTTGTTTCAATTCGGCTCTACCATAAAATATCAATTGTCCTGGATTCCAATTCAATGGAGAATCTGTAAAATTTTGTGATTTTAAGACTTATTTAGAATAAAATAAATAAACTAAATAATTTAAAATTTGTTAAAATTATCACCTAAATCAGGTACTTGTTTACGACGTTTCCATAATATTCTATCGGTCCATGCGGGTTGACGACATTTTTCACTAGTATCATAATCGTCCGAAAATAAATCATATTTATAAGTAGGTGCAAAATTAATTGAACCTTCCATAAAATTTTTAAAAACATTTCCACTTTCTTGTTGTACCTGTAAGAGAAAAACTTGCATTTTTTTTTTTTTTTATTATTAACAAAAAGAACATCTTACCCTTAATTGATCATTCTGAAGAATTTGATCATACTCGTGCCTTTTAATCATTTCCTTCATTTCATCCTTATCCATATCGACACGATAATTAAAATCACCACACCAAAATACATAATCATGAGTATTGAGTGTTCTTCCCATTGGGAATGCAATTTTCCTAGTGATTTCAGCATAATCTGCATTACGTTCGCTAACTTGTGACTGACCAGCAGCAAAGTGAGCGCATACAAAACAAAAAGAGGTAGAATATAAAACGCATCTAATAGCAGCGGCGCCTTTATTACCAGTTGCACCACCTAAACCTGTCTTGACACTATCGACAGCCACATCTCTTAAAAATGGTGCATGTTTTGGTTTTATAAAAAAATACACACAAACACCAACTAATTGTTGATAAGTTATTAAAATATATTCGCTGTCACGTGACAAAACTTTTTGCAATTCATCAGCCCATGCTTTTGCATTTTCTGTACTTGCTGCCATTATATTACTTGCGTTTAAATCGACAATTTCCTCAAAGCCAATTACATAAATATCAGCGGGAATATTATCGTATTCCGTATCGACAAGAGCTGAAATATAAATTTTTATTAAAAAAAAACCAAATCTTTCCTATGAATAAATATAAATTTTTACCTGTAGAATTTAAAGGCGCATCTAAAAGCCAATCGGCAAGAGATAAATCCTTATAAACGACACTTCGAAAATGCTTTCCTCCATTAACATTGTAAGTTCCAATACAAACTCTAAGTCTCATTGTATCCACATATTCATTATATCTTTTACACATTTCCCTGAGTACACTCGGAGGTGCATGAAGCATATTTGATGGTAATAATAATCTCGCTCTATCGGCCAATTCAGTACTCAATGTCGATCCCAATAATAAAATATCAATCGCCTCTTGTTTACTTGAATCCAAAAGATTATTTTGTATTGTTCTCGCGGCAGATCTTGCACCGTCCATTAATTTCGAACTACCTTGTATCGCACCCGTACCAGCATAAATTTTACTAACTTCATTACCATTATTAATCCACATTTGTCGAAAAACCTCCTCAAATCTCGATACCATTTGTTGTTTTTCAAAAATATTCAATAAACTAAGTTGCTTCGATAACATTTCCAATGCAATAAATGTTTGTACACAATTTGTTCTATCGAGACAATCAAGACAATTGGTGCGTATTGTACCTTTTTGTTCATTAACACGATTACCACCAACAGCATAAAATAATGAATATGATTCAAGATATTTTTCAATTTTTGCTTTTAATTTCGAGAGATTTTTATTATTACCACCACGACATTCTTGATGATAATCAAATAATATATGCGGTACATTTGTGTGTCTCGACATATTGTGATGTGTTTGAAATAATTGACTGAGCATTGCTTCACCTTCTTTACTGCCAATTAAACTCGAACCAAGAAGATTAATAATTACTTGTTGACCGTAACGTTGTTTTATCATTGTTAAATGTCTATCGAATGCTGGCGCTGACGCTTCAAAACCACGTGATATTTTCACTTTGTGCGAACCAACTTGAATGCCCGGTTGCTCCCAAAATAATGGAACTGAACCTCTTGTTTGAATATACGATGCGACTTCATTGTCTAAATAAATTGCCTGCTCAGTCTCTACGAAATTTGCCACATGACCATCGTCATTTGTTCCTCGTACATTGAATCTAAAATTCCAATTTAATTAAAAATTAAAATTTCAAATTACATGATAATAAAAAAAAAAAAATTGCAGTACAAATTATTAAACTGAAAATAGGTAATAAAATAGGTAAATTAACATGAAAAAACTAATTTATATCTATTTTTTGTTTTATTTTTTTTTTAATTGCTATCAATTACCTTGTTCCCGCTCGTTCGCAACTTAATCTCGATATGACAACAGCACGAGCCTGTCTGTGTCCTACATAAACAGTTCTAATTTCCACACTGCCACACATTACTTTTAAAAGCCATTGACTTGTATTTACTCCAAATCTTAATAAATGTATGTGAAGCATTCGATTCCTAAAAATTTATATAACGTTAAATTAATTTTTGAAATGTAAATTAAATTATAAACTGAATAAAATATTAAATTTTGGTTTTAAAAACAAATTTTTTTTATACAATTTCCAATTAATATTTATTATACACAATAATATAAATAATTATTTAACTCTTTTTTTACTCGTTTTTTCGTTAAAAATTTCTTTAACAATAGGAAAATAAAATTTAAAATAAAATTTACATTTACTTATTATCAATCAATTAATTAATTCAGTTTACTCTTTTGTCAAAATTTATCCTTGATAATCTTTCAAATAAATTGTTAAAGCTTTTTATGACCGAATTTTATAAAAATAATTTTCATTTCATTATTTGAAAAATTAAACAGTAATTTTTTTCTACGAGATAATTAATTTTATCTAAAAAAAAGAGAGGAATTGGGAAATTATACTAACCAGAAAAACCTATTATCAGTTGTTGATGATTTATAACGTCTTTGAGCACTAAGAGTGATATCGAATACATCTTGTTGTCCTGAGGACCAAGAAAAATAAAATGTGCCCGAATTTAACACTTTTCTTACTTCAGAAACTCTATCCTCGTTTGTTTGTACATAAAATAGTGGAACAACATTTGTTTGAGTGATTCTAAAAACTTCGGATTCTCCAATTTTTCCCACTGAGAAACATCCAGTAACAAGAACAAGATACAATAATGTATTATCGCCTGCATTTAATTGTAAAACACCTAGGCAACCATATGCGTCAAGGAGTTTTGTATAATTTGGTTTTAGGGTTTCAGTCTCATAAGCAGCTGTAAAAAAATTTAATTTTAAATTATAAAAATAAAAATCACATCTATTTTTTTTTTTATACAAATTTGAATCTATATATTTGTATTGAATGTAAAATAAAAAACAAAACATTTTCCAAATCGGAGTAAAAATCTTTTGTTTTTTTTTGAAATGTCAAAAGCAACAATAAGTCAATAATGAAGGGATAATTTTTAAATGAAAACAATAACTTCAATTTTTCAATCTAGATGCTTGTATATAAGTCGAAATATTTGCATCTTCATTCTTGCACAGGTATATAAAATTGTACCTGAAGAAAAGTTTATTTTGATAATAATATATTTTTATTTAAATACTTACAAAGTACAGCGACAGCTTGTGATTCAAAGAGGACAGTTTCCTTGTGATTTCGATGTTCCAGTAGAAGGGAATGTGGGTTTGCTTGTTTCTGCTTTATTTTCTCATAGACGCGAAAACTTTTGCCCATCGCCATTGTTAAGCCGATGCAACGAACTGTACTTCTCTATTTAAAAAAAAAAAACAAAAACTTGAAAATCTTGAATGACAGCCGTTGACAAAAATTGTCATACACTTCACATATAAATTCGCAAGTAACTCCCAGCTGGAGTTTGATAATTCCTCCCTCCTTGAGAAAATATATAGATCACGATGACCCTTTTCTTCTGTCTCTTTTGCTCTTCTACATACACATTTGTACAATAAAGTGCACACACAAATACACAACACGTTTTCGTCGATATTTCGATTTTTGTCTTCACTGTACGCAACGCGGGGGCGTGTTTTATGCGCGCCACTCTATAAATTTAAATATTCCTTTTTAATTTATTTATCTTTTACTTTAGATTTATGATGAATTTAATATTTATTTTAAAAATAATTTTTAATATATTTACAATTATATAGAATGGTTAGAAAATTTATAGGTTATTTTTGTGACAGTCACAGCCAAAAGTTTTAATTCTTTAATTTTTTATTAATTTCCATAGGCAACCAACATTTATTTACTTACTTTTTTCGGAAATTATTTTAGAAATCTGTGTTTTAAAATATTAAAAACGTAATAATTAAAAGATTACATCAACAATAGTCATTTTTTTCTTCACTACAATTGTCATCCCTGTTTTCTTTGAAGACACATGTTGGTAGCCTTGTGTATTTTTTCTGTTACGCAATCAGCTGTTTTGCAAAGTATTTTAGAGTAAATTTTTATAGTAAAAATACTTATATAAACATGTCAGCCAGCAAAATTAATATAATTGTAAGTTAACAAACCATATTTTTTACATTTCTGTTAAAGAATTGATAAAATTTGACGTTTTAAAATATATACTGTATAAGTTTATTATTATTATAACCTAAAAAAAAAATTTTTTTTACATTTCTAGGCGAGAACATTTTCATCTGCCGCAGGGCAACAAATGATTAAGGTAAAAATTTACATTATTTATAAGGATAAATTAATTATTTACCTAAGTTACATATTGTTTTATTCATATATTAGAATTTTTTTAGTTTTCACTGTCATGTATTTTCAGCCCCCTATTCAAGTTTTTGGTTTAGAAGGACGATATGCAACTGCACTTTTCTCTGCTGCAAGTAAACAAAAAAGTTTAGATGTCGTTGAAAAAGATTTAACTAATATTCAGGTAAATATATATTTTTTTCTTTAAAAATATGTACAATTTTTATATCAAAATTTTCGTTTTAGGGTTTATTGAAAACAGACAAGAAATTTGTTGAATTCGTCAAAGATCCATCGATTAAAAGAAAAGTAAAGGCCGATGCTTTTAATCAAATAGGCTCATCAGTAAAATTAAATCCAGCAACAACGAATATGTTAAGTCTTCTTGCTGAGAATGGACGTTTGGCAAAATTAAATCAAGTTGTAAATGCTTTTAAAACAATAATGGCAGCAAATCGAGGAGAAGTTGTTTGTGAAGTGATTACAGCAAAACCATTGGACGCTGATATGAAAGCAAAATTAGAAACAACATTGAAAATGTTCTTAACTAAAGGACAAACAATTTTACTCAATACCAAAGTTGATTCATCTCTAATTGGTGGAATGGTTGTTTCTATTGGTGATAGATACGTCGATATGAGTGTCTCTAGTAAAATTAAAAAATACAGCGATCTCCTCACGGCCGCCGTTTAATTTATAAAAAAAAATTATTAATTATAATTCATTGTTAATTATAATTAATAGCTACACACTAGTTACTTTTAATTGTGATGGAACATCATCATAAATGCTCCCAAATGTTCATTCATTTGTACGACATGTTTATTGTTAAAAACACGATTTTTCAATCACAATCGTAACAATCTCTTCGAATGTAAACTTCATGAATAAAAGTTTCCGCGGTTTAGAAATTAACTCTTTTTGTTTTATTATTATTCTAAATAATTAAAAAAAAATTTCCTTTCTCCAAATCAATATAACTATTAAATATATACAACCGTCAACTTTATTAATAACATACAATCTAAATATAGTAAAATCTAATAATATAGGTAATAGATGTTATTTATAAATAAAAATATTCTCAAATCTAAAGTTATAAGTACTCTACTAAACTCATAATCAGTTGCCGTATACAGTGTAAAGATTAAAAAAAAAAAAAAAAAAAAAAACTTAAAAAATTTATTATAACATATATACACACATAATAATATATATGTGTATATTATAAAAAATAAAATTGATTATAATTGGAAAAAAAAATCAACGATTGCACTGTTATAGGCATCTGGAATTAATTTGAGACTAGACTTCCATAAATACATAATAGAAACATTCCATTCACGTGTAAAAAAAAGGGGGGCAAAATCAATAATATCTAAAAATTTCATGAAATTCAGATATGAAAAAAATTTATCAAAAAAAAACCCCTCGTTTTTTTTTTGCACGTGAAGATTTTTTTTAAAGTCAATAATTCATTTAATTTAACGACTTGAGATAAGCGGCATCGAATAAATCAAGTTCATTGGTCAGATAATTGGCTTTGTTTCTTAAAACTTTAGCACTTGTAGCAGCTTCTTCAAGTGTACGAAGTGTTGTTGCAATTTTCTTTAATTCCATATCCATGTCCGATGTGGATTCATCGACCAAATGACAAAGACGTGCGAATGTACTTGATAATTCTCTGAAAATAATAATTTTTATTTTGAAATTAAGAATTTTTTTTGAATAGATTATTACAAAAGAATGTTTTACTCACTGTTGAACTTGATGGCTACAATTTGCTGAAGTAAGATCGACAATTAATTTCAATTTTTTTGTAGCGTGATCAACATATTGCCGTTTAAATTCACGTTCTTTTGCTGTATTTGTCCACGTTAATCTTTCATAAAGATATAATGCACCATAAATAGCGCCAGTTACAGCAATTAATCTCCATCCGACAGTTTTTAACATCTGGAAATTAGGAAAAAAAAATTGAAAACTAATCAATAAAATTAATTATAAATAACGTGCGCTAAAACACGATTTTAATCTTACAAATCCAGCAACAATTAATCCACCCATGGTGCCTTGTGATGTTATTGAAGCAATTGCCACTCTTGTTGCCAATGACCAATCATCTTGTCTATTTGGAAAAGATGCCACACTTGTCACGAATTTCGATGAATCTATACTGTCTGCAGGTGAAGCAATGTACGGTGGTATCTTTAAATTATATTCAATTATTCCGATTAAAAAAGTTTTAACAATTATAATTAAATGGAAATAATTTTGAAATTTATAATTACTCACATCTTGAGGATAATTTGCTATCGCAGCACGTTGATTTTGTTTACCAGCAAACCTGCTAATAATAGCTGTAATACCCCATGAGAAACGAAATTCAAGATCTTCATGAAAATCAGCGCAAAGATTATCGCAATTAAGTCTATATAAAATTTCAAAAGGCTCTCTACGTGGAAGAATATTGAGTGACATTTGTTTCTTATTTTCAGGCAACAAAACTGACATTCTCTCTGTCATTTCACGTTGTGAACTTTCAATATTCAAAGCCAAAGCAGTGCTGAGCCTTGCTCTTAAATTAGAACCTATAAAAAGAAAAATTAAAATATAAACTCCTAATAAAATAGATAATTATAGTTAATAGAAATAAATAAAATTGATTTTACCTAAACCATTTTCAACATGTGAATGAAGTTCACGTTTATAAACATTTAAAACAAGAGATTCCGGATGAAATGGAACACTAAATTCATCTATAAGTGCTGATAATCGACGAATTTCGTCACTTAAAGCTTTTGATACACGTTGCTCAACATCTTCGACCATATGATGAATTTTATCCTTCATCTCCTGTGTTAATAACATAAGTTGTTGTTCGGTGAAATTCAATTTATCATGAACTTCTTTTTTATTGTTCAATTGATAGGCTCTCATTTTTTGTGTGCGTTCAAGTATTTCATCTAATGTTTGTCGGATTTCCCTGTAAAAAAGAAGATTATTAGTTTCTACATTTTTTTTTTATCCTAAAGAAATTTTGTTTTATAATTACGTAGCAATATGTTTTCCACGTTGTGAATGTTGTTCGAATTTTGTTTTTACTGCTGACTTAGAAATACACTCTTCGAATTTTCTTTCAAAATCTTGAAATTCAAAATAACGATTCTGAAATCCTTCAGCGAGAGCGCCATCTAAAAAGAAAAATCATTTTAAATCGAAAATTTGTAAATAATTTTTCAAGAATTGAAAGGATGAATTACTATGTGCAGGATTGCCACGATGTTCTTCTAAACGTGCCAAAAGTGTTTCCTTAGCCGAGATGAAAAAAACTCGTTCCTCAGCATCCTTTGGACTATATACTTTCAATTCTTTCGCTAAGAAATCAACGGCTCGTTCTTGATGTTGTGCTCTCACCTACACAAACATTTATAAAAATTAAATTAAAAATTCAAACAAAGCTTATTTCGCAAACATCATTCCAAAAAATTAAAATAGAATCATCATCTATGTAAGCAATTTCACTGTCAGGAACAAAAGATTTAAAAATAATAAACATCATCGTGTATAGATTGCGTAAATTAAAATTGTGCTTTGGCTTAAATATTGTCGATTCTTTTTTGAACATACCTCCTTTTGTTCATCGACCAGCTATATGGATAAATTTTTCATTATACTTGTTTCATACAAAAAAAAAGAGAGAACAACCAAAAAATGTACAATACAGCAATAAAAAATTTACCTCGTCCAAAAATTCTGGTTCTGAAGCTGAAGCATCCCAACGATTATTTAGAATAAAGATATTTGGTTTGGATAATTTTGTCGACACTTTGTGAAAGAAATTTTTTTCCTTTAAAGAAAATTCATTATTTTAAAAATTGTTTTACAATTTTATTGTGTATCAGAAAATATAGAAATTTTTAAAAATATTTAACATACCGTAACCATTAATGTAGATTCAGCATTTGCTACAAGTACAAAAACATCAGCATCCAAACAATGTTTATCAATCCATTCATCTAAATTTGGTGTAACATCAACTCCAGGACTATCGACAAATACAACATCGTCCCTTAAAAGAAGACATTTATCCTTGGGCCAAAAAATTCTCACCAAATGACTTTCACAAAGTTTTTCCTTACACAATGCATGACCAAGTTGTCCAACCGATTGAACTGGTTGCTTATCATTAGAACCTTCGGTGATTAAATAAGATTCATTATTTTCTGAACCCTCAACTTGAAGAAAACAATTTGTCGTGTGTCCTATTCCACTTGGCAATATTTTATCACGTAACATTGCATTTATTACCGTACTCTTTCCATTGCTTGTCCTTTAAAAAAAAAAAATATTTAAATAAAAATTATAATTTTTTACAATTTAGAAATTAAATTTTTTTACCGTCCAAAGAAAGCAACTTTCATGTGATCTCTTCTGAGTACATCACGAATTCCTCGTACTTTTTCAACATATGCGGTGATTGTTTTAACCTCTTCGTCACTGATAACATCGCGATCATCGCGAAGAGCTAAAAATAAAAAAATAAAACTTTGTTTTCTTTCTTCAAAATTTAGTGAAAATATTTAAAGAAAAATAGAATCAAAACTTACATTCCATAAATCCAACCGTGTCTTGAACATAATCTTCTATTTCTTCGAAAATATGATTAATCTTCTTCTTGGCCTTGACAAATATCTGTAGAGGTGAATTTTCAATTCTAGCATCATTTGTACGATATTGACTTTCATTTCCAATCATTGATATTGTGCGATTGATATAGGCAGCCATTGTTTATTATATTACAACGTGATTTTTACAGCAAAATATATTTACGAAAATACAAGTGCAAAGGTAGATATCTCAAGTGGTGCACAGCATGCAGGACCAACTGAAATCAAAAAAAACAAAGCAAGTGTTTGAGCATATAGAATTACATACACATTGAAATATAAATTCTACAATTTCTAAATATTTCATTTATAACGAAATAATAATTAACTATAATCATATAATTCAATTAATAATAATTACAATAAAAAAATAAATAAAATGTACATTTAATTGTGAAACGTGTGTAATTGTGATTGCTAATTTTTTATTGATAAATAAAATTTAAAATAATTAATAAAAATTCGTTTTCTAAAATCAACTTCTATAACTTAAATTAGATATGTTAAAATAATTATCTGTACAACGCAATTTAAGTGTCACAATTTCATAACAAATCATGAATTACTAAAAACAAAACTAGAAAATTGTTTACATATATATTATACGTTCACTGAAAAACTGTAATAACCTTCAAGAATTTTGACGAACATATAAATTAACATTAAGACATTGAGCAAATTAAACTAAATTAACAAATAAAATCAATGATTGAAATTTTATATTTAATTGTTGGAAAACAAAAAAAAAGTCAATAAACATCAATTTTTTTTTTTAAAAACCTGTTTGTTTTCTGACACATCGAATTGTCCGTCCATGAAATATATTTCTTGAATGTTGATTTTTTTTGTACACGTCTAAATGAAATTATAACTGAAACATTTTTCTCTACATTATTTTTCTTGAAAATTTATATATTTTACCTGACGTAACACAAGATTTGCGCAGTAAATTATAAAAAATAAAAATATAGTTCCACACACACACGAATTTTTGTTTAGATTTTCTAACCTCTTTTATTACGAACTATATGAAAAATGTGTTTTACCATTGAAAAATAATGATTTTTTAAATATCTCTTACCGAATTAAGGATTCATAATATTTTGTAATAAACACCAATAATTAATTATTAACAATTTATAATAGAATTTATTAATTTTTATTGAAGAGTAAAATAAAATCCTTGAAAGCACATTGATCACCAGTGTGAAGTTAGCACTTCATTAATGACATTAATTGTTTTTTCAAATTATTGTAAATTTATTATTTTATTTTGACCTTATTTAGCTTTTCTAAATATCTAAATGTTATTTAAATAAAATAATAATTTAAATATTATAAATTTATTAAATTATTAAAGAAAAAGAAATTTAATTTTTTCAAACACCGGAAGGAAATGATCAGCCTCTAGTGGACATTTTCTAAAATTCATAATTGGTATTACTGAAAAAATAAAATTACAGTTGGTACCATGTTTCAGTCTCACATGACCAAATGACAGGTGATGTCAATTCGGAAATAATATAGAAATTAAAATATAAATTAAGAATTGTTAGTAAAATTTAATTATTTATGAATTCAATCAATTGTTTCTTTTAAATTCGTATTTCGCGAGTGATATATATTTTACCATAATGAGATACATAATAAGTAATACCTTTGTGGGTACTGCCGTCACAACGATACTTATCTTGGGTGTGCATCTTATTTTATATTTATTTTAATATATCAAAAAATAATTACAATAGTTTATTGAAATTATAAAATAGAATAATATTTAATTAATTTAAGAATCACATTTTACTCAATTGGAGTAAGAATATATTCTGTTAATATAATTCGAATTTCAAGGATTTCTCTTTTTATTTAAACATATATAAAAGAATTAATAAATGTAAACAAATTCTTTTGAATAATCTTTATATACTTTTTTTTAAAATTTTCGTATTACAATTTTAGAAGTGATTTTAAATTTGAAGGTTATCACATGATTTTTTTAATTTACAGTTTTATATCATGTATTTACGGGGAAAGGAGAAAGAGTTAGTGTAGCATGGTAAGTAAATATTTACTACTTATTTTTAATATTATTAATTTTTGTAATCAGATTTTATAAAAATTTCAAGGTCAAATGTCACATTAGAAAATTCATGTAGAGTATTTTTTTTTTTTTATAATTTAATTGAAAATTTGTTTTTATTTACAGGTTTTTGGAGGAAACATCTCCGTATATGTGGTCAACGTTAGGTATTGGACTTGCTGTTGCCTTATCAGTTGTTGGAGCAGCATTGTAAGTAAATTTTATAATAAAAATTATAATTTATTAATTGTAATATTAATTATTTAAAAAGAGAAAAATACGAAAATTAAATTTTAATTTGCAGGGGTATTCATACAACAGGTGTATCAATTGTCGGTGGTGGTGTAAAAGCACCAAGGATTAAGACTAAAAATTTAATCTCTGTTATATTTTGCGAGGCTGTTGCAATTTATGGTCTTATCACTGCAATTGTATTATCTGGTATGCTCGATAAATTCGATGACAATGTACTTGCAGAAAATCCTGCTGTAAAACATCAAAATTGGTTGTCTGGTTATCTTATGTTTGGCGCTGGCATTGCTGTTGGTTTCGTTAATCTCTTTTGTGGAATTGCTGTTGGAATTGTTGGTTCCGGAGCTGCACTTTCCGACGCTGCCAATTCGGCACTTTTCGTAAAAATTTTAATTGTCGAAATTTTTGGTTCCGCCATTGGACTTTTTGGTTTAATCGTTGGAATTTACATGGTAAGAAAAAAAAAAAACTATTGAATATAGAAAATGAAATAAAACAATTTTTTAAAATTTAATAATCTTTTTTCAGACTTCCAAAGTTAAAATGGGAAATAAAGTCGCTTAATTTCCTCTAATCATTCCAATTTCACGCGCAACAAGTCATAGTATTATCAATTTCATTTTGTCTAAATGGACGCAAGTGTGTTATTTAAAGATTTATTCTCCAGAGCCCTAAAAAAAAAAGAGGAAAAATTGATGAATTTTAGGCTCTATTCTATGTATATTGTTGATAAGATAGTTCATTGCTGTATTAAAGTTCTCATTAATTCTTCATTAGAAGAAAAGTAAGTGAAATGTAGAAATATTTTTTTTTTTTTAGAAGTCATCATTTAAAATAAAATGTATACAGTGTATAAGTATATATTTATTTTAAAAATTACTACAACCTCTGTAAAAATCAAGATATATATATATTATGAAAAATATAAAATATATAAAAGATATATATAAAAGATTATTTAACAAAAAAAGTTATATTTAGAGAGCTTAAAACTCGTAAAAGGGAAATTTTGTTGATTTTTAAGATATCATTACTCTCTGAAGATCTTCCAGTGCTGATGTGAGATTTTTCACATATTCAGTTGCATTATTGTGTTTCGAATAACACGTTATAAGTCCTCTTATTTCGTTATCCAGCACCATGTATCTAAACAGAAAATTAAATATAAAAAAAATTTTTGAAAATAATAAAAAATTTTAAACTTACCCAATTCCATAACCTTCGGGAACAACTGGTCCAAATCCACCACCAAGCATAGCCGGAGTTGATAATGTTGACGTACACAAAATATTATAATTTAATGATGAATATGCTGGATCTTCGAAAAGAGACGATTTAATGTTTCCCAATTCCTCTTGCATTTTTTTCAATGCAAAAAGATGACGATCAAAACCCTGGCCTATAGAAAAAATCACATTTTACCTAACAAAATCAGTAAAATTCAAAAAAAAAATTAGATTAATAATAATTATATAAATAAATAATTTTACCCATAGCGCCATTTTTCACAAGTTCAGTGTGCGTCTTACTGCAATCAATAATCATTTTTTTCAATTCATCATTAGAAATTGTTGACGATTTATCACAAAATATTGAGCAAAGAGTATTTGTTTGTTCAGTACAAGGTCTCACTGTATCTGTGCGTCCATGTTTAAATGCGGCAGTACTGCATGCTTCATAACTTGCAACAAATTTACCCTCTTGTTTATAAAATCCCAATTGAATTGCTAATTGTATTATTGCATCGGGACTGGCACCAAATTTTTTAATAGAATTTTTTCCAAAATTTTTAAATGAAATATAATCAACACTCAATGAATTTGTCCATATTTTGTATTTATTCACTTCCAATTGAATTAAATCTTTTACTTTTTCATCTAATGTAAATTCCAATGATTCAACATTTGGCTCTATTGTCGAAATTAATAATTTATCCTCTGGTTTAAACCACCAGTGCTTCATAATGTCAGCTTTTACGTCCTGACAAAAAAAATTAAATTAATTTTCTAAAACAATTTACGATAATTATATCAGAAAACAATTTATTATTCTAAAATCAATTTTTACTTTGAAATATCTTAAAATTGCTATTCCATCACCCCAAGAATGTTCAAAATTCACAGCTGCTGTACCATCTTTCGTGATAATAAGAGAAAATGATTTATCAAACCAACGATTTTTACCATCACTGTGAAGAAAATTACGTAAAAGATTAAGAAATTCTTCACTATAATCTTCATCATCGAAAATTAATGCAAATGCAGCTGTATCAATTTTTTTTAAAATATCTTCATTTCCAATTTTTAAAAGATGTGTTCTTGCTTCTGCCCATTGATCTCTTTCAGCTGTTGTAAATATTCCAATAGGATTTTTTGATGATTCTTTTTTATCCTCAAGTATAAAATTCAAATTTGCAGCAATTTTTGTCGGTGTCACTAGTGTACCATCGGAATTTATTACATCAAAACAATAAAAATTACCACCTCTCATTACAAGAATATGACGAGCTGATTTATCCAAATAAATTCGATCTTTTTCAATTTCTGGAATTCTTGTTGAATTAAATAAATTTGCATACTGTGACATGTCCAAAGGAAAAGCCTGTAGGAATTTAAAATTAATTTTTACTTTCCTTATGGTTATAATAAAATAATTAAATATGAAAATTAAAAATATTTTGAATTAATTTACTTTAAAAGCATAAGCTCCATAGCAAGAGATCCATGATGGCAAAATTCCTACAATTTTACGAAATAATTTCGTATTCGATTTTTTTGGATTCAAATGAAAAACTTCTGGTTCTAATACATTGGCACGTAATGATTTCATAAATCTAATTGAAGAAACAATAAAATTTGTCCCTTTCACCAATTGATCATTGTAGCTCATATCATTTTCTTGACTGTAAATTATAATTGGATTATAATTAATTGGCAATGATTTACGATCTCTCAGGTACATATCAAACCAATATTCGCTAATATAATTTGTATGACGATTTTTTTTATCTTTTTTTATTAATTCTTTTTGAAATAATAATCCTTCATTTCTCAAAAATTCATCGACATAAGATTGTGTCTTTGTAAATTGTTCATCAGTCAATAGAGATTTTTGTGCTTTCAAATATCTTTGACATGTGTCTTCCAATTTTGGAATTGGTAATCGTGGCAATGATGCCTGAAAATGCATTGTTGGTATTTTACTTTTATGAATAAATTCATAATTATTATTATCAGTCTTTGTTTTCTCTTCTGTTGATAGTCTGTAGATACATGAAAAAAAAAATTAAAATGAAATGATTAATAATTGAAATAATTAATAAAAATTTTGATTTGAGTTTCGCTTACAAATTAGCGGAACTCTTTTTGTCATCGTCATGCTATTTTGATTATTTTCAAATACCAAAAGTAGGCACCTCGTTTGTGGAAGAAGGAATAGCAGAGTAACGCTTTCCTCAATCTAAAAACAACATACATTTTTATTAGAATATTTTTTTTTTTTTTTTAATTATTATAGATTAAAAAAATATATATAACTTGAACTAGTTATATTTGTAAACTAAAAGATACAAAGTTGCAAAAATTATCGAAGATAACGATAAGGATAATTACAAAATGCAATATTATTATTATTATATTTCAGTTGTAATTTAAAAATTTATATTTCTCTGTCCAATACATTTTTGCATTTACTTTAATTATTATTTTTATTATAATTATAAATATTATATATTATTGTTAATAATAATAATAAATATATCTTTATATATTTAAAAAAAGAATGGAATAAATTATACCAACAATGACAATGTAAAAATGGAAATTTGAAGGAGCAAAATTTATTATTTGCTAATTTAAACAAATGTCTTTTTTTATTTTTAGAAATAATTGATTAAAAATTAAAATTTTCTGTACATAATCATATTTGTACTTACTATTGTGCGAATAGAATTTAAAATTCTTCTTAAAAAAATGATAATCATTTTAAAGAATTGTATTATATATATATTTTAAATTAAATGTCACTATTTTTTATTAGTAGCAAAGTCTAATAATATGTATATTTTGTGGTAATTTCAAGAGGAAATGCGAAGTTTACAACGTTCGCAAATGAAGTGACAAATTTTCGTACATTTCATTACATGATACAGGGTTTCGAAACCCGACGATCATTAACAATGCGTTTCGTAACGTTATATATCCCTTTCTCTCGATGATATAAGCAGTAAAAAGTGGGGTCAAATTAATTAAATATTGATTGCGAACAGTGACTGAATTATTTTTTAAATTTCCAAACACAAAATTAATATTTTAGCAAAAAAAAATAATTTTTTAACTTATTTATGTTTGGAAAAAAATAGTTTATTGGCAAAAATAAAATTGAAAAGATTTATTTGATTTAAACTAAAAACAAATCTGTAAAATATGTATATAATTTATTTTAAAAATTTATAAAAACTCTGTATAAAGTCGTTATATATATATAAAAAAGTATGTATAACAAATTGTATAACAGTAAAACTTTTTCTATATAGTGTCAAAAAATATTCTATTGGCTATATAATAAATTATTTCCCAAGAACTTTTTATAAAGTTCATAAATTGACAATTTAAAAAGAAATATTTAGATCAACATGATCGAGTCTCTTTTTAATAAAATTTTTTAAGGCGAAATCATCACTCTATGAAGATCTTCAATTGCTGCTTGAAGATTTTTAACATATTCACTTGCTTTTCTATGCTGTGAATAACTTGTTACAACTGCACCTAATCTTTTATCCTGAATCATATATCTAAAAAAAAAGTAAAAATAACTAAACTATAGAATATATTTTATTCTTTTCTAAGCAGCTGAAAAAATTCTATTTTGTTAATTTTTTCTAATAAATTAGTTCAGATTCCTTAATTTTCTCAGCTTTTTTTAAATGTAAAAATTAAATTACATTTACTTAAAAAAAAGAAAAACAAATTACCCAATTCCGTAACCGTCAGGAACAACTGGCCCAAATCCACCGGCTAACAAAATTGGTGTTGATAATGTTGACGTGGATATAATATTATAATTTATTGCTGAAAACGCTGGATCTTCAAAAAGCGCCGATTTATTCTCACCAAATTCCTCTTGCATTTTTCTTAATGCAAAAAGATGTCTATCAAAACCTTGACCTTTAAGAAAAAAATTTTCAAAAATTAGTAAAATTCTCAATAATTTAAAAAAAAATAGATTAATAAACATTATAATTGTATAAATAAATAATTTTACCCATTGCGCCATTTTTCACAAGTTCAGTATGTGCCTTACTACAATCAATAATCATTTTTTTCAATTCGGCATTAGAAATTTTTGTCGATTTATCAGCTAAAATTGAACAAACATTTTTTGTTTGTTCCGTACAAGGTCTCACTGTTTCTGTGCGTCCATGTTTAAAAGCGGCAGTACTACATGATTCATAACTTGCAACACTTTTTCCTTCTTGTTTATAAAATGCCAATTGAAATGTTAATTGCATTATTGCATCGGGACTGATGCCAAATTTTTTAACTTCATCTTTACCAAATCCTTCATATATCATATAATCAACACTTAATGAATCTGTCCATTCCTTATATTTTTTCCCCTCTAATTGAATTACATTTTTCACTTTTTCATCTAATTTAAATTCTAATGATTCCACGTCTGGATTTATATTTGATATTAAAACTCTATCCTCAGGTCGAAACCATAAATGTTTAGAAATGTCTGCTTTAATGTCCTTGAAAAATATTAATTTATTTCTAAATCTAATTATAAATTTAATTAATGTTAAATTAAAACGATCTAAATTTTCAATTAATGAAAATTTTAATCTATTAAAATTCTAATGAATTCAAATTTAAATCTTTACTTTTATTGGTAAAAATCTATTGTTAGATGGTTTCTAAATTTAATTCAAAGAATTTTTAATTAATTTGTAAATTAGTTAATTAAATACGGAAAATTATTTTTAAAAAATTTTACTTACTTGAAAATATCTAAGAATAGCAACTCCGTCACCCCAAGAATGTTCAAAATTCACACCAGCATAACCATCTTTTGTGATAATAAGAGAAAATGATTTATCAAACCATCGATTTTTTCCATCACCATGAAGAAAATGATGTACGAGTTTTTTATATTCTTCACCAATAGTTTCATCATCTAAAATTAAAACAAATGCAGCTGAATCAATTTTTTTGAGAATATCATCGTTTCCAATTTTTGAAAGATGTTCTCTCGCTTCTGCCCATTGATCTCTTTCAGCGCCAGTTAAAATTCCAATAGGATTTTTTGTTATCTCCTTTTTATCTTGAAGAATAAAATTTAAATTTGCTGCAATTTTCTTCGGTGTCACTAGTGTACCATCGGAATTTAATACGTCAAATGAATAAAAATTTCCTCCCCTCATTACAACTAAATGACGAGCTGATTTATCCAAATAAATTCGATCTTTCACCAATTGAGGAATTCTCGTTGAATTAAATAAATTTGCATATTGTGACATATCCAATGGAAAAGCCTGTGGAAATTATTCAAATTTATTAATTGGAATTTATTAAAAGAAAAAAAAATGAAACTCAAAAATAATCTACCTTAAAAGCATAAGCTCCATACCAAGAAATCCATGATGGTAACATTCCTGTAACTTTACGAAATAATTCTGTATTCGATTTTTTAGGATTTAAATGAAAAACTTCTGGTTCTAAAACTTCAGCTCGTAGCGATTTCATAAATCGAATTGAAGAAACAATAAGATTTGTTGCTTTTACCAATTGATCATTATAACGTTCATCAGTTTCTTGATTATAAACTAAAATTGGATTATAATTTATTGGCAATGGTTTACGATCTCTTAAATACATATCATACCAATATTCACTAATATAACTAGTGTGTCGATTTTTTTTATCCGTTGCTATTAATTCATTTTGAAATGTTTGTCCTTCATTTTTCAAAAAATGATCTACATAAGATTTTGTCTTTGCAAATTGTTCATCAGTCAATAAAGGTTTTTGTGCGTTCAAATATCTTTGACATGTGTCTTCCAATTTTGGAATTGGTAATCGTGGCAATGATGCCTGAAAATGCATTGTTGGTATTTTACTTTTATGAATAAATTCATAATCGACGGCAGTATTTGATTTTCTTTCTGTTGATTGATCTCTTTAAAGAAATAAAAAAAAAAAAGATTTATTATAAGAATAAAAAAATAATAGAGGAAATTTGATTGAGTTTCGCTTACGAATTAGCGTAAAACTCTATTCGTCAAATGATTTTGTTTCTGAAAAACCAAACCTAGGCACCTCGTTTGTTGAAGAAGAACCAGCAGAGTCAATTTCTCCTGAAGCTGAAATAATTCCTCTTGTTTAGAATATTAATAAAATAATTTCAATTCTAAATTTTACAATTAATATAAAATTGTAACAATAATAATTATTTAGAATTTTTTAAAAATATTTATTATTTGAAAAACGCGAATAATTGTTATATAATAGTTATAATGACAATCTAAAAATACAATAAGAAGTTAATGGTTTGCTTATACATACAATTAGAATAATTTTTCATGTATTTATAAAATTAAACTATAAAAAGAAAACAATTGTATATATACAAATATGTCAAATAAAATTTGATATAAATCACTTACTCTCGATCGATTGGAGTTGAAGGTTTTTCTTAAAAAAATGTATGACATTTTTTATTGAAGTTAATTAATTGTTTAAAATTCTAGCTACTTAATTCAACAATGATAACAAAATATAACAACTTGTCACTGGTGTTTTTTTTTGTGTCAATGTCACTTAAAGATAATTGACAAAGAAGTGACAGTTTGCATAAATTTTTTTTCCATCTTAGGGTCCTAAAACCCAAAGATTGTTTACAAATGTAAAATTTCTCCTCTGAGTTTCTCGTCTATAAACAATAAAAACCGTGGTTTATAAATGGCGTTAGCGTTCAACTATTGTTGTTTCAATAATAAAAACGTTTTTCATAAAGAAAACGATAAATATACAGTGAAATAATGAAGATCATAGGAAAGTGAATTTAATGATGATTGTTAAAAAAGTGAAAAATTCAAATTTCTGTGTTTTATTAAGATAAATTCAATACGAGCATTCTTGCAAATATTTTTGAGGTTAGCTTCGTTCTTGAAATTCGTTTTCTTTTTCAAGAGAATTTGTAAATTATAAAATGAGGAAAAAACAACGATTTCGTTTCTAATCGTACAATAAACAATTAATACATTCTCTATGAATTGTGTGAATTTTTTTTTTTTTCAGTAAAAAAATAAGTTTTATATTTTTGATTTAAGAGGGTTTTTTTTTGTATGTATACGTCGTAGATTTTTCTTTCTTTTTCACACAAAAACAGAATAGAAATTTAACAATAGTTTGTTTTTGTAAATTCTCGATGGTTTTACGTAGTCATCAAAAGTTGATGGGGAATAAAACATGTAAGTTAATTTAATTTTTTATTTCTTTTATTTGAAATTAAATTAAAAAATTAAATATTTTATTTATCGTACAGGGCTGATCGAGATTACGATATAGGATCAGCTACTGATATTCTTGTGAATGATTTTGACGACGAACGAACACTCGACGAGGAAGAGGCTTTAGAAGGTAGTGAGGATTCTCACAACGAATTATCAAATTTACAAAAGGTAACGATTTTTCCTTATTTTTTTACATTTTTTATTCTTTCGTTATATCTGAAGTATTATAGTATATAATATTTGGGAGATTTTTTTAAAAAATTTGTTTACGTTTTTTAAAAATAAAATTAAGATAATGTGGATGGTGAATTTATTTATTTCTACATCTTTTAGTAGGTCTTTACATTGATTTTAAAATCTTTACATTATAATAATTTATTATATTATAAAATAAAATTGAAATCGAAATTATTGAAAATATAAATTGAATGTTATTGAATTATTTTTAGGAAGGTGATATGCCTTTGAAAGATTTACTCGCAATGTACGGATTACGAGATTCTTCAATGGGCAATGCGAATAGTTCGGAGAGAATGATTCTAATTCCTCAGGACGATGGTGAAATGAAAGATAAAATGGAAGAGGACGAAGAAGAAGAGGAAGAAGAGGAGGAGGAGGACGATGATGAGGAGGATGATGACGATGATCCTTCAAATAATGAACCGGATTTGAAACAATTTTACACGGAAATGGTGCAGAAGGAGGAAATGAAAGAAAATGAAGTAGCGCGCAGTGGTAATAATAATAGAGGAAGTGAAAATGTTTGTGCAATTGCTGTTGGTTGTGCAAATGAACCAAATATAACCGAAAGTGGAAATTCGAGAAATGATAGTCACAATGTTACGGAGGATGGTGGTGGTAATAATAGTGGTGGTGGAAATGAAACTGGAAATGGTACAGAAGGTAACGAGGGAATGGAAACCGGAGGTGGAAATAGTGGAGGTGGCGGAAGTGGAAGTAATGGAGGAAGTGGAGGTAGTGGATCTTCAAGACTTCTTCGTAGTGTTTCACGACCGCAAAGCGAGGAAGAGGAGGACGATTGCGATTATAGTCCCGATGAAGAGGAATGGAAAAAGACAATTATGGTCTGTTTTTGAAATACTCATTTAAATAATTTTAACTTATTAAATTAATTTACATATTTTGTCATTTGAATTTTCAGGTTGGCAGTGATTATCAAGCGGCGATACCAGAAGGACTTTGTAAATACGATGACGCCTTACCTTATGAAAACGAGGATAAAATGCTCTGGGATCCAAGTCATATTCCAGAAGAGGAGACGGAGGAATTTTTGGAGAGAGCACAATTACCAACTGTTAAAGGAAGTTCGTTACCTTCTGGCTCGCATATTCGTGATGATGAGCAGGCGCTATATTTGTTACTACAATGCGGTTATAATTTAGACGAAGCACTTCGAAGACGTCGTATGAACGTTCAACCACAATCGGAAGCTGTTAGTTTATGGTCCGAGGAAGAATGTCATAATTTTGAATCAGGCTTAAGAAATTATGGAAAAGATTTTCATCTAATTCAGAAGAATAAGGTATATTCTTTAAAGTTTTCTTTTTTTTTTGTTTTAATAAGACTTTCAATTCAAAATTCAGAGTTTGCTTTTTAAATTGCGCAGAATTGAAAAAAGTCTATTGTTCTTTGCTACTTGATTGGTAGTGAACAAATTGTTGCAGGTGAGGACAAGATCCGTTGGCGAACTCGTACAATTTTATTACTTATGGAAAAAGACAGAGAGACATGATATTTTTACCTATAAGGCGCGTTTGGAGAAAAAGAAATACGCTCTTCATCCTGGTATCACGTGAGTGTTTGTTTTTTTTTTTGTAAAATTTTAATTTAGACTTTTTGGAATTTATAAAAAAAATTTTAATTTTGAAAATAAAGGGACTACATGGATCGCTTTCTGGAAGAGCAAGAAGGAGTTCGAGATCGTAGTAGTTCGCCTAATGTTCATTGTTTATTGTATGGTGATGCAAAAAGACAGCGAACAAATGCAAATTTGGGAAATAATGAAGATTCAAAATCTCTGGAACTTTGGGATGGTACTGCTGGTCCAGGACCAATTTCAAATACTGGAGTGACAAACATGAATGTCGATCCATTGACAATTGATTTCAATAATTCGACAACTGGGCCCGTTCAACCAGCTCAAAATTCAGCTGCGCCTGTTACAACGTTGCAAAATTCGCATCCATCATCGGGAAATTTCTCGAATCGAGGCCACATGGATTATGGATTAGCGACAAAAGGAAATTCTGAAAGTGGGGGTGGAACCTGGTCCCCTACGTCGTCGTCGCCACCCTCGCAACGAAATGCACATCAGCCTAATAATAATCATTTAACAACGTCCAGCAATGTTTCCACTGGCAACGAAACGGCACGATCGCCTGAAAATATTTTACCTCACCTGCCACCTTAGCGTTAAATTTAAAAATTTCTCGATTTTTCGTCCCTCTCCTTATCTCTATGAAAAAAAAAAAAAAAAAAAAACGCGTTGAACGTGTCGTCGAGCCCTCGTTGCTTCTCCCAAGCACCTATAGCATCATTCAAATCGTACTACACATTCGTTAAGCACCCACGAATTATATTTTTCTACTTGACAGTAATACGATTTTATTATGAAAAAAAAATCGTTCGGCGGCGAATAACAAACGTGTTAAGAGTTTCGACTATTTTTTTTTTCTTTTGGTATCTAAAAATTACAATTATTTAATTATAATATTGCTAGTAACATTTTTTTTAATACTTTACAGTTTCAATTTATGAAATTCAAATTTGATTTCGTATCTTTTTTTATTTCTTAGACAATGATAATTTTTCCTTTATCAGAATTTTTCTTTTTCGATGGGAAAAAAAAATTATTAAAGACTTTCTTTTCTGAGGAAAGAAATTTTCTTTTTTTTTTTTAATAAATTTTTGTTGATTCTTTGTGATGATTTTTTTGTATAATTTAAGTAAGATAATTTTTTGTTTCGTTTATACAGTCTTCAATGGATTTAAACTATAATAGAAATAATGGGAATTTACGTTATTGTTTAAAGGAATTTGTTTCCTATTTACAAGCAAAAAAAAAAGAAAAAAAACGATGTTATCGTCTTTATATAAATATAAATATATATATACTTTTATTAATTAGTCGATACCCTTTTCGACGATGTGAACCTAGAACGATCAGATTAAATGAATATTGTAACATTATATTTTGTTTCTTATTTACTCCTTTTTTTTTATTTTTCTTGAAAAAATAACTAGGATTTCTTTTTAAAATTACAAAATCTGAAAAATTATTTTCAAAAACATTTTATATTACATTGTACAAAAATTCTTAAAACTATTTATTTTACTTACATTTAGAAATTCATTACAATTCTTTCATATTGATTATTTTTTTTTTTTTACAAACAAAAATTTCTTAATATTGTGAAGAGTCCAAAGATTCTATGACTGATTTCAATAAATTACCCAAGAGGGGTAAAAATTTCATAGTGACAATTTTGGTACCAAATCCTCCACTAGTGACAATATCATCATTCGATCTTTGTTCCGGCTCGTCAGTTTGTTCAAAAACAGAAATCGAATCATCGTCATCTTCTTCCCATACAATTGGAAGTGAATTAACTGGTGTTTTTTGTATAGTACAATTTTTCTTCAATCTTGCCGTTAATTTTTCACTAAATACATCAGGCGCCTCAACAACGTGTAATTTCTTCGAATCTGCTTCAATTAAAGTTGCAGAAACCTATAAGAAAAAAATAAAAATTAAAGTAAAACTTACAAGTATATAAAAAAAAAAATAATAATAATTTTACATTACCTGCCAATCGGTGAAATTCTTTTGTTCCAAAAAATCGAAGAATACACCAATTTCAGTTGCCGTCTCTCTTGCTATTAATTGACGATCTCTCAATGCCAATCTTGGACTCTTAACACCCTCCAATGCCTGACATAATATCAATACTAAATTCACTTCCAATGCAAGACGTGTATTATTTTCTTCCATCGATGCAAACCAAGGATCACTAGTTCCTCCATTGCCATCATTACGCGAACGATTTAATACATCCTGATCATTTTTTGAACTTGTGGTATTATTTTTGCCAACGTGTGAACGACTTGATATTGGAATAAGAGCCGTTGCTCTCGAGAGTATTGTATTTTCACAAATTAATGGATCAAATGGCCGTCTAATGAGCCGTGGATTACTGAGAAGTGAAACAGTCACATCTTGTCCCGTGAGAAATCCTGAAAAATCAATTCCACTCGAAAGATTACTGATAAGCGATGAACCAACTGGTGCCGATGAACCCGTTTGATGAAGTATTTTTCTCAAATCTTTAACTTGCATTCGTCGTAAATTTTCCGGCGATGCACGTTCCCATTCTTTTTTTGCCAAATCAATTTTTTCATCACGCGACGTTGATGGACGAATCACTGTATTTGATAATGTTGAAATTGTCGATGACGAGGGAGTTTTTGTTGAATGCACATGAAGTTGCGCCTGTGTAAATAGTTGCGTGGAACTAATTATCGTACCTGAGATTAAAAAAGAAAACAAATTAATTAACGAAATCTCTCGATCATTAGGTATATTAATTATTATTTACCATAAGTTAATTGTGGACCAGAAGTAATGCACATTTGCGGTGGACCAAAATTCATCTCCGCCATTGGAGCATACCAAAAGTCTTCCTGACAATAAATTGTATCAACAAGTGTGTTTAGTCGCGGTGAAAAATAAACAAAACTCATTGCACACGATGTATTAATTAAAATTAATTTATTAACAAGAAGTTTTAATTCTCCACTTAGTTGTTTTTCATCGCATGTTTGTAATTCTTCTGCACTCTCAACACTTATTCCATCCATGATGAATTTCAAAATTCGAGGACGTAACAAAAGATTCACTGTACTGTCATAGGCAAGATATGTGCATTTCTGTCAAACAACAAAAAAAGTATTCATTATTTTTTAGATTATTAATATACAATAAATGAAAATTAATCAAAACATTTTTTAAATAAAAAAGTCATATACCACTAGTGTTTCTCGAACATTTGGTTGTATTGAATCCCAATAAACAGGTTTTGTTGACAACGTTGAGACAAGAGAAATCAACGATTGAATAAGATCAGCAGCCGCTGGATCGGCTGTGTGTCTCAATAATGTCGAAACTTCCATTAATTGATATTCGTGTGATCCAAGAAATGTAATGACAAATGAAATATAAGCGGACGATGATTCGCTAATTATTAATCCAATTATAAATTCCAATCCAATTGTATAGAGTGGCCACCAATCTTGACAGCGCCAAATACTCATGCTGCTGCAATCCTAAAAAAAAATCAAAAATTCATAAAATAATGAAAATAATTTCTAATTTTGGAAAATAATACAACTTACGTCATATAAAGAGGCTAAAACACTATTTTTCAAATCCGGTGGTGGGATCAAAGTGAGCCAAAGTTTTACCACAGTTTCCTCTTCAAATTTAAAACTTCCGGAAACTGATCTTACAGCAGTGCCCAATAGAGCGAGTGCAACTTTACTAAATTTTGCATAAGGATGTTTTTGCATTGTAACACCAATTGTTGTCATAATTTCCGATATCAATTGACCAAGTTGTAAACTTGCGGATTTTCTTCTTTGACTTTTTCTATTGTATTCAATTTGATAATTCAAAAGCTGTGTAATAACACTCACTGTCAATGTTGCTGGTAGTGATTCAGAAATTGCTGATAATTCCATTGCCTCGAGATCTTCGCTAACTCTATCCAATTTTTCCCTTCCATCTTCATTGATAAATTTTCGTTTTTTCTCTCTACTTCTCGCTAATTCACGCAATTCCTCAACATCACCAATTGCAAGTATACACGATTGTCCCAATAAATAATCTAATGTTACATTATCATCGATAAGAATATCGCCAATCAATTGAATACATCCTAAAACCAGAGAAATTAATGTTTGCCTCAATGATCGTCCATAGCCACGATAAAATTGAGCAATTTCATGAACAAGTTCTCGTAATTTATTTTTCAAATCCGAAGAATTTGTGATACACTTCAATTTCCATGAGGAAATACAACGTAATGTTATCGATGCCAATAACATTGTTGTTTTTGCCATTGAAATTCGTTTCGCTGACGATTTTGGCGTTGGTTGCTTCAATAATTCAAGTAAATGATCAAGCGCCAATGATGTTGTCTCCCGAGCTTGTTTCTCATCAATTGGATATTTTTTTGCCACTCTTTCATCGGTGATAGTCACCAAGAATTGATATAAAGATTCAAGAATTGTTTCATAAAAAGGTTTAACGTCATCCTTTTCTAAAATAACATTACCATCATCTTCATTCGACAATTCTAATGTGGGAATTGTTTTAAATATATATTTCACCAATTTTCCCCAATAATTCTCCTTGGTGTCCAATAATTTTTCTAAATTCGTTTGAAAATCCTTCTCCAACAATGTACTTTTAAACAATTCCAATGTAACAATATCAATCAATTGTGAATAACCTTTAACATTTGTCACCAAATTACGAAATAATGGCGCAAATAAATGACTCCAAAATTCTGTTTTTTTACGAAAAAAATTAACAAGAATTTCATTTCGATGATACCAAATGGCACGCAAAAGACTCATTGTCGAATCATAAAGACGATCATAAACAATATTGTCCTCATGGAAAATTCTCTGCATATAAAGATCTAAAAATTGTGTACAACCTTCAGTGAGAAATTCATCAGCTGGTCGGGGAAATATTCTCTTTCTTTCGGCTTGATGCATAATATTAAAAAGTGCTTCAGTTAATCCTGGCTGACGATCAAGACAAACGGCAACTAATTCTAAAATTGCAACCTTCACCTCAGCGGCACATGTTGGTGACATTAATCTCGAGGCAAATGTTTCACGAATTGCCGTTCCATCCATTCCCATACAAACTAATAATGACATTGAAAAACCTTCGGCAAATTTTTTCAACAATCTCACAGCCATTGCTTGCAAAGCTGGACTAAACCAAACATAAAGATAATCAACAATTGTTGGCACAATTAAAAGACCATTTGGCAATGAAGGCGAAGCATAAAGTGCAATTTCAAGCGGTGATCTCTCCTCAATTCCCAATCCAAGATTTTTTCTATACATTAATAAACGATTAACCACCGACAATGCCAATTGAACACTTTTAATAACTTTAAATCCTTTACCAGCAATCCAATCAGTTTCATTCATCATTCGATTTCTCAATGCTCGTTCACTGGTGCGAACAATTTTCAATAGTGCATGCCTCGGTTCCAAATGCAATAAATTATAAGTGACAATTAATTTCAATTCATTGCGCGATTCACCCTCGGGTACAGAATCCAATGCACGATGAAGACAAAATATACTCTTTAACCATAGTTCAACTTTTTCCGATTCAGATTGAAAATACCATGAATCGAGTTTCGGTAGGATACTCTGTAATAAAAGAACCATTCCAGGAATTTCGACAGAATACATCGCTTCTTTACTGTGTCGTGCAATAAGATAATTCGACAATGTATCAAGATATGCGTTTAAAATTGGATAAGTATGTTGAATAGTTTCGATACTCGAGAGCCATGAAGCAATAAGACCACCGTCAAATGAAACAGCTTCGGCAAATTCAGTTGTCTTTTGATAACGATCATCAAATCTTGGATAAACTTCAGTTCTCATTCGCGATAACACATCCTCAGGATATCGAAGTACCAATTTTGACGATACACGAATACAAGAGGCAACAACTTTATAAATATTCAATGGCAACGTAGCATACGAAAAACGATTAACAATTTCAAAACTCAGCTCCGTTGGTATAACCATATTTCTTGGAATTTCCATATCAGTCGCAAGCAACGCTTCCAATAGTGCAAAACCCTGTGTCACTTGTTCAGGAAGAACAGCATCTTTATAACTCAAACTCGCCATACCTCCGCTTGCTTGAAGAAAAAGTTGTTCTATTTTATGATGAAAAGCATGCCAATAACTTCCCTTTGTATGCCATAAAATAACATCAAATTCATCGCCATCATTTCTTCGTCTAGCCGATTCAATTCTTTCATGACGCGTTGTTGTCAATATACGAAATGAATTTCTATGAATCACACATTCTTGCTCATATGGTTTTAAACAATCAATTGTATGTAAATTTTGTCGTGTAACTTCTAAAGTAAGCGATGGTAAATTATCAAGTTCATAAATCACATTTTTAGCACTCAAAATTGAGGCACTTGCCAAACCAGTAACAATTGCCGTAAGTGGCTCAAATCTATAAGGAAACCATTGTGCCGCATATTTATAAAATACCCATAATCCATCTTCTTTTTCCCTCCAAAATCTTTCCGCAAGTTTTGGATATCTTAAAATCGATGCAACGGTATCAAAAATACCCGTTAATGTATCCAATCGATCCTCATCAATAAATGCACAAAGAAGCGTCAAAAGATTATAAACACTACTTCGTACAATTTCCGCATAATGCGTGTCCTCACGAATCATTTCCGAATCAAGTAATCCTTTTAAATAGTGAAAAACATTCATTTGAATCGCACGAATACCAAATGGACGAAAACAATTTAAAATATCAGTATTTTCCGGTTCAATTGCATAATTAGCGAGCATCCAAGCAAGCAATAATGGTCCATCCTGTGGTAAACTATCCCTCAAACATTTATGTTCAAATGTATCCTGCATTATTTTACCAACTCCTTTTATCCAATCCTCCATTCCAATATGTTTCGTCACATCAAAAGCAACTAATAATAAACCCGTTTGGCTATATTGAATAATTTCAATTTTTTTTGCCATCAATTCTCTATCCTCATGGCTTTTATATGAAATTAATCTTCTTGGTTCACCGCTAATACTCGCATAAATATTATTAAATTCACTATCAACAACATGTACATCATTCAATATCACTGTATAAATATGCAATAATTCACGCATTTCATTAAGACTACTCTCATAAATACGATGTAAATGTTCTTCGGTAAATAATTGTGTTCGACTTGGTGGATTTATAAATTTAAGATGTTCAATTTGTTTTTGTACACTTGTCAATAAACTACCAAGTAAAACTTCATCGAAAAAATTACAAAATTCCTTTTGATGTGGATGCTTTCTATTGTCTCTATATTCAACCATTAATTTTAAACATTTTATCAATGTTATTCTCTCGGCATAATAGAAACTCCAAATTTCTTCAATTAAAACTTTCATTGATGTTAAATCAGTTAATTGTGATGCAAATGTCTCGGCACAATTTCTATATTCATAGAGCATAAAATTGCAAACTAAATCCCATGTTATTGTTGCATCAACATTCTAGAAAAGAAAAATAATTAATCTCAAATCTTCTCTCAATACAAAAAAAAAAAAATCAAAAACGGAAAAGTATTAATTAGAAAAGATTTAAAACAGAATTTTTTTAGCTAAGGGATTATTTATTCAGAAAAGTGTAAACAAAATGAGCCAAAAGTTTTGAACGTTCAAATGAACAAAATTTTTTTCGCATCTTTTTTAAGTATGAATTTTATTACAAAATATTGTTTTAAATACTTAAAAAGAAGTTATTAATTTAATAATTGTTTAATTTACTGTTTTATTTTACATTGCCGTTATAATTTATAATAATTTATAGATTAAAAAAAATATTTTGTTCATTTGAACGTTCAAAACTTTTGGCTCATTAAACAAAAAATATTTTCTTTTATTTCAATATAGTTGAATAAAAAAAAAAATTTGATTAAATGAACAAAATTTGGTTTCCAGTACTTGATAAATTTAAAAATTAACACTAATTAAAAAAAAGGGGAAGAATTTTTTCTGTAATCAGAAATATTAAAAAATCTACTTACCAACAATGGAGCAAGTTTACTAATTAAATCATACATTCGAGGTGGAGGATTTTTTTTCGAAACATTTTGTAACGATTCCTCGGTGTATTTTTTGAAAAAATTGAGCCCATCACGTAGAAGAGGTGTTGCATTTTGAATTTCATCTTCAACGAGATCTTTGTCACATCGACAAATTGTTCCCGATATAACGGACCACAATCCTTTGCAGTAACTATTATTTAAACAAATTCGTATAAAAAATTATTATAAAAAACCAAAATAAAAAAAAAAAAAAATACTCGTGAACTGTTACTGCAAATAAGAATTTCGAATTAAAATCAAAATTTACTTACGGAAGATTGGCTATAGGTGCAATTGACATGATTAAAATTGTTTATTTATTACCCACTTGGAAAATTACTATAAATATTGACTTAACAATTCATTTTTTGTTGATTTTCACTCTTTGACGCAAAACATTAACAATGGAAACATAACCTTAAAATTAATATTGAGCGCGCCATTTATTTTGCGTTTAAAATAAATATTAAGGCCCATTCACAATGATTTGAAATATTGTCCAATATTTGCCAATTAACGTCAAGCAATTTTATGCGCGAATTTATTTAAAATTTCAAATTTATTTAAAAAGTTTGTGTTTTTTTTTTAATTATTCTGCAAATAAAAAAAAAAAAAAAAAAATTATAATTACATATGGAAAATAGTATTATACTTGTTTATAAAAAATTGAAAGATGTTTAATACAATGAAATATATTTAAGTTAGAAAAAAGGAGAACCAAAGGAATATGAATAAAAAGAGTGAAGATTTATTTTGCGAAAATTCGCATTTGAGATCTTTAATTATCTTCATTATTCGTTTTTTTCAACATGAAACATGAGCCTTGATTACATCTCGTTAGAAAAAACGACCGTAGAAAATAAACGTAACGTTTTAATAACATCAAATCTCCGTTTCATATTATTGAAACAAGAGATGAAGCGAAGGAATATTTTATTCGTAAAAGCAAAATGACGCAATGAATCGCAACGTTAATTATCTCTAAGGCATATAATTTATATTTTCAGATTTTTTTTTTTTTATAGATCTAACACACCATTTCACGATCACAGAGCAAATAGCTCTTTTATCACTATTATACATTTATAATATATCTAACAATCTAACCATTTTATCATCATGTAAGTCTCCGTTTAAAAAAAAAAATTACAATTCAAGAAAGAGTGAAAAAAAAGAGTTAATTTGCATTTTTTTTTTACAGTGAAGGTGTAAAGAATTTTATTTTTTGAATAATTTACTAAATTAATTTAATTTAAAACTTCTAGAAAGTCAAATGATACAAAAATAATTTATTTCTATTTTCGGAAAAAATGCATATTAACTTTTTTTTTACCTCCATCAAATTTTTGTTTGCAATTTTTTTTCGGAGCTAACAATTCTAGAGGAAATATTGTGATATAAAACTGTAATCGTATAATGAAATGAGAGATTTGATTCTAATTACATCAGTGACTTTCTTTTTTTCTTGATGTCAATAATATCGATATTTTATAATAGTTAATTATTCATTTATTAATTAACGACCAATTAAATTGATAATTAATTAAGGATCAATTAAATTAAATTGACTGTCAAATTAATGATCAATTAAATTTAATTGACAATTGACTAATTCAATTATAACAATGCATTTTTAATTAAATTAATAAAGTAATGAATAGTTATATAATAACTAAATAATATTATTAATAATAATAGTAATAGTAATAACAACAATTGTACGACTCTATTTGTCTTTAACTGTATATATATATATATATATTTTTTTTTAATATTAAACGAATTGTCATGGAAGTAACAGCGACTTGTAACTACAGTGGCAACAAGTTGGCAGTGACCAATCTGTTCTCTTTTCTGGACTTCCAATAATCTCGAAAAAGCATCTGACTAGGATTACCAAAGACCCTCGATTTGATTGGTAACCTTGATGACTGAACTCGCGGATCTTTTTTTTTTTTTTTAAAGCGTTTAAGTGGCATTCTTTAAATTATAAGTACTACTGTGCGATCATCGAGAGTACAAAACGGTCATTAACCAGTCGCTTCTTTTTTTTTTTTATATCACCCGTTGCGAATCGAGTTCATTTTTTTTTTAAAGCTACACGAGACATAGAAGTTTCGTATGAACTTCTTTTATATAATAAAGTTTTGAAAAACTCAACAGAGTCCCGGGAATCGAGTTTAAACTTTGAAATCAATCACAGAAAGTTTTAGTTTAATTTTCACATCTCGAAAAATAATATCGAGTTATAACAGAAATCTGGATAAAAATAACGAAAAAAAAGTAGATCTAAATAAATCTCTAATTTTACACACAAACAATTTTTTTCTCATAACTAAATTTAATAACAATATTAGAAATTTTAAATGTAACATTTTTCAAAAAAAAAAAATTTGATTATTTTTATCCAGTTTTCGAAATCTATCTTTCTTTCCTAAGAAATTACTATACGAATTCGAATCACAGAAGATTTATATATTATTATATAGAATAACTTGAAAAATGAAATTCTAGATTTTGGTTTCTTTAACCTTGTATAAGGTTCTAAACGCTGGGGATCAGCCAACTGCATTATTATCGAGATCAGCAAATTCACGGGATACTTTGCAAAGATAGTGTAAACATTCATGAATTTCGGGAGTACAACCATAACTCCTGAGATCGCTTAACCAATAAGAAGAAACACGTCTACCGGCATCGATATAAGTGATGAGATATTCCTTACATAATGGCTCTTGTGATACAACCATTTTCGTATGATCCATGAAGAAATTCACCTGAAGAAGTGGTCCCGTTAATTCCATCACAATTGCTTTGTCCGTTCTTAACCAGCGTCGCATTCTTGGCACACATGCGGAACGGGATTGTCGCATATTTCTAACTTCTTTAATTTCACCACCTAATTAGAAAATACAAAATAATAGTAAATAGTAAATAAATTGAATTACAAAAATTATTAAAAAAAAATATGCTAACCTTCTGTTAGATGATGTTCCATATATTCCGTAAAATATCGCAGAATATCTAGTTTTGTTTCTAACGATGAGGGAACATCTTTTTCTCTGTGATATCTCGTTACTTCGTCATCGGTTCTCATGTATTCGACACGTCTGAAAAAAAATTTTTATTTTATACCATTTTTCATCTATTTCTTTCGTAAAAATAAAGAAGAAATTAAAATTTACCCCTTTTTGCTCTATTTTTAGTAAAAAAAAACCGTAGAAAAAATGAAAAAATAATAAAAAGTTAATTGAGGAGAAATCTTTTACCTTCTATCAGGAGTGTAGCTCATCTTTGTGCTATCATTAAAGAGCACTCCAACCGATTTATCAGATAGTTGAAAACCCAAGCCGTACTTATTAGAATAATCAATCCACTTGATTACAAACAATGGTGTCACATCATCAACTTTAGGAGGATTTCTAATTGCCTGTCGACATTTTATTTCAGCAAGACCATCCTCAAGTGCTCTATTCATTTGTACACTTTGCGGTAAAATAGGCGTTTGTCCACCATTTGTTTCCATTAATGTTTGTTTTTTCCTCGCTTCAGGACAAAGAACACTGCTAAGACGTTGTCGAAACCATGGTAATTTTGGTAATTTTGATAATTTTTTTGACAACCAATTTGAAACTTTTTGCCCTTTACCCGATTGTTTACGACAATCATTACGCGTTGGTGATTGTGCTCTCAATTGTGAATGTTGCATTATTTCCTCACCGTGATAATGATGATTATTATTATTATTCATCGTTGACACCACTGACGATGAGGGTGAAATTGCCGTATTAATTGGTTCAATAATTGATAATTGAGGTGTACGATAGCAACATGTATCGGGTAAAAATGATGGAACATATTCCTTGGTGAGATAAGGATGTTCCTTAACTCTTTCGAGTGATGGTCTTAGCTCGGGATTTGGATGTAATAGCCAACGAATTAAATCCTGTCCATTACGACTTGCCATTGTATCGTCAACTTCACGATAATGATTATTGCAAATTCTCGTGTAAGTTTCTTTAAGTGTCGCCGTATCAAATGGCGGTTGGCCAACGAGCAATGCATATAAGATACAACCCAAGGCCCAAACATCCGCCTCATAACTGTAAGCTTGTTTGTAAAGAACTTCCGGAGCAATAAAGTTTGGTGTACCGCAAAGTGTTCTATAAAAAAAAAACAGAAATAAAATTAAAAAAAATTAAAAGCAAATTAATATTTATTAATTTTTGAAATAAGTAAATAATAATTACACTTTTCTACGTTGACCATCGGGACGTGTGGCTAATCCAAAATCACCAATTTTTACAATCATTCGTTCCGAGAGAAACATATTGCCCGGTTTCAAATCCCGGTGAACGATTTTTTGCGAATGAATATAAGCAACTCCTGTTACCATTTGTTTCATATAGTATCTGGCTTCCGGTTCCGTTACTTTGCCACGATAACCCAACACGTGCATGAGACTCTGAAACAAAACATGTGGAGATGAATCATCATACTCTAAATACTTTAACTTACTTTTTTTTTACTTCTGAATCACTCTCTGTATTTCTATATTACTCAACCTACGATTTCTCTTTTACAAAATGCAATTTAATCTCATTCTCTCATAATACAAAGACTTTTTAAAATTAATCACCAAACATTAAAAATTTACTACTATATTATAAATCTGACGATAAATAATAAAAAAAATATAAATATTATTGTAAAATTATAACACAGAATTAATAATTACTATGAAAAATGAAAGTTAGGAAAGTTATCAATTAAAAAAAAATTCACATAAAAAAAGAGGAAATTAAATTTTCTGAATCCTAAACAGGTTTTTGATTTCATTTATATTCTCAAGATTTCTGTGTTCTACTTCTTTTTATTGTCAATTAATTTTATTTTCTCTCAAGTAAAAATCATTTTGATTATATTTATTGCAAAAATTAACTTTATATTTTCTCTCAATCTTGGTTGGACACACGTGACAAAAAAAAAAAAAAAAAATAAGAGAAATTTCCGTTATAATTTACAACTTTGACCACAAATTCGTATTCTAATAACAGAAGTTGTAAAAAAGATGCAAATTATAATAAAAAGAAGAAGAAAAATGATACGTTCATGATTTATAGGAGAAAAGAAGAACAGATGGATAATTAACAGAAAATAGAATGAAAAAGTTGGTCAAGGCTAATAATAATATCATGTTAAATTCTCGTAATTTTAGTTGACAAATATTTTTAATATTTTATTTATTTAAATAAAATTTTTCAATAAATTTCTTAAATGAAAATTCTAAAAATTTGAAATTCAATTTAAAAATGAAAATATTTAATGAAAATTTTCATAATTACTTTCAAGTAATTAATAATTTTTTTTTTAAATGAATTTTAATTATTATTAATTATGATGAACAAAAAGGAATTGTTATAATAATAATAATAATAATTGAAAAAAAGTTTTCAAGGAAGTTAAATTCATGTGCAATCTAATATGCACCTTTCGCTTTGACTAGCATGTGCAGGCTGCATTGGCCATCGTAAAAAGTATTCTGCATCACCTGCAGCTGTTGCAAGAAGCACTTGTATATTTTCACATCAAACTATCGGCGACCGACGCAAGCACGCTTGATCGACTCTCTTATATGTAGACACGCTTCTCCAAGTTTTACGATCCATTAAACGATGCTTTATTTTAAGAAATTATCACGCGAACTATAGAGTAATTATTAAATTCACAGGTCAAGGTCGATGACGGTAATACGTCATTAAATATTTTTCCAAATTTAATTAAATAAAATACAAAAATTTCAATTCGATATTAATGTAAAAAAATCTAATTTTTCTATTTTTTGTCTTAATTGAATTATAATTACAAATTTGAAAATTCTTTGAATTCAATTTAGAAAATAAAAATTTTTATCTTAATTTAAAAAATTTGGATAAACTAAAATTAGAAATAAAATACAAATGCAAAATTTTTTTTAAAGCTAAATATTCGAATAAAAGGCAATTTTATATAATAAAATTTTTAAATCTTATTTAATTTCTACTAAACTGAATATTAAAAAAATAATTAAATTTATTAAGTTCAAGTCAATGAATTTTAAAAAACCAAAAAATAGTTTTATTATCTATGAAATAAAAAATGACCTTCGATTCAAGATCAAAAAAAGGAAGAATCAAGTTCAAAGGCAAGGATGCTTTCTTTTATGTTTGAAGTGTCTTAAAAAAATGAAAAATAAGTTGAGATATTGAATTTCGTAACCTGTGACTGACCCGTTTTTTTTTTTTTTTTTTTTTTGTAAATTTGAATAACAAGGAACATTGGATATAATGAAGGTAGAGAGCGTGTGTCATCGAGGTTGGAAAGGAGAGCGAAAGTTAAATGAGAATTGTTGCGGTAATAGTGAATGTGAACTCTCAAGTAGGAGAAGAATGTGGCGAGTTAAAAGAGACAAAGAGTTCAGCACTTGAATCTTTCGGTCATGCAATGTCAAGTATTGTACCTTTCGTGGACAAGCTTCTAGGAGCATGTAGACACTTAGATTGTCCTCGAAGTAATGATGCATCTGAACGACATTGACATGATTCAACTCCTTGTGTATCGTCACCTCTCTTGCGATCTAAGAATAAAAAAAATTATCCTTTTATTAAATAACAAAAAATACATATTAAAAAAAATATCCTGTAAAAAATTTTCAAATTTTTCAAATAATTTCTTTTATTTCATTATTTTTTCATAAGTTTCATAATTTTATTTACCTTTTGCATATGAATCTTCTGCATTCGATTTTTGGGAATGATTTTACAAGCATATTGTTTCCTCGTTGAAATGTCGGTTATTAAATAAACTTTTGCAAAGCCACCCTGAAAAGAAAAAAGAAAATATTTTTTTTTTGTATTGTCAAAAAATGTATATTATATAATTTCAATGCCTTTATTATCAAGGGCACAAAAACCTTTTAAGAAATTCCTAGACTGTGAATGCCATGAAAAAAGGAAAAAGAAAAAAAAATCGTGGCCAAATGCCAAAAGTCGCAAAAATATCTTTTGACATTGCGAAAGTTAAATTATCGTTCTCGTTTGTCGTATTATTCTATTTTATTATTTACAAAATATCTGTCTGATCTCTGGGACACAATAATAATAATATAAAATCTGTGAATAGGCATATATATAAATATTTGTCTAGGGTTTAAATGAATAAACATCCAGGTGCCTTTTGCCATGAAAATAATTTCAAAGAGCAAATGTGTTCATGAGAAAACATGCGTAAATCTAGTTCTAGGGTAAAATAACATTTCTCTTCATTGAGAAATTCTAAAAATATATTATTTTCTTTTATTACATTTTACAAAATAGAATTTATTTTCCTAAAAGAGAGTAAAATTACAAAAAAAGAAAATTAATGTTTTTTTTTTTATTCTTATGTAAGTTTCGTGGCTCAAATTCATTTGGCATTTAAATTATTTGTGTCACTGAAGAATAATAAAATTATAAACCAAGAATAGAAAAGAAATTTGACTTTTGTTTGATCGATTCCTCACGTAAAATTTGTTATTGATTCCAACCAATCGTCATTTCAAGGTTGAATTCTCGTTTCTTTTAAAATTTTCTATTTTGAATTTAATAAAATTTTGTATTATTCGAGAATTTCGATTTTATTTTAAACAAAACAACGTTTTTTTAGAACTCAAAACACTAGAAACAGATTTTTACAGACATTTAAGTTTAACATGCACTTAACAAAGAAAGATTACCATAACAGTTTCTATCTTGATAAACTTGCAAAAAAAAAAAAAAAAAAGGTGAATAAGAAACGAATAACAAAGGGATAAAACGTACGTTGCAAAGAGCAAGAAGATTAGTAAAAGGGCAAAATGCAGTCTTCCATGAAAAGACGAAGACGAAGAAGAAGTAGAATAGTGACTTTAAGAAAATTCCTGTTCTGATCTCGACGCTTTATATTTTGAAGTAACTTTCATGGAGAGGGGGAGATAAAAAGGTCTTGTATAACTAGTATAAGAAAGAAGAAAAAATATAAAAGAGAGGAGAAGAAGAAGAAGAAAGCGAATGAGGAGAAGAATATTTTTCTCACGACCCACGCTTGTCGAGTTTCGAACCTTAACAGGTCCTTTGTGTCGATAACTTTTCAAAGATGCGAGCAGGTCCTTCCAGAGCACACACACATTCATTCACTCACACAATTTTGAAAAATGACACCTACAGAGTCATTTAAAAGTTTATAGTGTATATGTTTCTCAGGCGTATACACACAGCCCATCTGCTTTACTCTGAAATTCAGGAACCGTTCTTTCGCCTCAAAAAAAAAATAACCAAAGCCACTAAAACGTCAACTCGATTTTAACGAAATTTCACCCTTTGCCTCCGGATCACTTGAACCTTCGAAAAAAAAAAATAAATTTTCAATGAAAAAAATAATTTATACAATTATTGTTTTAATTTCAAAATTGGTTTAATAATTAATTATTATTATAAAAAATTGCAATTAGCGAATAAAATTCAAAAATTTTATCCACTTTTTAATACGTATGAGAATTCTATTGGGAAAGTAAACCACAAAATTGTCGGTAGATTCGCGTGATCATATTCATAAAAAAATATATTCTATATATATTACATGTTACAAAAAAAAGAGACACTGTGGTTTTGAAGGAAGTTATATTATATCCAACTCGCGTGACCGAGAAGAAAATATATAATCGAAGAAAGAGAGGAGCAACGGAAACTAAAAATGTGCCATCTAAAATATTGCTTAAAATTCAATGAAAAAAAAAAAAAAAAAACCGTTTAAGAAAAAATCTTCTAAAGTTCCTCTATAATATAAAACACAGGTTTCAAGATAACGGAAGCTTGAGAATATGTGATAATTACTTCATCTCACACCAATAGAGAATCTACTTGAAAGATAATAAAATTTAAATATCCAGAATTTAGAATAAAGAATTAAAAAGAGGAATAAAAAAAATTACTTTTAATAAAAACAAATTTTATTTACCTCAAAGAAATGCAAATAGAAATTTTGTCTGCGTATCGAATTAAATAAATTACGAATTAAATAATTTAGTTTAATATCGAGATGAAATAAAATACTATTGAAGAAAGTGTAAAAGAAGATTAATAAGAAAGTACAAACATCCTGTCAGCAAGAGATATAACAATATAAAGGGTGAACGAATTTTAAAAGCCATATATACGCGCAATGAACGGGATAGAAATGTTGATAATGAGTCTTAATAAAAACTCATTAACCAGCGAAAGGAGGAAATCTTCAATAAAATTTAAATTAAAATCAAAGACACGCTCCTAATCAAAAGACATACTAGAAAAATTAGAAGAAAAAAAAATTATTAAAATAAAAAAATTAACTTTTTTTTTGTATTTTAATATAAAAATCCTTCTTTTTTTTCCACAAAATTATTTAAAATGTTTTCACTAAAAACTATCAGAGCTGAACAAATAGAACGGAAATAATTTTAAATCCACCGCATGTCATACAAGAAAATTTCTATTTCATTTTCCCAATCGATTCGAAAGTGAAGTCAAATCTAATTAGTTTCGAATAAAATTTCCACTTAATTGGAATAATAATTATGTATCTCTCTCACTCTCTTTTAATTTTCTGTCGATTCCTACGCTTTAATTAAACCGTAATTATTTAATTTTAAACCATTTTCCTATAATTAATGTCATTTTATTTAAAGTATTAATTTTGAATTTACATTTAGAAAATAAACATTATATTTTTTAAAAAAAACTTCATATTATTTACATTTTAATATAGTAAATCATTAAATAAAGTTTAAAATGAAAAAAACTTTTCCTTCTCATGATTTACTTTAAAATTTGAATTTTAAATTTAAATCTTCCAAATTAGGTTCTAAGCCGGTTTTTTTTTCCTGAATGATTTCCATGATGAATGTGTACAAAAATTGCGGACACAAACGATGGGAATATACCAAATAAATATACAACCCGAAGGGAAAAAGATGAAAATGAAATGAGTATATGAGGTTGCAAGCTTGTGTGACTGGTGAAGGAGAGAAAAAAAAAAGAAGGCGAAAAGGTGGGAACGAAGATGAAGTGAGAAAGGAAAGGAAGTTGCCCTTCCGTTGCACGCGTAACTTGAAGGTATTACCTACGAGGTAAACACAAAATGATAGGGATAAGATTCTATATATAAGATGTTTGTAAACATTGCAATATTCGCAAAATCCTAATAAATCTATAAAATCGCCTATTCACACAAGAAAAATTTTCAAAAAGTTTTTACCGTTTAAAATTTAATTTTCAAAATATTTAAATATAAAATTAAAATTTGTTTATAAAAATGAAATATTTCTTGATATAGAAAAGAAAAGAAAAACAAATATTATTCTATTGTATTGTTATTCCCACATGAATTTCTGTGAGTTTCGTGCAATGTAAATAATAAATTCCCAGAGTAAAGACTGCGCTCACATTTTCCCGTGGAATCTTCATGAAGGCATTATCATTCAGCTTGGTAATCTATTAATGTTTTCCCTTTAGCATATAACGACCGGTGGCAATGAAGCGTTTGTTAGAATTTCAAATATATATATACTCCCAGGAGATAAAATATTCTTTCATTTTTTTTTTCAAGTTCATATTATAAATATATACCCTTTTTTATCATAGAATGAAATTTATGATGATGTCAAACACGTGTTTGTCCCATAAATAAAATAAAATTATTCTCTCACCTTTCCAAGAAATTGTCCTTTATGATACGCATTTCCCTTTTCAATATCGATCACATAATCTGATTCTTGTTCCACAGATGAACTATTCCAAGATGATGTCGATGGTGCAACAGTACCGGGAGCAATACCACGAAATCTGGTTAATGAACTTTGACTCTTCCCCGTGGTTCCTCTGGAAAGAAAATATTTTTTTTTTATTTTAAATAAATTTTTTTTTTTTTCATAATTAAATTAAAATTTAATTTACCTAGAATTAGCGGGTGTTGAAGAACTGACGGACGTTGTTGAATGTGGAATGGAAGAAGACGGTGAGAGAAATCGTTGTGATGTTGGAGGCGATGTGGCGGTGGAAGCAGTTCTTGTATCCTCTTCCTTAGGCGAATTACTTGACGATGAACATGATTTTCGACTTGTTGTATTATCACCAGTCAAAGGATAACCAGGATGTGAGGAATATGAATTTTCTGATTCGAGTGGAGCAGATGACCCGTATCCAATACTTCCATTGTCACCGCTAATTGTGCAGCTGCTTTTCAATCTTTGACGATGACTTCCAAGACTAACGCGTTTTCTATCTGGCGTTTGAACAGAACCTTCCAACGAGCATGGAATCGATGATGCACCATGATAATCATCCGATGCAACGGAACTTGTATTACTTGTTGGATTTGAATCATCAGTACCACGTTCCTCCAGTAAACTTGATTTCAATCGACGAGATCCACGAGAAAGACTCTTTGACACGTCATCCATATAAGCGAAACTGTTGCTTAAACGAGTCGCAGCAACTTGAACAATTTCTACACCCATCGTTGTAAGCACCTCGTCTCGAGACATATCGCTTAAGATTATTCGTATTATTTAAAGAATCTCGTTCACCTCTTATTTTTCCTACCTATGACCTACTCGACAGCAACATTCATCATCTATAAATATAAAGAAACATTGTTTTTAATTTTCAAATCGAAATCATTTCCTTTTTATAGTAAAACTAAAATATTTATCAAAAACAAAATTAATTAATAATAAAATTTATGGGAAATAAAATTCTTTAATGATAAAAATCTAATAATGAAATATGCTTTGTTTTTTTTTCACAAAACGGGAAAATAATTATGAGACATGATTCATTACCGTTATAATATTGAATTTCCGATAATAATATTAGAATAAAAAATAAATGAAAATTATTATTTTAGAAAATATATAAAAATTATTTAATTTTTCTTATATCAATTTTAGACCCGTTAAAAAGTAAATAATTGAAAAAACTCATTGAACTTGACAAAACTGTAATAATTCTTTTAAAAGTGTCAATTACAAATTTCAAAGAACTCGATAATCTCTTCTATGTAATCTCTCCCTCTCTCTCTTTCTCTAAAGAGAATGTAAGATCGCATATCCCTAAAGCGGAAATAATTGCTCCTTACTCATGACTTGATTTGCAACTATCTACAGGTTTTAATAGTTTCCTACAAATTACCGTCAACTATATTCTTTAAACAATAGAGTAACATAATTAAAAATTACATATATTTATTTTAAACAAAATTAATAACTTTTTTTTCTGTCTTTATATATGGAAAAATTAAATAAAATTCGATAATCCAAAATGAAAATAATTATACGCTCAATTTTTTTACCATAAAAAATATAATGTGACACTTGTGAGAATTCTTTATATACGTATCACCGGAAACAAGAAGCCATAAAAAAAGATAACACAAGGTTATCCCTTTTGAGGAAGTATAAGAAAATAAAAAATATTTTTTAAATAATTTCTCAAGTAAATAAAATTCAATTCTGTAAAATACAACAAATATTTATAAATTAAAAAAAAATAATTTTATAAATAAATTATTTAAAAATATCCAATTTCTAAAATATAAATATTCATTTCATATAGAATAAATCAAGTCTCCTACAATTTCTAGTATAAATCATAAATTTAATTGTATGCATATTCTCAGATAATTAATAATCATGCGCGAATAATTAATTTCCATAATAAAAAGTCCATAAAATCACATTCGCAATGAAAGAAGAATTTTTTCGCAAAAAAAAATTATTTTAATTTTAGTGTCGGGAGGACTTGTTAGCAGTTTACAATATCCGTTAAAGCCGGTTTTACGGTGAACTTCTGATAAATTTTACTCATCAACAAAAGAAATAAACAGCAATCATTGAACAGTTAGTCGATAAATGCCCGCATCTAGCAATATGGCCCTTTTACAACTTTCGAATTTCAAAAGAGAAAAAAAAGGAATATCACTGCATTTTTGTTTCTATGTTAAATTCAAAATACATAAAATATCTTTAAAAAAAATAGATAAACAAAAAATAGTTCATTATTGATTAATTTGAAAATAAAATTGAACATAAACTGCACAAACGTCCTCTAAATCCCTAAAAGTTAAAATTAATCGCCTAAACATTATTTGAATGTTCCCAAAAGAACTTGACCATGATCTAAATATATATGTAAGATTATCAATCATTATAGCACAATAATTATTGAAAATGAGAAACTTTCTCCATAACTATATATATCTGATTATTATTACTGCACACGAGAGACCCAGATTTAAATTGAAATAATCTTACGATCACGTAACAGATTTTAAATTGTTAAACAGAATACAATAACTTAAAACGTTTTTATATTAAGAAATTTTTAAAAAAATATTTGACAAAACTACGTTTACAATAATATTTTTCAATAACACTTTTTTTGGCTAATAAATTTTTCTTAGGAAAATTGATCTGTTACAAAAATTAATTAGACAAAAAAATTATAATTTACTTAGAAAAATTATTTTTCCTCTAAATCGTTTAATTATAAACTTCATCGATATAAAAAAAAAAATTGCATTTGCAATTAAAAAATCAAACTAAACTTTTCAATAGAAGAAACAAATTACAATTTTTTTTTTTTTTGTTTGAAAAATTTCTCACATTCATCTTTTTCACACATGAGCAAATGCACTTGACAGAATTCTATTGAAAGCCGATTACCTGTCATCTCTGCAGGTATTTCCGATCCACACTTCCCTTGTGTTCCCAGATAGAATTGCAAATGTATTTCCTTTTCGATGGTGGGATGGAATTTCTCAGTTTCCGGAGGCGAAATATTTTTCTCGCAACATTTTTTTTTGGAGCATCTATATAATCCTCTTATTCAGAATTGTCACGAATTTTTTTTCCCCTGTAATTCACTCGCTGAAAAGGCAGATTTAAAGCAGGGTAACAACATATTTTATAGACATTATTAGAAGGAAAAATTCACTCTCTTGTATATGTAATGATAGATTGAGGGGGTCGAGTTGTAATCTATAATATTGAAAATTATAGGGAATGAGCGTCGGACAACAACCCCGAAACACGTGCACTCGGATCGCTCGATAAGGGCAGGACCAGAGTTCTCGTTCTCTGCTGCTTATATGCTCCGAAAGATAAAGAAAGATGAGAAAACCAGTTTCATCAGAGGCTTTAAAGAAAGAGAGAAAGAGAGTTTTGTGATTTAAATAACGCAACCCTGGCCGAGACACTGAAGGATTCACTCACACTTGATTGCAAGGGCCAGGTAAAAAAAGAACACCCTGAGAGAGAGAAAGAGAGAGAGAGGGATGTTAATAATAAACTTGAATTACTTCGGACGCTGAACGACGATATAAACTGGCTCTCTCTCTCGTGTCTTTCCCTGCGTTGGTACAACCCTCGACTGCTGCTGCACCGAGCCTACTGTTGCCATAAAGTTGAGATCTTTTGTATAGAACCTGCGCGAAGTGAGACCAGTGACGGAACTCTCAAGCTGGGAGCCTCCATAAAAAACAGACCTACGCAAAGAAAATATAATTTAGTTCCATATTTAAACAAACAAAAAAAAGAAATTCTCTTTTTCTATTTTCCTTTAAATTCACTATTAATTATTTTCAATAACAGAAAATATTAAATTAAATCAAAATTTGGATAATTTTAAACTTTTTTATTAATCTATAAACAGACTGAAATTACGTTAATTTTAAGTTACAATAGTTCCTTTGGTTTTTTTTTTAATTTCTCGAAAAATTTGTAACCGAAAAGTAAAATTACACCATTATAAATATTCTATTTTCCTTTAAATTGACTATTAATTATTTTCAATAACAGAAAATATTAAATTAAATCAAAATTTGGATAATTTTAAACTTTTTTATTAATTAATCTATAAACAGACTGAAATTACGTTAATTTTAAGTTACAATAGTTCCTTTGGTTTTTTTTTAATTTCTCGAAAAATTTGTAAGTAAAAGTAAAATTACATCATATATAAATATTTACATATAAAAACATTTTAAAAATAATTCCGTTCGAAACAATGTCTCACAACTATTAAAATCACAAGATTTGATAATTTGAATAAAGACTTTGGGGGTCTGTACAAAAATAAATCTTTCAAAACGTGAAAAATCTAAATTTAAGTCTTTTGAGAAAAAATAAATAATAAAAGTAAAACATTTTTGTAAATTAGGACGTAAGAGAATTACTTTTTTTTCAAAGTATTAAATAATAAGCTTATTAAATTGAGAGAGAGTTCAACTGCATTTGTGCAAGCGACCAAGATAAGAATAGCCGTAATTAACTACTTTTATGCTTTGAAAAGAAACTCGTTAGAGATACAAGATATGAATTTCATTCATATAAGTTTTCATCCCTAAATTTCGTAATAAAAAAACTATTATCTAAAAGATTCTCCTGTAAATAAATAATTTTTTTTTAAATAATAAATTAATAAATGTCTTTTTAACTAATAAACTTTTAAAAAGAAATAAAATTTAATATTCATATCGATAGTACTGAATGAATAAATGAGAACAGGAAAATAGAAGGGACATCATTTTTTTTATCACCATATCACCGCATTTAACTATATATATAAGGGAAGTTATAAACTATAAAAAAAAATAAACTCATAAAATTCATTTAATAATAAATCTGTTAATATAATTTACTATTAAAAATAAATTATAATAAATTTATTATTATAAAAAAGTATAAAAACAAATTAAAAAAGAAATTGGAAAAAAATTAACTCACCTCATTTTTTTAATTGAGACACTGTGTGCAATATTAATTTTGTTTTTAAGATTTTTACGTCTATTATATATATTTTTCTCAAATATATTTTATCAATTCCAGTCAGCAAATATTGTGCAGGTCGTGTTGTATATAAAATAAATTCACATATATAGACATAGACACAATTAATTACTTCTGTAATTGGTGAGAGAAAGTTGATGTCAAACTGTGAATTATGTTATTCCCATGTAATCCAAATATAATAATATATACATAATATTAAATGTCTAGAATTGGTTCTTGGCTAGTTTTGTAAAAACTATTATCCATATCTAGTGAGAACACGTTATTACATCATTATCGTGCTTGGATTCACGTATATAGTCATAATATGTGTTCACATCTTCAAGGGGGGGGGCATTTAATTTGGCTTCTATTGCAATATGAAAGAAAGCGTAAAACTTATATATGTTTCTTAACAATAGTACAATCTTTTTTGTTTTGTAATATATTACACTTCAAATCGTTTCTAATTTGCAAATTTAAGACATTTTTAACTGAAAACACTTCTAATATATTTTTATATCAAATTAATCAGTAAAAAATTGGAATTTGATATTTTCTTCAATTTATTTATATCCCCTAGGTGTCTAATATAATTATATATTAATTACCTGTAAATTGAAATTAGTAAACAAATCCCTTCATATAGGCAAAAAAGGTGGGCTATTATTTATTCCGATTGTTTTCGAATTTAGTGATTTAAATGATATAGGTATTATATAACCCTTATTCATAATGAATTTATACTTTATAGTTAATTAAAACACTTTATTAATTAATAACAATTTGTAAACAATAACTTTTAGAGAGAAAATTGTATTATAAATGTCCGTTATTTTTACAGTTCTGTGAAGTACGATCAGTCTGCGCGCGCATCTTGATAGCAGCGCACCTAGTGTCAAGAAACAAGTACCAAAATGTTATGTTATGTTTACATGTGTGCGTGTGTACAAATTAAAAAAGGAAAAAAAAAATTGTCTAAATTGTGTAATTGTTGACATCGACAATTAAATAGTGTTTCGTAATATTGTGATGAAATTAACAAATTTTTGATAAAATGTAAAATTATTCGCTGTCCAGTTTCTTATATTTGCAAATCGAAATGTATTTGTATATCGATATGCGTCATTCTAACCTAAACAATGATAGTGCGATATAATTCTTTGAATATATACTAGACGACAATTTTATCGGGTTAAAGTTCAAAAGTAATTTATTTTATCTTTTGTACTTCCTCTTTAATGTTTGATATGAACGAAATTTCATTTAATATATTATGCAGTCTTTGTTTTCAATTGTCATTTTCATCAAGGGCAATCGTTTTTGATTTCTATGATCAATTTAGCTGATTATTTTCTTTTTTTCAAAATATCATGATCAAATATCATAAATTGATTCTCAGTAATTACGCAAAGTGTCAATTTAGCAATTATGATTTCCCTTCTGAGAAAGGTAAGCATTTTTAAATTTAGTTTTTTTGTTTAGAAAAGCAGTGAAAGTTTTCTAACATTACTGCGTCATTTAATATTTAATACTATATAATTAGTATTCAAATTTAATTGTTTATGTTTGTAAAATTCTAATTTTTTTTGATTATCATTTAAACGTCAAACTCGTAGGAAATTAGTCCTACATTTTTTTTAAGTGAGAAATTTTTTCTTTTAAATTAACGAAATAAATTAGTTAAAATTTCTTTTTTTGCAGGTGAATTCCGCGGCAAACAAGAGAGATATTCTTGTTCGGGAATCGCTTCAACGTCAATTAAATACCTGCGTAATGGAAATGCAAAGTGCGCCAGGTGTCGTAGAAGGTGTTCCAGTGGCAAATTGCGAGGAGACAATGGCACTTTGTTTCATTTTAGAAGCAATTTTTCTACATGGATTAAAGGACAGTCTTTTAAATAGAGTGACTGAAGCACTTAATGGTCCTGATTTTGATGCAATGCCACAGCCAAGTTTTTGGGGACCTTTACTTGTTTTTTCTCATCGTCAAATTATTGATCAAATACAAACATTAACACAAGTTACAACTGAAGTTGGTTATTGTCGTGCTTGGATTCGAATTGCTTTAAATGAAGGAATTTTAGCAAGTTATTTTACTTCAATTCATCGAGATAATTCTGCCCTAAAGCCTTATTACAATAAAGCAGCATTCATAAGAGATTTAGATCTTGTGGAAATAACACAGAAATTAATCGAAAATATGGATTACGTGAGATTTGAACTCGCTTGTAATTCAAGTCTTTTGAATTTTTGGTCGAGTACACCATTATTAATGGCAGCAATTTGGTCACCACCATTAAAATCGTGTCCAGTTTTTAGTGCAGTCGATATTGCAAAAACAATAAGCAGCGATAGTAATGATACATTTGAAGAAATCGAAACGGCAAGTTCCATTGGAAGTTTAGGTTCTTTTAATTCATCATTATCGACTATTAATAATATTGGCTGTCTCTCAGAGGACGATGCTCTTAAAATTATTTTAAAAACTAAACAGAAAGATATGCAAAATTTACAAGATTTGGCAATTGGTTCCGAGACAACGGACGATGAGGTGAAGGATTTGGAATTTGAACGAAGAGAAAAAAGAAAAGAGAGACGAGAGAGAATGATGATGGATCGTAAGAGAGAGGAAAATTTGAAGGAAAAGCAAATAGAAATAAAAGAGAATAATGAAAATAATTCATTGGAAAATTTAGAAACTAAGGAAAATGGAATTGAAGAAAATGAAAAAGAGTCGAAAGATGATGAGGAATCTGATAAAAAAGAATCTGAAGCACAAGGATTAGGTAATTCTCTTGTAGGAAGATTAGGTTGGTCAACTTCTTTTGAGGACTGTGCATCTTCATTAACTTCATCTGTGATATCACAAAATTCTGACAATAGATATACACAAGAGGCACCAACTTACGATGCATTAATAAAGAGTTACAATCCTGCTGGATATAGTTTATCACCAGATCTTCAGGAACTTATTAATACTTATCCACTTAGTCAACCAATTCCTGTTGAATCAATTGCTCCAAACAATGAGAGGGTAATTTTATTTCACATTAATTTAAATTATTAATTTCAATTGTCAAAATGTAATTTTAATTTTACAGATTTCTGTGAGCTTTGATGAGCAATTAGAAAAAATTCCAAGAGAACGTGGTCTTGACGCTCAAAATTATAGTTGCTACGATTGTGGACATTCAATTGGAATGACATTTTCAACAGCTCATGTTTGCTTTTTCTTTGGCGATTATTATTGTTCAAATTGTATGTCGGATGAGGAATTTTTAATTCCATCGCGAATTATACATAATTGGGATTTAAAGCATTATCCCGTTTGTCAAAGAGCAGCGACATATTTAACAAATTCCTCAGCACTATTGGATTTAAAGACAATAAATCCAAAAATTTATTCAGCTGTCGAACCAATGGCTCAACTTCAAACATTAAGAATTCAATTGAATTTATTGCGCGCCTATTTATTTACGTGTCGTGAGCCTGTTATTGAATCATTGCAAAAAAAAGTTTTCCCCCGTGATTATTTGTATGAACATATTCATCAATATTCTGTATCTGATTTATTGGATGTTCCAAATGGTGCGCTGGCGCAACAATTGCAAAAAATTATTGAATTCGCTAAAAATCATGTAATGGGATGTTGGCTTTGCAGTCAAAAAGGTTTTATTTGCGAAGTCTGTAAAAATCCAAAAGTTATTTATCCATTTGATTTGGATTCAACATATCGGGTAAGAGAATTTTAATTTATTATTATTATTTTTGAAAAAAAATTTAAGTTACTGAATTTAATCCAATAATTTAAAAAAATACTAAAACAAATGCTTATTAATAAAAAATGATTACAGTGCGGAGCTTGTAATGCAGTTTTCCATTCAAGATGCTTAAATTCTAGCAAACTTTGTCCAAAATGTGAACGCAGACGCAAAAGAATGGATATTTCTCATTTGGATGTGGGAGATTCAGAATTACCTCCGGAATCAATAATCGCACCACTAGTAAATTAATATTATTATTTTATTATTTAGATTTTGTAAACAGTATTACAAAAAAGAGTCTTTAGACAATTGATAGAATTTTGAAACGAAAAAAGTATCATTCAATGTAAAAGACAAACTATTTTTCTTAATTTCAGGGAAAAGTTTACTTATTTTTAACAATTATTAATTACATAAAAATTTCTCTTATTTTTTGAACTATAAAGTATACGTCTATGTAATAGACTATATTTTCTCTATAATATTTAAAATGAATTTCTTTTAGAAAATTTAAAAAAATAATTAACTGTTTAATTTTAAAAAGCCTATTTTTATATAATTAACTTTGATTTAATTGAAAAATTATTAACAATTTGATTAGATGCAAAAAAAAGAAACAAATAATTTTAGTTCTAAAAACTTGAGTTTTTAACAAATTAATAAATTCTTAATTTATTTTTAGAGTGTGGCAAAATGAACATTTTTTTTCTTTGAAAAAGTAAAAAAAAATGTCAAAAGCCTCGTTAGAGTCATATCATAAATGTAAATTTAAAAAAAAAAGTACTAAAAAATTGTGATATCAAAATTAATTTGAAAACTCAACGAGACTTGATAACAACGTATTTCATCATTTTATAAAATATTTATTCTTCATTTATGTACAAAAGTTATAGTATAAACAATAATTGCTTATTACAAACTGTAACTTATTCTTCTAGATATTATCTTAATTAATACTGTCTACAATCCTGGCAGTCTTCCTTTTAGGCAAAATACCTTACGAAAACGTAGAAAAAAAATGAATTCGTTTTTTATATTATATATCAGGATTTTTTTTTAACAGAAGAGTTTTTTTTGTTTTTAAATTGCATTTTCTCCAGGTACATTTTTTTGTACTTTTTTGTTTTTGTTTATGGTCATAATTTTTAAATCTACATTTTCATTTCAACACTCTCATTTAACATTATTGTTTTTTTTTTTTTTAAATATTGTTCCCTTATTCTAAAAATTCTACAATTAATGCTGAGCAAACTACAATTGTTCGAAATATTTCTCACGTTTCCAATGAAAAAATTATTTTTCAAGTCATTTTCAGAAATTACGTTAAAAACCCATTATTTTTTAAGAAAATATTCGATTGGTAAACTTTTTTTTACAGAATAATTAAAACTAAAAACTGTATAATTGTTAATTGATAAAAAAAATTAATGAAGTTTTATTTTTAAAAATCGTTTAGAATTTGAGAAATATCTTGGCATTTTTGTTTACTACAAAATTGAAAAAATAAATTTTTAAATTTTTCTTTTTATACTTTTTTAAAGACGAGAAAACGTCTGCTTTCTGAGATTTCAAATTTATTTGTACTCTTCAACTTATATATAATTGTTTAAAAATTAATTATCTAATATTGTACTCCCACCTTCTCTCTTTCTTTTTTTTTCTAATTCAGTGGAGAGTCTTGGGAAAATACGATGATGGCAAAAGTGGTTTATCTAATACGGAACGACGAAGGCCACCTTGTAGATTACTCGTACTTTTTGCCTTTCCATTCGCCATAAATGGAGCATTATTATTTTCAATAATTGGTGGCACTGTTGATATACCACCAGAATTTGGCGATTTACTTAAACCATTCATACGATCGAGTGGTGTACTTGTACTTGAAATTTGTCCAGGTTTATTAAAATTCATACCACTTGTCATATCACTTACTCCAACACCCGTTGATCTTGCTGATGATCGATTAATATTTGAATTTTGCATAATAGAATTTCTAAGAGGTAACGCTGAGAGTGAAGAAGCATTTGCTTGAGTTGTACTCGGCGCTGGTGTTCGTGTTTCAAATCTATTGGGAATAAATTTATTTGTTCGCGGTAATGTTAATTGAATTGATGTTGGCACAGATGTCATTGCATTTGTTGCACTGTGCAATGGTGTTTGATTATCGGCCAATCTTCTATTAAGCCAACTGATAACTGCAAGAAAAATGTTGATTAAAAAAAAAAATTCGAATTTCCAAAATCTAAAATGAAAAAAAAATATCTCTTACCATTGTCATTATTCTTGATGGTTTTGTCCTTTTCTTCGATTTGCGTTTGCAAATTTTTCACTTGTTCTTTTAAATTATCAATTTCTGCCTTTGCGTCTTTTGATTCTTTTGTGAAATTTTCTATTTTATTTTCCAATTGACCAACTTGTTTGTGTGTAGCGTCAATTAATCTCTCTTGCTCTAGTGCAATGCCCGTTCGAAGTTTTAATTTATTTTTCGTTGATGCAAGTTCATTTTGTATTTTTGCAAGAATCTCATTTGCTTTCACTAATTCATCACTCAATCGTGTTAATGAATTTTGTTTTCTTTGTAATTGATTATCTTTTTCGGCAAGAAGCTCCTCTAATCTTTGTTTTTGTTCCTTGGCATTTTTCAACATTTCTGTATGTTTATTTATTAAAATTGTTTTATCCTTCATTTCTTGTTCAAGTACGGCAACTTTTGTTTTTAAACTATTAACTGATTTATCTTTATCATGATAATCACCGTCGAGTTTTGAATTTTGCTTTTTTAAAAGAGAAAGATCTCGTTGTACAAGATTGAGTTCTTTCTCAAGAGTTTGTATTTGTTTTAATTGTTCTGAATTTGTTGCCTCAAGAAATGATTGTTTATCTTTGTATGTTATATTTTGTGTTTTAAATTCCGCCAATTCTGTATGAACATGTTTAATTATTTCACTGTGTCTTTGTTCTAATTCCATTTTTTCCCTCTCACATTGATGTTGTAATTCCATTTTTAGCTGTGACAATCTGTAAAAGAATTTATGGTAATTGTTACTAGAAATATAAATTAAAAAAAAAATACATTGATAGTTAAAATATAAAACGAACCTTTCTTTTTCTAAATTCATCTGTTGCGCTAAACTCATTTGCAATTGTGTTTTTTCAGTAACCCATTTTTGTTCAAGTTGATCGAGGTCCTTTACTTTTGATTCTAGTTTACAATTTAAATCAGATTGTCTTGCTTCCAAATTAAGAATGTCACGATCTTTTTGTAATAAACTCTCTTTTAATTGTTTGATTTTCATAGCCATATGTGTCTTGATGTGTGAATCATTTGCTGGAGCGATATTTAAGCATAAATGACAAAGATGCTTGAAATTGTTTGTCTCAACGAATTTGAAAGTCCATTCTCCACTTTCCTCGGACAATAGCATGAGAAATTTTGGAGTTTTTGATAAACTTGTCGCTGGTACTTGACATTGTTCCAAAAGATATATTAATTGCGTTGCAAAATTATCAAAATCAACAAGTAATCCTTGTTGAGCTTTCAAAATTTTAAAATCATCTTCGGTTATAAATAAAGAGTAGAGAAAACATGGATCATCATCGTCTGCTAATAAAACGCATAAACTCTAAAAAAAATGATTTAAAATTATTTTCTAATATTTATTGCATTAATAATAATAATCGTCATATAAAATTTTTAATAAAAATGACATTTTTAGGGGAAATTAAAAAAAAAATGACACAAAGGATGTAAATAAAAAGCTTTGTGATGATTGGACGTTTACAACGCAAAAGCCGCTTTGCTTATGTGAAAACACATAGAATTTTTATATTTATTTCTAATTTCAAAATAGTAATCATCATATTGAATAAAGTAAAATTATACAATTTTGTAAGAAAATATTGTACCTTATCATGTAATTTTACAATTTAAACTACAAAATTAATTATAACTTTTGTTGTTAGAGTGGAAAGAGGTTATGTTTATAGTGTTATTAAAATTTTTACCTTGCGACAAACGGGACTTATTCCTGCGTGAATTTCAACATTAACACGAAGATCCCTTTGTCTTTCTTCTTTAAGTTGAGGTTTAATATAAACTTTTTGCACTTTAGTATATAAAACTTCAACATTATTCAACTGAAGATTGACATCTCCAGCAACTCCACTAGCCGCTATAGTGTTCAGATAATTCATATTTTACCACTTTTTCTAACTGACATTTGTCATTTCCGGATGATAAACTTTTCTATAAAACTTATTTGTACACTTTAGTAGAATTTTCATTTGTAAATTTTTTGAAAAATCTTAGAAAAATTATTGTTTTTAATTTTCAAATATTGACACTCTCTCTATCTCTCTCTTTCTGACTTTTGACGCACGCGTAGCGACGACTCTGACCTCTAGGCGTCACGCGCGAGAACTTAAAAAAAAAAAAATATTCTCTACAATTTTTCTTTCTGACTTTAAACTATAAGATTTTATATATTTAAAAATTGTAAAACTTTAATTTATTTATATAAAAAATCTTTTTTAAATATATACAATATATATTTATTTGCAAAATTGAGAATATTAATTAAAAAAAAATATATACAACAAAGAGAGGAATATATTCATCCGATTGGTGACTTCATTAATTGTCCACCAATCAGAATTGATATCAAGTTATTGTAGTTTGGCGATACTAGCGCCAATGAATATTCCAGCCATGCGTCCGGTTGGCGCTATTACACATTCTTTGGCAATGGTGAAAAATTCTTTTTTTCGACGTATTAAAAGTGTTTTAAAGTGAAAAAGTGTGTTAAAAAGTGACATGTTAATGTAGTGTTAATGTGTGCATATTGTTTAAGTGTCGACACATGGAGAGATGACAAATTTTATCTAGATCCTGCTTTTGGCGGTTGATCTGGGTTCGAAAAGGTCAACGACGTTGTTTCTTCTTTGTTGAAAAAGGTGAATGATCTCTTTTTTTATTTATACCATGAAAATCAAATTCAATTATCATTAAAAGTATGATTCTTGTGATAACAATCATTTATTTGGTTAAATGTCGCGTGTATAACAAAGGTAAAAACGGCGGGGTGTTCCGAGCGCCTTTTCTTGGAATTTGCAAGTTGTCCAGCAAGTGCTGCCATCTTGAGTGCAAATTTATTTGTTTGAATTCCTAATGTTTTTCTTTTATTGTCAATTTAAATTAATTAATTGTAGTTTTTTTATATTTAAACAATGGTGAAAGTGTAATAAAATATTTCCAAGAAAATTTGATACGGTAAATATAATGAATATTTAAGATGAATATAATGTATGTATATGTATATACACGCTTTCGACAGTCAACCTAACCTTAATTTTTTATTTTCATTAATCGCATTAACAGATTATCTAAATAATATTTAAATAATTAATTGCATATGCATGTATTTTAATAATTAATTGAAAATTTAAAGAGTTTTGTAAAAAAAAATTGGCTAAAGAAATAGTTTTTCATGTATTTTAAGACAAAGGGTCAAAAGGTGATTCCTCCATTTTCTGCATGGTTTTTATTGACTTTTACTTACATTTTGCCATTGTTTTATTTTTAATTATCGTAAAAAATTACGATCTGTTAAGACAACTAATTTGAGCATATTAATTTTATATTATTTAGTAAAATAATGTGCTTTTTTAAAAATTACTCATTTGTAAATATTAATAAAAAAATTTTCCTTATTGATAAATAAATAAATAAATAAATATTTCATTATACATTGCTAAATGCAAATTAGCCGTAAAATGACAATAATAAGAACCGGTGATGACGATAATAATAATAACAAAAAATGAGAATAATATAAATAATAATTACAAGAAAGTGAATAATAATATTTTGTAAATTGTTTACAGTTACGTAAAATATAAAACAAATTGTTTTTTATTTGTTAATTTTTTTTTTATTTTTCAGGTATGAAATTAATATTACAAAAAGAAATTTGGAAAAAAAGGAAGGAAAATTGGAATTAACTGTGAGTGGAAAAAAAATTATATAGATAAAATTTCCTTAAGAAATCAATTTACTTCGAATTAAATTGAAATTGTTTCTTAATATATCGTTATTTGCACAAAGAGTATTTCTCTTTGAATCAATAATTTTAATTCCTATCTTTAACTTGATTTAAAACTAAAAATCATCAAGTAAAAACTGTCATGAACCTCACATTTGAAATCATTTTTATACCGACGTCTCTTGATCATAAATAATAACATTAAGAAGCAATTTTCAATGATTCAATATGCTGTCCACAACTTGGGACAACATTTGCCATGACCCCGAGTGATGATTGGCTGTGTGTTTTTTTTTTTGCCATTATTCCTATTAAAGTCATTAACTGAAGCAAAAGAGTCACGTATATAGCATTATAAGTGATATTTCAAACAATGATCGTTACATGTGAAATACTTCACACGAAAGAATTTCCTTTTTTTTTCTCTTGTATAAACAATTCATTTCACGTGACTAGAACAGATTTTAATAATTTTTCTCAATAGTAATTAAAGAAAATTGTATTTTCAATTTTTTTATCGAAAAAATTTTTTTTTACCAATATAAAAATTGGTTTAGTTGATTATTCCATTACTGTTTTGAAATATGTTTAATTTTGGTAAACAGCTTTCGAATTCTTTCGAAATTATGATATTTAAAGATTATATTAAAAAGTCAATGACAGTTACGTAAATAACGTTCTCCGTGAATTTGAATTAAAATTATTTTCGTTATTGAAAAATATATCAAGAAATGAAAAATGTAAATTTATTTTTGTGAAAAGAAATTTTGTTTTATTTTTTGCGAATTTAAAAAAAATAATTCTTTTATACAAGAGAAAAAAAATGTTTTTTTTTTTTAATAACATTTTTGAAATATATAATAGAAAAATTGTGATTTTAGTTTTCTATTTTCTCATTGAAAATTGTCAGACTTTATGGTTGGTTTTCTCTTCCGAAAGTTTTATTTGTATCTAAAATTTACTATATACGCAGCTGAGGGAGGTTTATATCCAGGTATTTGAAATTCTTCTGAAAAAGGAAATATTATTTTTCCATTGATAAATTTAAAGTTACTGGTATGTTTTATTGAGGTTAGTTCCGGATTAGAAATTATTATTATTTTGAATTTTTGCATAGTACTAGAATTTCTAATATTCCAAAATGTTGGACAGCTTTATAGACGTGGATTTTCGTTCTTCATTGTTATGAATCTCAGCGCTTGCCACCTGTCCCTTCGTTTATTTTCCAACAAAGGGATTCAAATAGGTAAACCCGCAAGCTTATTCTATTCTTTCTTACCTGCTTACCTTCGTGTCTGTTCCTGGAACTCAATTACCAATTTTTTTTGTTTTTAAAAATTGCTAATATTTGAAAAAATTATTCAAAAGGGAAAATTTATTTTTCCAATGAAAATAAATTTTTTCTCTTGAAAATAACATTTTTCAAATTTTAAATATAGAAATAAAACTCATTGGATTTTATAATGTCGGATCATTTATAAAATGACAATGTGAATCTTTTTCCAGATGTATAATAATATTTGAGATTATTTCAAATAATCTTCTTATCGATTTTCCATTATCTGTTTTGTCATAAACAACAATTTTCTTTTTTTCTCTCTCTGAAAAAAGAGAATTAAATCTAAATTTCTTCTCGTCTAGCCATATTTGGATAGGATGTTCCTTCGAGAAATCTCTTAATCACATATATTAGAGAAGCACCTTTGTAAAACTTTAAGGTTGAGATATGTTCATATCGCGTGAACAACTTAAGAGTCAATTCTTGGGCAAAACAAACGACGATATGGCAACGTTGCATTCGAATCTCTCTCGTAGTATTATAGAATGCATGGGTCTCTCTTTTACCAAAATTACACCTTGATTTCGGCGCCGAGGCCATTTTCTCTACTCCTCTTCATTCCTTCTTTGACTCTACGATTTTTAAAGTTTATTTTTTTTTATTTTTTTTTGGCGCTGCATACTTATGAAATTGCACATTTATTACACGTCAATTTTAGAGCCGCAGTAAAACCATAAAGTGCCTTCAGAAATCTAGAGGAAAACCAAAAATTAAAGGCTTTGCATAAATGAGCTGCTGTATATTTCAAATGGAAAACAATTTTAGAATTTTTTTTTTTCTCTGAAACTATTTTTCTACTTTAGATAAATTTCACCATCAAATAAATGATTATCTAATTTAAGGCCATGTTACATATCCGTGAATGGGAGTACAATGAAAGAATTCAAGGTTGTAATCTTAATTTAAACAATTTTAAGTTGCTTTACATTTGAATATATTTTAGTTTTGAATTAATTAAAAATTGATAGAAAAAAAAATTTATTTGATTCAAATAATCGATTTATCAAATATTTACTTGAACCAAATAATTTTTTGAGTCAAATTTGTTTGGTTCAAATACAATTTATTTAATTTAAATAAAAATTATTTGGTTCAAGTAAATATTTTTTTTATATTTCAATTTTTTTTTCTGTTTCATTATGCAATATAAAATCATTAAATTGTCTTTTTATTAATTAATTTCTGTTGAGAATGAAGAAAATCGATTTTTTAAATTCAAAAAATAAGGTTAAAAAAAAATGATTATGGAAAATTATTTTTTCTATGAATTTTTCATTAAATTCTTTTATTGAATTATTTTCAAAATTTGGACATGAAAGCATATTTTTCTGTTAGGGAAAAAGAAGTATAATTTTATACGAAACATTCATGAAATCCTAAGAAGTTGTAATTCATGTGCACACATGTGAACTCGTATTTTGTTTGCTAATCTTAACAGATAAGTTACTCAGATAAATTTAACGTGTATAATGTACACTCGTTTCAAGTGCGTTTAAATCGCACATATAAGAAAAGTAATAAAAAAAAAAAAAATTATTAGGGAATAAAAAAGTTAAAAATTAAAAAAAGACAATTTTTTTTACTGAAAAAAAATTTGATTCAAATACTCGATTACTTAACTATTATCAAATAAATATTTATTTGTATATCAAATAATTATTATTTGAGACAATTAAATGGTATTTGTTTCAAATACAGAAATTATTGGTTCAAATACAATTTATTTAATTTAAATAATAATTATTTGCTTTAAGTAAATATTTATTTGATATTAGTCAAGTAATCGAGTATTTGAAGCAAATAAATTTTTTTTTCAGTGTAATTTTGTCAATTAAAAATAATTTTTACACTGAAAAAAAAATTTATTTTATTCAAATACCGGTGTATTTGGTTATTATCAAATAAATATTTATTTGAATCAAATATTTCAGTATTTGAAGCAAATACAATTTATTTGATTCAAATAAGAAATATTTGATTCAAGTAAATATTTATTTGATAATAACCAAATACACCGGTATTTGAATCAAATAAATTTTTTTTTCAGTGGTGTATTAATTTTTTTTTATATTTTGAAAAAAATTTTTTGTATGATTTGTTGGAAAAGTTTAATTTTCTTTTGTACGTGCGTATTAAATTCATGAATCATTCGTTGTACATAATATTTAAAGTTTCTTGGCATAATTAGGTAGTTAATTTTCATGTGCACTTCCAACTTCTTTTTTTGAAATTTTTCAAAAACTTGATAAACTGCTCAAGTTTTTTTTTTTTTGTTCTCCATTTGTATATATAATGTTTGCATCTGCTTCATGCACTTAAGAAGGAAACTTGGGTAGTTTTTCTTATAAATATTAATCTTATAAAGAAGTAAGATAGAAATGGCTCGTTGCTACGTGAAACTTCGATGAAAAAAAAAAAAAAAAAAACCGTTATATTCCTTCCAAAGCGTCATTTTGCGAAACACTATCGAGCATTCGCTAACAAATATGGCATTCGTTTGTGTAAGAAAGACAGGTGCTTCTTCGGCAAACCAGTATGTAATTAAACTCACTATGAAGGCATTCGTTACAACT